CAGAGCAAGGCAAAGAAGCGAGGCAGTCAGAAGCAGCCAATCAGGAAGTTGCTAAGTAGGATTAATGGAACTGAACAGTTCTGTCATAGGCTGGAAGATGTCTTTGAGCAAGAATCTTTGCCCAAAGTCACAAGGCAAGTTAACGATAGAATGAGAAACAAGCCAAGTCGCCATATGTTCCCGCTAAGCCATAAAGCCGCATGGAAGAGGAAGAAGAGGAGGTGAGCAGAATCAGGGTCCCGATACCAACCTACTCTGTCAGTGTGGTGTCCTGAACAGTCTCCAGATCTCTGTAACACTCCCAGGGTAACTTCTACATTCCTGTTACCATGGGAGGCAAAGCTATCTGTTCTTATGCCTCAGCCTTTCTCTCCAGAAATTCTAATAAAGAAAACAGGACAAACATCTGGATTAGAAAAATACATCAAGTGAGATAGAGGGATGTCTGTCTGCCTGGTAGAAAACCTTATCTGGGGTGTGTTCTGTGGGGTAAGAGTGCCTCACTCAAATTGAAACCAGACTGTTCTTTTAAGAGTTTAAGCCATCAGATTTGTTCCCAAGTTCCTACTAGACCCCAGGATCATGCTGACTTTTGCAGAGAGAGTCAAGAGATTATTTAATGGTGTGACAGTGGTTGGTGGTATAGAAAAGGCTAACCAGGAGAGGACCAGAGATGGTGGAGGACAGGCTCTGGTAGATGACAGGCTTAGCCTGTGTTGGATGTAGGAACCAGAGGCGAGGAAGGAGAGCCTGCTGCTAGCACAAAACACCAGAGCCCAAGTACCGTGTAAAGAGAACAGGTTTGTTTTGCTCCCAGTATTGGAAACCGAACATTCAGGCACCAGTGTCTGTCATCCCTGCTGCCCTGCCAGATCACAGAAAGTTGCTTCATGGCACGATTGTGTGCATGGAGAAGGCCTCACAGGGTGAGGCAGGAGTGATTCCGAGTCCAGGTTTGTACTCTTTCCTAACAGCTTTATCAAGAGTAAACATACTGCCCTCGCCTTAGCCAGAGAGCCGCCTTCTGTGAGGTCAGCAGTTACTAGAGTCATAGCTGAGCAAAGAGCTGAGAGGAAGCAACATATATGATTCCAGTAACTGTAGAAGTAGGCTGTTGAGAGTTCAGCCTAAATCTATACTACATCCCTCACCCTGAGCCAAGGCTCAGGGAACATCATCTTCTGAAAGGGGTCAGAAAGAATCTAAGAAGGATGGGGCGGGGCGCTGTGAAGTGCTGTCTTCTGGGTGTGGTGTGGTCATAGCACTCATGAACTCACATCATAGCATCTGTGGTTATCTACCCAAAACCTATGCAAGATCAAGCCAACATGGGTCAGGATTCCAGCAAGCTGTGTTAACTGCACTCAGTGGGTTACAAAACATGAAAACTCATGAAGATGGGGAGGAGCTGTGATAGGTTTAAGATGTCCTTTATCAATGCATGAAATTACCAAAGAATCCAGGTGGTGGTGGCGCACACCTTTAATCCCAGTACTTGGGAGGCAGAGGCAGGCGGATCTCAGTGAGTTTGAGCCCAGCTGGTCTACCAAGAGAGTTCTAGGACTGTTACACAGAGAAACCCTGTCTTGAAATATGAAAAAAAAATACCAAAGAATAAGTGATATTTTAAAAAGAACTAGCTTAGTCCAGGAGGCCAACTTTAACAACACCCAGTCAGCAGCATCCCCTGTGATTAATTACTTCCTGCTGGGCCACTCAGAAAGTCAACCATCCCATCATGGCTCTGTGCATGGAACTCTGTGGGGAGGACAAGCCATATCCAAATCCCTGCAGAGACACAGGAGGATATGCCATACTCACTCTACTTGGGAGTGCAGGATCTTCCTCTTCTGCCCTCATGTGCCCCACCGCCCCCAAATGCATGAGGTGCCTGAGGAGCAGGGAGGGGCATTTAGGATGCCAGCTGCTTAGCCCAGATCAGCTGGGGACAAGGCCCTTCTCCTTGAAGTAAGTGGGGGAAATCCCTTCCTCTGGCCTGTCCCAGCTTGTCTATTGAGGATGAATTTGGTGCACTGAGTGGGAGAAGAATGGCTGTCTTCATCCTTCTTTGGGGGAAGAACTTGGCAAACAAGGCTGATATGGACAGGCAATAATTAAATTGCCACGGATACTGTCTGATGTAATTGAGACTGAGAACTTGTGAGCATGTGCCTTAGACAAAGCACCACATCATGCGGAGGATTCCTGGACCCAACTCTTTCTCAGAGTGTAGAAATTAATGCCTTAATTACACTTAGAGACAATAAAGGCTATAGGAGTAGAGGAGTCGTAGGAAAGGAGGAAAAAAAATCCCCTTTCCTTCTAGCAGTTCTGAAGGCATAGTCTGTAGGCTTATCCCCCAACCCCATCCCCACACCAGTTTGTGAGACAATGGAATGGGAATCTTATGCAAACTGAACAGAAAAGGCAGAGGTTATACCTATGCTAATCAAAGACAAGACCTTTACATATCTTCCCATGCTTTCCAAGGCCTGGCTCACGAGGTTGCTGGAAGATGTAAGCACCTTCCTGGTCTGAAATAGGAATTGTCTTTCAGATCGTGAAGAGCCACAGTGTAAATAAAACCGTTGAGATCACAAATAGTTCAGCACCTCCTCCTCCTCCTTTGTGTCCCCAGAACTTTGAACTCATGCTAGAGTCTTTATCAAAAGTTACTGATCTCATCCTTGCCTCTCACTGCCACACCTGTAGGTCAGGCCTCTCCCCTAGAGATTTATGCTTTGTTCAGAAAATACCTTGGATGTTTCCAGCTCTGTTTCTGGCTGATGCTTATGCTCGGGAATCTGTTCCTGTAGTTGTTAAAGAACACCAACAAGAGATAAAAAGTTGCAGCCATTAGAATGCACTCTCTCTGTCTCCACCCACCCATTCTCTTCTCCCTCCACCTCTTCTGGCCTCCCTCTCTGCATTGTTCATGTCACATATCTTCTCTGTGTAATGGACCAGCCAACCATTCAGCTAGAACCAAGGTTGTAATTGCTTGGACATTGATTACTAAACTCTGATGGCTGACACACAATGGGTGAGTTATGAATTAACATCAGAACACCACACTCATGACTTTTACCTACAAACAAGAAAACGCAAGCATCATAGTCCATAAATAATGAGTGGTACTGTATGGGTTTGTATTTGATACATTTTGAATATGTTGTAATTTTCCTGACTGTCTGAGGTGGCCCTTTCCATCATGTGTACAGCATCGTATTGTACTTTTTTTTTTCTTTTTTTAAGACAGGGTCTCACTGTGGACCGTGGGTGGCCTGGAGCTCACTATGTAGTCAAGGCTTGCCTTAAAGTCACTGGGATCCTCTTTCCTCCACCTCCCCAGTGCTGAAATTAAAGGTGTGCACCACTACACCCAGCTTGTTCAATTTTTTCTTTTAATTACTTCTCCATTTTCTTTCTTGTACTCTTCATAATCTGAGATTATCTTTTGTGTATAGATATAATAATACAAACACTAGGGTTGTAGCTGAGTGTTAAGAGCAGTTGCTTAGCATCCATGAAGCCCAAAATTCAATCCCAGTGCTGCCAGGAAGGACAATAATACAATACATGATAAATACATTCATATGTGTGTCTATTTATTACTTTCCTTCTCCTCTGCAGTGCTGGCTTCTCCAGGGCAGGAACTTTTCTTCCAGTTCATTCTCACCAGCTGATGGTGTTTTAGAGCCCATAATGATCTAGTCAACCATTTAGCTAGACTTGAGACGGTGATGACTCAGGCACCAAGTATTTGACTCTCAAAATTATGGAGATACTGAAGATTATTTGGTTGTAACTTTGCTTTAGCTCAATTCAGTGAGTTACTTGTAGAGCCCAGAATAACAATCAGATGTCCGTGCATTTGCTGGGGGAATGGAGATTTTTAAAAATGAAAATTTTAAGTTATATTTTTCAGTATTCTGTATCTTTGGAATTGGATATTTCTCCACTTGTAATTCTTCCCTTCAGTCCGCAGACACAGACACAAAAGGGGTGATCCCTGTTCAGGGAGAGAGCCAGCCAGGCTATGGTCTTTCAGGGCTCTGAGTTGGGGTGGGTTGTAAATTCCAGTCAAAGTAAGGTGTGGCTAACTCACAGCATAAGACTTCTCGGTTGAGACTGCAGTCAGAATTAGGCAGCTGGTGGTGCTGGGGAAGACAGTTTAGTGGATAAAGTGCCTGCTGTGCAATCAGGGGATCTGATTTTAGGTCCCCAATGCTCACATAAAAGTGGGGCATAATGGTAAACATGAGTCATCCCAGAGCTGGGGAGGTAGAGAGCAGCAGATCCCTGGGTTTATTGACCAGCCATCCTACCTCAATCACGGAGTTCCAGGTTCAACAAGAGAGTCTGTTTCAAAAAGGTAAGATGAAATGTGAGTGAGGAAGAGTCCTGATGTTGATCCCATCTGCACACACAGGCGTGTGCATGAACACTGCCATATATGAACATGCCATCCACACACACATGTGTGTGCATGAACACCGCCATATATGAACATGTAGCACAAAAGAGGTTTAGAAAGAGGAGGGCAGTGTGGTTGCAGGCGGAGGAAATTATGACAGGCTCCAGAACATTTGGAAGAAATGACCACCACCACTGTGCATGAAGGAAGCACAGATACTGTGTGTAGATAAATATATGTGGGAATGTGATCCAGCCTAGCCACGGAAGGGCTTGCAATGGGTGCTCTTATAAATGGAGGAATGGACATTGTCAGAATTTTAGGGTGTGTTCATGATTTGATGGGTTTGTGATTTAGGACTAATCTGCAACTGTTTCCCCACTTTTAGAGTTGCATTTTTTGGACAAATTCAGAGTAGTTTGGTTAAGCTTATCCTTATCAACATAAAAATAAGCCTCCAAGTGTGCAGCTTACTGTGTGACCTAATGAGTAAGTAACACCATGTAGACATTCTATGCAAAGATGCACTTTCTCCATCTCATCTTTGTTTTCCTTTCTGTCTCTTTCCCCTTTCCCATTTTAGAACAACAAGGTCACATTATTCCGCCAGCTGCAGCAAATGACATATAGTCTGATTGAGTGGCGCTCCCAGATCCTGTCTGGGACTCTCCCCAAGGATGAACTAGCAGAGCTGAAGAAGAAGGTCACGGCCAAAATTGATCATGGGAACAGGTAACCCAGGACAATCTTACATAGAAACCGTGGGAAATGACCAGCATCTTCACACTAGATACTGTTCACTACTTTAATCCCATCCTTTGGGAGGCAGAGGCAGGGGAATGAGTCTCTGTGAGTTTAAAGTCATCCTGGTCTACAAAGTGAGTTCTAGGACAGCTGGGGCTACACAGAAAAACCCTGTCACATAAAATAAAACAAGAAACCTTTAAACAATTTCAAATTGAGGGGTTAGGAGGTTGATCAGTTGGCAGAGGGTTTGCCTAGCTTGCCCAAAGCCCAGCACTGCATAAACTGGGTATGGTAGTGCTGTAATCCCAGCTCTCTGAAGATGGAGGCAGGAGGATCAGAAGTTCTGGTCAAGGACTCATGCACGCATAGCAAGTTCAAGGCCAGCCTGGTTGTCTATATGAGACCCTGTCTGGAAAACAAAACAGAAAACAAATAAGTGAAGTACTCACATACATTATACATAGTTATCCATATTTACAAGGCACATGAATACAGTACTTATACATAATGATAATTAATGAGGTTAAATGGAAATCCCATCACTTTGGCAGTCATCATTTGGGAACATTTAAAATCCTCTTTTCTGGGTATTTTGACATATCGTGTTAATTTTTGCCAACCATAGATAGTTACATTATTATTATGCAGTAAGAAATTAAAAATTATTCTTCCTACCCAACCAACTGTGTAACTATACTAATTAACCACCTCCTTCCCTGTATTAGTGACTTTTGGGAGAGGGAGGTTGTCTTGTGTATGGCAAAATAGTGGATAGAAGAAGCAACTAAAGGGAGTAAAGACAGACTTTGTCTGGTGGTTCCAGAGAATAGAGTTGGTGGTAATGGGGAAGGTGTGGCAGAGCAGTCTGTGGTGATGATGGGCAGGAATCTATGATGCAGCTCCTTCATCCAGCACACCAGAAAGCACAGTGCTCTAAATTAGAATCAGAGTCCCATCCCTACTAGTCCATGTTTATCGGCTAAGCACTATATCCCAAAAGGTTTTGCAAGCTCTCAGACCAGTGCCACCATTTGACAAGTGTTTAAACATATCAAAGTGTAGCCGACATTTCCCATTTAAGCCATAGTGCCCCAGTATCCCCACAGCCCCTTAGTCTCACAGCAAACTTGTGATCTTAGAGTTGTCAAATAATGGTTACTTTTTACTGTCTTTGTGTCTTAGAAAATATTTAATTTTAGTGATAAATGTCGCAGTCCCTTCCTTGAGTCAAGTGCCGTGTTGGCCCTCCGATCCCAGTGGCTGACACAAGAACAGAGAAAATAGGTTTCTGTCCTAGCTTCTCCATTGGCACATAGAGAAATGGCCCCTTCAGATGCCTGAGGCTGTTTTTATTCCAATGATGTGTATGAAATTTTTGCTGTCATTTTCTCCCCGCCTCCCCAACAGGGGCTAGGACTATGATCGGCAATGGTACAATTCAGATTCCCTGGTACAGCATCCTTTTAGCCCATTAATTCTATCTACACACTTGTTATATGTCCATTTCTCAGCAAACTCCTAAGTAGCACAGGTATACATGTTGTTTCCAGGAAAACACTGCCTTTCACAACTTGAGAAATGCAGTCCATTCCTCCACATTGACGGTGGCTATGGCCTGGGATTCATGATTTCAGCCATCCCCTTCCACAAGGCCTCAAGCCCTCTGTTAACTTTGCTGTTGTTTACTTGGTGATTAGGTTGTCCAGTTTGTGCTGATGTCATTTCTGTCTCTCCCTTTGCCCCATGGCTCCAGCCTCGCGACTCTTGCATAGCCCTACTAACATACAGTTCATTATCCTGTTCTTTGAATTCACTACTCTAACAAATTGTATTTAGAAACAATTGGGATACAGAATTCAGTCAGTTTCACAAGCTGCCTCCATTGCACACTTCACATACTTACAACACTAGGAGGTAGCTATTGTGAAATAATTATTTTTCTCCATTTTTATTTAGGGGGATGTAGATGTGACTGATTTCCTTCTATGTCACAAAGGCGATGGGAAGGAGTAACTTGGTCGCAGGCCTGCCTTTGGGTTTGATGGTGAATCCCCAATACATGTCCTCTGTCATGGTCATTGTTAATGTCCCCCAGACATGGTCTGGAATCACATAGGAGAGAAACGTGTGGGCATGTCTGTGAGGGCGTTTCTAGATGAGATTAACTGAGGCGGGAACTCCAGCTTCAATGTGGGACAGCACCATTCCGTGGAAGAGAAATTAGCTGAGCCTCAGCATACATCTGCTTCCTAAGTGACGATGTAATGTGGCCAGCTGCTTCAGGTCCTCTGCAGTGCCACCAAAGTAAGCCCTTCTTCCTTTAAGTTGCTTTTTTGTCAGGTTGTTTTGGTCACAAGTGTCCCCAGGTAAGTGAAGCAGCTACAGCTGTGTAGCCTTTCATGCAGTCTCCCAATGTTTCTTAAAGCCAGCCGAGGTAGGATAAGACTCTCTTTTGTGATCTTGCCATAGTAACATTGGCCTGGACATTCTCCCAAGGCCTGGCATAGCATGTTAATATCTCCCAAATGGCAATGCATGCTGGCTTTCCCACACCTGTCCTTGAAAGCAGCTCAGGAAGCAGAGCCTCTCTGCCAATACATCCATGTCTCAGCTCTGCCAGCATGCCGTCCCTCTTGGGTCTGGTGTTTTTGGGTCTGGCTACTGTGGGAAAGAAGCTACCAGTGCAGATCATTCGTCCAGAGTTGCTGTACAGCAGGGAGGAGGGACCTGGGGCATGGCTACTTTCTTCCTAAGGACTTGGCACCTCTGGTTGTTATGCCTTGAGTGTTGCTGTTTGGACATCTCAGCTCACCCATGCAGGTGCCTGGAAGGCAGGCTGAGGGCTGAGAGCAGAATCCTCTTCTATCAGTCTCTGCATCCTTTGTACGTCTGTGCACAGTGGTCACAAGAGCCTTAGGAGAGGGGTCTGGTTGTCTCTGCTCTTGCCATGCAGCCCTGTGAGCTTTGTTAGTTTTCTTGTGCCGTTCTCTGTAGTCAGAGGTAACATTTACTGGTGCTTATTATATGTGAAGTTGTATTAGGTACACTGTTACCTCAATCAAGTTCTTACAGCAAACTTAAAGGGTAGGAAACTGTTACACATGAAAAAGTCTGGGCTTTGCAGAGTTAAGGGGTCCTAGAAAGAGCAGGTGTTAAAGCCAAGGTTCAGACTATAGTATGAATGATGGCAGAGGCAGCATAGAGATGGATTATGAGAAGGTAGCCACCAGGACTTACTTCCTCCTTTAAGACAGTATTGAGTAAGGAAGTCAAGGAAGGCCTTTGAAGGATGATGCCAGATCTCAGGAGACTGGGCCAGGGAATCACTGCAGAGAGGGCATTGATTAGAACCCATGTCAGTTTTACTGTTCTTGCTTTGAGCCAGTTCTTTGGCACGTGCACACAGGTTGGGCGAGGGTGGCCTCCTGAGCTGTGTCATGTTACTGCTAGGTGGAAAGAAGGTAGAGATTGGAAGGAGGGGACTCCTGGCCTGTGTCCAGTCCCTACTTGTGTTTCCTGGGCTTTCTGATGGAGGTTCTTCTACAGAGTCTGGCAGTGGAGTGGAGAGATACTTACCACCTCCTTTCTCTTCAGAATGCTTGGACTAGATCTGGTTGTGCGCGATGACAATGGAAACATCTTGGATCCAGATGACACCAGCACTGTTGCCCTCTTCAAAGCCCATGAAGTTGCTTCTAAAAGGATAGAAGAGAAGATCCAAGAGGAAAAGGTACATTTTCTCCTGGGTGCAAGTCAAGCTGCTAGGATTCCATTCTTTGCTTTTGTTGTTAATGCCAAAAAAAAAAAAAAAAAAAGAGTAGTAGACAATAGAAAAATAGAAATAGCAATGCATAGAAAATCACATGTGTCCTCATTTTTAAAGTAGGCAGAAAGAATGAGGCCAGTATTTGTGTTCTTATTTGGAAAGGAAACAAAGGTAGGTGTGTGTGTGTGTGTGTGTGTGTGTGTGTGTGTGTGTGTATGTGTGTGTGTAAAGATGTAGAACTATTTTATAAAATAGAATGTGTATTAAAAAATGCAAAAGGGAGCATATACACACTTTATTTCTTGCATATACGTAGAGTAACTATAATGGTAAATTAGAAACTAGCCATTAAAAGCTGCCTCTGAATCTGAGTTCAGTTCCTGGCACCCACTTAATGCTTCACAACCACCCATAACTCTAGTTCCAAGGGATCTGTGTCATCCTCTGATATTTGCAGGCACCAGGCATGCACATGGTACACAGATGTACATGGAGCTTAGACATCCTCTAAAAAATAAAGATGCCTCTGGGAAGAACTGGGTGAAAGTATAATCTTCTGTGTTTGTTATAAATATTGTGATTTCCCAGATGAAACTATTTTAAATAACATGTTTGGAAAAATTTGAAAGTAAAGAAAACTTAAAAATCAGGGGGAAAAAAAAAAGTCAGCCACATTCTGAACCCCCTGGGCCTACCATGTTGACATCTTGATGTATTATTTTCTGTTTCGATGAGGAAGGATTTGTCTGTGGGTTCTGTATTGCTTTTGCTTTCTGAAGCGCAGTCCTGATGACTTGTGCCTGTGATTATGCATCAAGTGACAACCACACCCAAGGGTAAAGCTTTCTCATGGAACATTTTGTTTCCTGTGAAGTTGGGTAGTATGTCACATGATCTAGGCTCAATCCTCCAACATCCCATCAGACATGGAAGCTTCATGGGTCTGCTAAAAGCTGAGTTGTCACATGTAGACAGCATGGTTATTTTTCATGTGTGTGTATGTGGTGTGCATGCATGTAGCTGTGTTTGTTTGCATGTGTGTGAACACACATGAGTGCATACATGTATATGCAAGTGAGAGTAGTCAAAAGCTGGCATTGGGTGTTCCCCTCTGTTGCTCTCCCTCTTATTTATTGAGGTACGGTCTCTTGCTTGAACCCAGAGCTTCCCAAGTCAGCTCGTCTAGCTACTAGCTTGTTCCTGGATTCTGTCTGTCTCTCTCCTGTTTGCCAGGATTACAGGTGGGCTGCTATGACCACCAGGGATTTACATGAATGTTGGGGATCCAAACTCTGGTACTCATCCTTACACAGCAAACACTTTATATGGCAAGCCGTCTCTCCAGCCTGTCAGACAGCATTTATTGAATTATTTGGGCTCAGATCCCTGAACAGGACCACTTTGGTTATCTGATAATGCCGATGTTTGTTTGACTGAGGGATGATTGGTCCGTCCACATCTGCTCAATTCTTAGCAAGTGTTGCTCCTTGAGTACAGTAGTGGTCCCTTGCTTATAGGTTGACTTCTTTGCCAATGTTTTTCCCCATTTGCTTAAGTGTTCTTTCCTGTCCTCTGGCCCAGACCATTTTACAGAACCTGGACTTGAGAGGCCAGGCAATCTTCAACACTGTCCATACCTACGGCCTCTATGTGAACTTCAAGAACTTTGTCTGTAACATTGGGGAGGATGCAGAGCTGTTCATGGCCCTTTATGACCCAGACCAGTCTACCTTTATCAGGTAATGGGGACCCATGTCACTTGTACTTGGCCTTGTAAAGTACAGCCTTCACCTGTAGGAGCCCTTCACTGCCTTTGAGACAGGGAGATATAGAGGTTGAGTGTAGTAACTTCTGCCAGTAGAAAATAAAGTTCTATGGGCTCTGAAGCCTTTGTATGTGGGTGCTGGCAGCTTCAGAATGTGTAGGGTTTAAAGAGTGAATGAAACTGCCTGGGACATGGCCACAAGGATAAAGACTCCAGGAGATCCTAGGGGAGGAATGAGAGGATGAAGTAAGTGGGACACCCTGGGGATTCATGGCTGAGACTGAGATGTAGGATACGGCAGTGGTGAATGCCTGTATGTGTTTGTCCAAGCCCATGCAATAAACTGAACCAGCTGTGAACGCTCACATTCGCTTTGGGCTGTGGGGATGGCCGTATGTCCAGGAAGGTTCAGAATCATAGCTGGTTAGATGGAGGCTGTGTTTGGAAACCCCCACTTTCAGCTCGGCTCTCCCATGAACCCACAAAAGTGCAGGGGGGAAAAAGTCTACATAAAGAAAGTTTATAGACAATGGCTGAGCCCCAGAGTGACCTTCACTGAGCAACTCAGGAAATGGAGATTTTTTTCCCTTCAAGAATATGATAAAAAATCATTCCTGGGGCATAGGCAAGCTCAGTTGGTAGACTGCTTAATTGTCGTCCTCAAAGCCCTAGGTTCAATCCCCAGCATCACTTGAACCAGATGGGTGCCACGGGACTGTAATCCCAGCACCAGAAAGGTGGCAGCAGAAGGGTCAGCTACGTAGTGAGTTTGAGGCCAGCTCAGGTAAGAAAAGACCCTTTCTCAAAAAGTAAAAATTAGTTGTTAAGTTACTTGTGTGATGTGGACCATGAAGGATAGATTGGGAATAACTTAGAAAATTAAGCTTCTGTAAATTGGCCTCTTGAGACATAGTTTCACTGTCTAGCTCAGGCTGCTCAGTTTACTGTGTAGCCCAGGCTAGCTTCAAATAATGATGATGAGCCTCCAGAGTGTGAGATCACAGATCCTAGTCACCATGCTCGATTCTAATGAAGACCCCAGACAAAAGAAACTCAAGGCCTCATGGTAATGGTGCCTTTAATCCCAGTGCTTGGGAGACAGAGACGGGGATCTCCGTGAGTTAGAGGCCAGCCTGGTCTGCAGAGCTAGTTCCAGGACAGCCAGGGCTATTATACAGAGAAACCTTGTCTTAAAAAAAAACAAAGTAAGGAAGGGAGGGAGAGAGGAAGGACGGAAGGAAGGAAGGAAGGAAGGAAGGAAGGAAGGAAGGAAGGAAGGAAGGAAGGAAGGAAGGAAAACTCATGAAGTTCCATGTGTGAGCCATCCTGAGCAGTATGCCACTGTATAGCGTGACCTCTGTAGCAGGGACTCTTTCGAATGCAGAGTCCCTGCATGTGTGGTATATGTGCTTCCCTAGCACCTGCCTCATCACGGGGCACTTCCGCCCCTTCTTTTGACCCTTGCAAGTCTGTGCTGTGAGCAGCCTCTGTCCCAGATGCCCTCTCACTAAGAGTAATTTCCCTTTTCTCCTGCTAGTGAGAACTACCTAATTCGTTGGGGCAGTAATGGGATGCCCAAGGAGATAGAGAAGCTGAATAACCTCCAAGCAGTGTTCACGGTGAGTCCTGCCTTCTTCATTAAAACAAAATCATTCATTCATTTTCTGTGTCAATGTATATTCATGCGTATGGGTGTGTCGCTGTGGTATAAGTGTGTGGAGGTCAGAGGCCAGTTTCCGGAAGTAGGTTCTCCTCCCATTGGGTAGGATAGAGCTTGGGTCCTTAGTCTTGGCAGCAAACTAACTCAGGTTCACTTTCTGTTTCTTCATTTTCTTACTGTTTCAGTGGATACAAGTGATAAATAAATGACTGAGTTTTTTCACTTAGTGAACACATACTAGGTACCACATACCAATCTGCACACTTGACACCATCTGTGAACAAAACAGGGAAAGAAACTATTCTCGAGCAGCTTTTGTGCTGGTGGAAAGACAGATACAAACAGTAATGACACAAGTGAGTGAATCACAACAACATCCTGAGGTTCTTCCAGGGGCTTTGCCCAAGTGTTGCTGGGGGAGGCTCATGCTTTAGTTATACGTTTATTAATTTAACTTTTGTTTTCAACGTGTAGTTGTTTCTTGATTTTATTATAATGAAAATGGTTTCTCATTCATTCTATTTTTGTTTTTTCTTTTTGAGATTGTAGTATAATCACACTATTTCCCCCACGTTTCTTTCCTCCCTGCAGGCCCTCCCACGTGCCTCTCCTTGCTCCCTTTCAAACTCATGGCCTCTTTTTTCATTAGTTGTTGTTGGTACATGCACACGTCCATATGTAACTCTTGGTATGTACGTGTGTATATGATGTGTGCTTATTCCTGAGGTTACACAGGTGTTGTAGTGTGCAGAGGTCAGAGGTGCTCATCCTCCCTTCCACATTGTTTCAGATCGCACAAGGTCTCTTTGTTGTTTACCACTGCATATACAAGGCTGTTCTAAAGATGCTCCTGTCTCCACCTCCCACCTTACCTAGGAACATGAGGATTACAGATGTGTGCCACAGTGCCTGACTTTACACGAGATCTGAGGATTTGGATTCAAGTTCTGATGCTTGCATGACAAGCACTTTATGCACTGAACCACCTCCCCAGCCCTGAAGCTGGTGTTTTAAATAGCTGGGCATAGAGCTCCATGGTAGGGCACACCCTTAGCATGCACTGGGCTGTGGGTCCAATGCCCAGCATTCCAAATTAGAAGACCTTTGAGGAAGACGGTGAAGTTGAAGGCGGTCAGCCGTGCAGATTACTAACTGGAAGGAGCACTTCCAGACCAAGGTCACGGTGAGGGCAACGTGATCCAGACCTTTTCCCGGAACCTTCCTCTGAGTGGATGATTCCCAGTCTCTGCTTTTAGGTAGCTCGTTTGGCTTTGGGGTTTCTAGCTAAAGTTCTGTTGGTTGGAGATTTTCTGGTTAGTTCATTATGCAAAAGGTGCAAGGTTTAATCTTTGCTGTTTTGTACTTTTGGCATATCTTCAATCTTCTGCATGGAGCTCGGGAGCCTGGCAGTGCAGGCTGTAGTTTAGACCTTTCTATTCACTTAGAACTTTCTGAGCTTCTTTTACACACACACACACACACACACACACACATATATATATATATATATATATATATATATATTTTAGGACATGCCTTGGGGCTCCAAGGCAGCCTAGGAAACCTTGATAGTTGGCTCCCCAGCTCTGTCTCTCTTTCCTTCATCCATCAGCCCACACAAGTGCTACTTTTTCCTAGTGCAAGACGAGGAAAACTGAGCCCAAGTTCCAGTGACGAATGAAGCAGTAGCCAGTAGCTAACTGCTTGCCATTCCCTCTGTCAGCCTCCTAACTCTAAGGCATGCACAGGCTTCTCTGCACAGAGACCGTCTATCTACCCCTGCAAATGCTGGCATAGAACTCTCTGGGATTTTACACTAGACTTCTTTAGTATTTGTTCAGTTTTGAAGCCAAGTGAAACTTTCCTTGCAATCAACTGTTGTTTATCAGATCACGTGTATATTTTTTAAATCTTTGATCCCTCATTTACTCAGTCCTAGGACAGCTGCGATTGCTTTTCCCTTTCCTATTCTCACACTCTCCCAGCTAGCCAGAGGCTCATCTAGTATGCAAATTTCACATCTAGCCCTTTCAATTAAATAAAATGTAGTGGCCGTTCCCTTGGTCATTAATCAGTCTTCAGAACTCATTTATAAATGACTATATTATTTAATGATATCAATGTACTACGGTTTATAGAACCTGCCACCCAGTATCTTTATTTTCCATTAGTGGAAGCTTTGTAGAACCTCAAGCAGAGATTCAGGGTGGGTGATTACTGGTGTGTATTACTGCCCCGGTGACATGTCATTACCAAATTACAGGGTGTACATTTAGAGTGATTATTTAAAAAGTAATTCTTGATTCAGTAAGAGGGCTGGGGCTGCTGTTTTATGAAAGGGTTCTGAGATATAATAAAGTTATTTCTGATAAGTGAATGAGATATATGAGCCCATTTCTGGGTCACTCACCCCTCCTTAAGAACAGGCAGGCAGGCAGGCAGGCACGCGCGTGTGCACACACACACACGAGTCTTAGCTACAAACATTATTAATTCTACCCCCACACCTCTCGCTATTCCGTGTTCATGGAGAGGGTCTCTCTGGAACCTCACAAAATCATGCGTGGGTTACACTTGTCTCCGGGATTCTTAGAAGAGGTGCTGGGAGTGAGGAGTTAGGGTGGCACATACCTGTAATCCCACTACCTGAGAGGTGAAGGCAGAAAGATCAGGGATTGAAGGTCAGCATCACTTATATAGCAAGTTGAAGGTCAGCCTGGGCTCTCACAGGCTTCGGTTCTCAATAAGTGTCAGCATCATGCAAGTTTTTATGTCATTTGACACTGAGGTGTGTCTTATATTAAGACACACAGAAGGACTCAAAATTTTAGAGAGTGCTCTGGTTTTAACACCTTGCCCACCTTCCTACTGTAGAGGTGTAGGCTGACTCTGATCCAGTTGAGAAATGTAAAGTAGGGACCTGGGAAGAAAAGAACACCATTTTATAGATAAATAGATGGCAGTTTTCTCTGTTGCCACAGAAGTTTTTGGGTGGGTTGGAAGAGAGGCACTGCTCTGGTGTTTCAGCATGGGGTGGTGTTCTCTGAGCTGCACATAACAGCCTGCCTCTCTTATCCATTCTCTACCTACAGGACCTGAGCAGCACAGACCTCATCCGGCCACGCATCAGCCTCGTGTGCCAGATTGTCCGAGTGGGCCGCATGGAGCTGAAGGAGGGCAAGAAGCACACCTGTGGCCTCCGGAGGCCTTTTGGAGTAGCAGGTATGAGGAAAGCCTGGAGTCCAAGGAAAATGGTACAGTTCCGGGGACTCCCTCCTGTGCAGTTCCTAAAAGACCTAAATGTGAAACCAGCATCGGAACCCACATTGGACAGAATCCCATTTGGGTCCCAAAAGAATTGAAAAGCAAGGTCTCAAAGAAACACCTATGTACTCACACCTTCACAGTGGAATTATTCACAAGAGATGAAAGAGACTAGGTCACTCAAGTGTGCATCAGTGCATCAATAGATAACTGGATAAATAAATGCAGCATATCTGTTGAAAGGAATTTTTACTCAGCCTTAAAAGGGATGGAAGTTCCAACTCATGCTTTAATATGGCTGAACCTTGAGAGCATTAAGCCAAGTAAAAAAAGCCAGCAGCTGTATGGTTCATTGATATGAGGATTCAGATTCAGAGAGACAGTTGAATGGGATTGTCAGGGCTTGAAGAGAGCGGGGAATTGCTTACTGAGGATTGGGTTCACTTTGGGAAAATGAAAGAGCTCTAGTGGTGGATGATGGTGATTGTTACACACGGGGAAGTGTACTTAACGTCCACTGAACTGTACACTTAAAAGGTGGTTAAGATGGTAATTTCTATGTTATGTGTGTTTTACCACAGTTATAGCAATGAAAAGAGGTAGAGAAAAGATGGTAACTGGCAGCTGGAGGGCAGGCAGAGGATGTGGGCCCTCTAAACATGGGAAGCAGGGGGTCATGTTGTCATGGTCAGTGCTGGGCACACAACAGTCATGCGTGCCCAGGATGGCCAGTTCTCTTTCCTTGAGCCTTGCATCCTTGAGCCTTGCAGCCACTGATCTTGTAGCCACTTTTCTCTTTTGTGCCCGGCACCATGTCTCACCCACAGTAGGACTACATGCAAGCCTGTGCCTTGCTGCTGCGCTGTGGTCCACTGCAAAGCGTCTTGACTGCGAGGAGACGCACTTTCCAAAAGCCGCTTTGTGTCACTGAAAGGGGATCCGGATCAGCTTAAATCAATCCTCAAGACCTCCCAAGAATCCCTAGATCTTTGTAGTTTCTCCTAAATTTCAAGAACAGATATTTTGTCTTTTATTGACACTTAGATCAGTAGTGCTTTCAGAAAGTCATCAATAAAATGTCAACAGTTTGCTCCTGGATCAGGGCCAGATATTCCATGTTCTTCCGTCAACCTTGTGGCTTCTGTGGATGAAGAGGTAGCCTCCCTGCCCCGTTTGACTGTCATGTGCCATGTCTTTTGAACTGTTCCCATCATACCTGCTGCTCGAGGCGTACCTAGGGAAGCAGTATTGCTTTTTGAGACAGTCTCATTCTGTAGCCCAGGCTGGCCTGGACCATACAGAGATGCTCCTGTCTCAGCTTTTCAAGTACTGAGATTATGGGTATGTATCATCCCACCTTGTCCATCATTGCTACTTCATCTAGAATTAAAGTGGAGTCTCAAGAGATACAAGAAACCCAGGTCTATTTAGCCACCCCCACAGCAGTGCAACTGTATTTGTCTACAAAAGATGTATTTGAGGTCATTGCTATTTATAGCAGGACAAAGGAACTAAAGCATTAAACCCAAGGCTTGTGTGTGTTCTTCTGTATTTGTGTCTGTGTGTGTGTGCATGGGAGTCAGGGAGAGTGTGTATATCTGGGTATTGAATGCAGAGAGGACTAAATTGCCAGGCATGAGCCAAAGTCAGGTGTCAGAAGATGATGTCACTGACTAATGAGTTTCTCAGTGGTTTTTGTTATTGTTATTGGTTTTTTTTTTTTTTTTTTTTTTTTTTTGAGTAACAGCAAGCTGAATGTGATGCCCACCTGTGTGTGCACCTTCCTAGCCAGCACCAGCATTATCCTCTGGCCCGCTGGACTGTGCTGAGTTCTTTTGAACATTATTGTGTTCTCAGTACTTCTCTTGTCTACAGACAGGCTACCTGGGATGTGGAGAAATGGATTATTAATGTGTGTTTTATGTCCAAAGTTTCACCCCTTACGAGGGTCATCTCTCATGTCAGCCAGCAACTTCGCATCTTGCTTATTAATCCTCTCCATAGCTGGGCATAGTGGTTATGTGATTTAGCTTTGTGGTCACTGTTAATTCATACCCTAGCTTTGCTAAAAACTAATTGTGTGGGTTTTGTCAATGGTACTTTCCTTCCGTAGCATGTGCAAGGCCCTGTGTTCAGTCCCACCACTGCAAAACAAAACAAAAACAAACAGAACAAATGAACATAACCAATAACAAAAACAAAACTTGTGACCAAGGCCAGGTTAACCCTTCCCATTCCTTTAGGTTAGGCTCCTCTCATCTCTTTAAATGAGATAATGAATGCAGCAGGCTTAGCACCTGGCTTTAGTGAGTACTCTCCTGGGGTGGGGCTATGGGGACCAGTTACTGATGGTTTGTTTTGTGATACTCTTAGTCTTATGTAGACATCAACTGTATATTAAATAAAAGACACAGGTGGGCACTTCAAATCTTGAATTTCTCTCCAGACCTGGTAGTATTTTGTGTTATATGTGTTCTCTATGGCTTTCAGTGAAGGCTTATCCCCACACCCATTAAAAAAAAAAAAAAAAAAAAACAGGCTTAAGTTTTTCAGGTACATAGCAGTTTAGTCTTGCAGAATTTTGAGGGTGTGTCCTGCAGGGTTGGATATAGAAAATCCGAGCTTTTCATGGCCATTGTACTGCTGGGTGTGGCACTTTAGGTAATTGTTGTCACTTGGTCCCTGATCCCTGTCTTCTTCTGGTGTTCTGTGTTTACCAATACCATCCTTTTCTATACAGCTCAGCGAGGCATGAAGCCATTAGTGCCTCTAATGACATTTATCTCTCTCCTAGTGATGGATATTACCGATATCATACATGGGAAGGTGGATGATGAGGAAAAGCAACATTTTATTCCCTTTCAGCAGTAAGTATCTGGTATTTATCAGGGGTGACTCGAGGTTCAGGTTAGCCATTCAAGTGGGACATGAATACAGAGACAGATGGGAGGAACCGTTTGTTATTGCAGAAGGAAAGGCTTCCCCGCTGGAGGACTGTGGCTGGGACCTCTGCGGAGTAATTTATTCAGGGGGCTTCATGTTGGACTCAAAGAGGGTCAGCTGAGGATTTCTTGACTCAGTAAAATAACTGGAAGAATATAAAATAAAGGGCACACATTTGTCTGCACTGGAGCCCAGAGAATGACATCATTTGATTGTCAGAGATGCAGCAGCGTGTCTGTCTTTTGTTGTGTTGAACAGGTTTGAATAAGAATCACATGACTTCTCAGACTGGATGATGTACATGAATTGTCAGAACACTCTTGTTAGAATCAGCATTTGCTTTAGTAGTCTGACTACATCCAACCAGATGTGCGCATTGCTAATGAACAGCACGGGTCCAGGGACCACACTTACAGTAGCAAGGGGTTAGGCCGGATGAATGAGAAAGTCCTGTTAGGGTTCCTGAAAGGACCTGGCAGAGACAGTCTGGTATGGGGCAGGGTCAGTTCAGAACTTGACCCAGGACTCCATCCATGCTACTGGGGTCTATGAGTGAATAAATCTCATCCCTGTAACTCTGACTATATCCAATGTGACCCTTGTGGCTTCTGTAGCATTCAGCACACATGGTGTGGCCTAGGATTAGAGGGAAGAGGCCCAAATCTTTCTGGAAATGACCCTTGTTGGGAGTTACAGGCTAGCTACAGGACATTGTTTCATCTTACTTACAATGCCCACTGCAGATAGAATAGATGGAACTTCAAAAGCCAGCCTGAGGATATTTGAGTTAAATAAATAAATACACATATAAGCTTTGTTTTGTGTGTGTGTGTATGATGGGCTGGAAAGGTGAAGATGGCTCAGTGGTTAGCCAAACTAGCTGCTCTTCCAGAAGATCAAAGTTTAGTTGCCAAAACTTACTCTGGATAGTCTACAACCATTGGTAGCTCCAGAGGATCTTCTGATGTGTTCTTCTAGCTCTGGCAGACACACAGTCATACATGTAATTAAAAATAAGCCAAACATGTATATATATACATACACAAAAATCATATTACAACAACTTATACCAACACAGAATACAAAGTAAGTAAAGCATAAAATGGAATAGCTGAAAAATTTAAATGCTACAGAACAATAGAAACTATATGTAATAGCGAGCTCTAGAAAGCTATTTTTAAGTCACACATCAATATTTTCAAGCAAAAAATAAGAAAAATTGATGGGTTAATTTCCCATTTTTAACTTATGTATAGGAAAAAATAATTTGTAATCTTTTCTAACACTTCTAATATTTGCAACAAATGTTAGAAAAATATTCTTGATAGATGTAGAATCAATAGAGGTTAATTAGGTTCTAGAAAGAAAATAAGCATACAAAGAAATGGTATGCAGATTCAAAGAGGATCAGTGAGAATCAGTTTCAAACAAAGTTAAGTGTGGAGCTTGACCAAGTTTTAACAGTCTATTAGGTGTTGTTTGGTGTCTGTTGGGAAATCCATATATGCACTGTTACAGTGCATTCAATAGGGAAAGTGTCCTACCACCAGACAGCTGAGTTCCATCCCCAGGCCCCACATGGCAGAAGGAGAGAACTGACTCCCATAGGTTGTTCTCTGACCTTCACATGAGAGACATGACACACACCACATCCACATATAGACACACACACACACACTCCACCTAGAAAAACTATAAACAAAACATTTAAAGCCTTAAAATTTAGATTTTACAAAGAATGTGCCACCTAACTAGTTGATTACACATTTTGGTTTAGTCATGCTTTTATTCCACTTGTTTCCCTACTCTTTTCCCATAGTAAATGTACTATACATAATTATATTTGTTCCCCATTGCAACCCCTAGCATGCCCTCATACCTAAGCTGCAGTGGCTTATGGTGAGTAGGATTCATTTTTGAATTCTGCTTTTCCAGCCGGGAGAGCCATTAAAAGAAAACAGCTCCCCATCTCCAGCCCGTGTTGCACTATGTTTTATCATTTCATATAAGGATGTACAGAAAGAAAGCTGCCTGGTAGGCAGAGGTGGCTGTACACTATTGCATGACAACAGGGTGGTAATGAAGTTGCTGGTGGCAACTTCAAGAGAACGGGTAGGGGGATGGGGGATGGGGGGGCTAAGTTTGGTCCTTTGACCTCTCCCTCTATGGACCTCGCCTGATGTGCTCGTTCCACCGAATCTCATTTACTGGGTGGCCATCACAATGCTAAATTTAATGCCACTCAGTGGGCAAATAACTTCCAGGTGTATATCCATGTATCAGATGGCCATGTGATGTGGGCCTCAGAGGGGAGTGGTAGGATCCTGTGGAGCACACTGTCGGGTGGAGCTAGACCCAGGAGCCAGGTTTCCTGTCTCTTAGCTGTCCCTTCAGTCCCATCCCAGCAGCCAAATCTAAGAGTTTGAGCATGGCCTCTGACTCAAACTGTTTAACTTGTCCTTGAGCGTTGACTTGAACTTCAGCTGTTTTAACAATTGGCTATCGCTGCGCTGCCTACCCCTGCCTTTTTCTTTGCTCAAGTCCTTTCCGAGACATGTTTAGCAAGAGAAGGTGGAAAGATTGTAAGAGCTAGAGGAGCAGAGAGATTGCTGTGAGACCATCTCTCCTAGTAACATAAGAAGCTCTGCCCCTGAAGCCTCACCAATATGACTGCCCAAACGTGCCCCGAACAAGGACGACACAAATTGACATGACAAAACGGACAAGGAAGAGCCCACAAAGCCTCTACCCTACACAAAAAAACTACAGGCAACTGAGGAAAGCCGAGGGCCAGAGGTAGTATTCCCCAGGGAAGAACACACCCATTGGTCATCCAGTGCCAAATGTCAGCCTTGAAAACATATAGAGATAGCATTATAAGGACTGAACAGGATGTGTTTAGGAATATACATGTATGTACATATTTGTATGAAATAACAATTGATGAAAAAAGAAGTCATGAATTTGAAGGAGAGCATGTGGAGGAGGAAAATGGAAGAGAGATATATTGTAATTTTACTTAATAATATTATAATGTTAATATACATATGAGGCAGACAGAGAGAGAGAGACAGAGAGAGAGAGAGAGAGAGAGAGAGAGAGAGAGAGAGAGAGAGAGAGAGAGAGAGAGAGGAAGAAAGAAGGGAAGAAAATACCAGGAACAAAAGTATAATGGTTTACTTAGTTGATCTCATTTTCTATTCTATAGCCTAGTCCTTATAATCTAGATAATCTAGGATTTGGCAAAACTGCTTGCCATAAAAGAGTAAGTTTCCCAGTGAGCCATGCAGAGGATTTTGGCTTATAGACAGACGCATAAAGAAAAGATGGTATTAGACACTACAGAGTTACTTTGCTTTTAAGGCAGGGACAGAAAGCAGAAGGGTAGCTAACTGGTGGGTCAGCATCAGGTTGCTTTTGTAGGTTACCTTTTGGTCGTGAGCCTAGCCTTTAATGGCTGAGCCATCTCTCCAGCCCTGTAGGTCACCTTTTTTGAGGAACTTTGTTAGCATACTTGCTGAAACCGACCGCTTTTGGGGGAGTTAGGCTGTTATCTCTCCATGATGAGGTCTTGGAAGGTAGATATTCCACTTGGCCATGCTGCATTTGAACTGTGGTGAGTGACTCCATGTTGACTTTAGCCTGATCTGTTGGGGACCCATGCAGGAACTTAATCCAAAACAACGATTTCCTGTAATTTGTATTTGACTTCAGAGACCTCTGGTGAGGTTTGGTGTTTGTATTTCCAGATCGTGCTCGTAAGACCTCCTTGTTCTCAGGTCATGCTTCAGAGACTGTCTCTGCTTCCCGCTTTCTCCTTACCTCTCCTGTCTTTCCCAGAATTGCCATGGAAACCTACATCCGCCAGAGACAGCTCATCATGTCACCTTTGATAACCTCACACGTGATTGGAGAGAATGAGCCGCTCACTTCGGTTTTAAATAAAGTGATAGCTGCAAAGGAAGTGAATCACAAAGGACAAGGTACACCGCCTGCCCAGGGCCAGGGGACTTTGTCCAGGGTGGGAGGAAACATCCAGAGCATGGTCCCTGGACTGCCCTTTCACCGTCTCTGATACCAAACAGCCTCCCCTGGACACTGCCCTCCTCAGTCATCTCCTGCTGAAGATCCTCAGTCATTCACCCTCCCTGGTGGAATCAGGCTTGAATTTGGAAGTTCTGTGGAACAGACTTTTCCCCCACAAGTCCTTTCTTCTGCCCTCTGTTCCCACTATTAATTTGAAGTAAATGTGCCAACAAAGAGTGATCCAGGAGGCACTGTGCACTGTGCCCTCAGTAAGCTTATTTCTTTGTACATTTAGTGGAACTAGGAGACAGGCAATCCAGATGATTATCTGCTAATACGAACGCAAGAGAACTTAGAGGCCGCCTTGCAAAGCTTTTAGATTTTCTCTGGAACCTCCATGTACCTGTCTTTTGATGGCTTCAGCTAAGAGAAAATCTTGTGGAAACGTTTCAGATTCCAGTAGTAGGGAAAAATAGTTGCAACATTAGAAGGCAAATGCCAAGATGGCAACCAGATGTGAAGGCAGTGTCTTCTCGTTGCCCTGTAACTGCCCTTTGAAATGAAGGCAATCAGGAAAATGAACTATTTTCAGGATGCTCAGTTTCTCACAAATTACAGTTATTTGGGTAAAAAGAAATAAGAGCAATAAATAATCTGGTTATTAGCCCCCCCCCTTTGCATGTTTCTTCGTGTATGCTTGTTTACATATGTGTGGGCACAAGGGTAGGGGTGTGTGTGCACATCTGTGTGTGAATGCTGTGGTCTGGGTCTTCATATTTCCGCTTATCTAGCTAGCATCTAAACTCAAGTCTTCAGGCTTGCACAGCAGGAACTTTACATTCATAACCATCTCACCTGCCTTTTTAGAGCATTTTTTTAATATAATTTTAATTAGAGGAGAACATGTTAGGAATAAAGCGCGAGGGGACCTTGGTGGGTTCCATGGTGGGCGAGGGACAAGCATGCCAGGCAGACAGAGCTTAAGTGGGAGGTTTTATTAGAAAGGGAAGGAAGCGGGGAAGGAAAGAGAAAAGAGGTAAAGAGACACAGAGACAGAGAGAGGGCAGAAGAGAAGAGGGAGACGGGAAAAGCCCCTTCTGCCCCTTCAGGGGAACCGGGGAAAGAGAGCGGAAGTGGGCCGGGTTTTTCTTTTTCAAGTGTCCTCTGTGCCTGGGCTGACCTGGGTACTGCCTGAGTGCATTCTGCCAGGTGAAGGAGCAGACCAGTGCCTGAATCCTTATAGAACATTCTTATACTAATGAGATTACTGTTTACATATGATTTCCTTTTTTGGAACAAAACAGAAAACAATGTCATTCCTTTCTTGTACTGAAACAAGGTCTTTTCGGATGTCTTTTTATTCAAAATTTAATTTAAATATTTTGGTTGGGTTTTGTTTCAAGGGGGGTTGGAGAGAGACAGAGTGGGGGAGAGAGAGGCAGACAGTCATATTATTTGTAATGTAAAGAGTAAAACAAAGGGAGCATCATCCTGTGGCTCACAAGGCCTGTTTAGGACATTTGCTCATTGTCTTTCTCTCCTGATTTCTCAGAAGGCCAGATAACAGTTCAGTTTTCTTTTAAAGCTGTAGAACTTGACCACAAGTTACTCCATTTTAACATTTAGCCTGATGGGTTGCAGGTGAGCACCTAAGTGTCTTCTCTAGCTGGTCAGCTAGAGAAGCTGTAAATTGAAGCCATTCTACTGTGGCTCTTTGTATTGAAGCTTTCTCCATGTGTGGGGCCCGCTGCTCAGGGACTCCCACAAGTAGGACTTCTGGGTTAGTGGTGGGTACAAGCTTCAGGCCAGGTGAGACCCAGGCATTGCCTGTGCTGGCCCTCAGAGTGTTTATCCTGCATGCCCTGCCCTGACTAAAGGTGGCAAGTAGACTCTGGTCCCCAAGTGTTTAAATAAGTACCTTGAGTCTGCATTGTCTAACAGCTACATGAGTTTCCTGGTGTCCCATCTCAGATTTTATAAGGAAGATAATTCTTCTTCTGTCTTCTAAAGAAGACAATTTTTGGTTTGCTAAACTTTTGCTTCTCTTTGATTTGTGTATTCATGTCATATTTCTTTGTGAGGACCTTTGTCACCGATACTGATATAAAGCTTTATACCTGTTTTATGTATCAAAACTTTCAGTTTACATATGGATAATTATTTTGCTTTTAGAATTTGTTTCTCTGGTTTAAGAAATGATTAATTCCAGGACTGATGCAGTGTCTCAGGAGTTAAGAGCACTTACTGTTCTTGAAGAGGACCAGGGTTCAGTTTCCAACATCTGTACAGTAGCTCATACCATCTGTGACTCCAGTTCCAGGGGATCTAATGTCCCTTCTGATCTCCTCCGGTACCAGGGATGCATTTGACACACAGACATTCAAGCAGGCAAAAACACTCATACACATAAAACAAAATAAATGAATCTTTTAAAAAATAGCCTAATTTTCAGAGATTTAATAGCTACTTGCTTTTCCCCCTTTCAACATGCTCATGGTCCTATTTGTTTCTCTATTATCTTAGCAATTTACCTTAATGAAAATGTAAGACATTATGTTGCTTCTGTTTTTAGTAGCAAGAAAAATAATTTTTGAAATTAGTTCTTTAAAATTACTTATTTTCATTTATAGCTGTATGAGTTTCTGGCACATGCGTGTGTGCCCACAGAGGCCAGAAGAAGGCACAAGATTCCCTGGGAGATACAAATCGTTGTGAGCTGCTCAGCATTGGTGCTAGGATTCAAACTTGTGTCCTCTGGAAGAGAACAAGTGTTCTTCATTTTTGCTCTCATTGTCTGTACTACTAATGTTATATTTAGCAAGTGGTCTCCTGTACCAGTGCATTCAAGGCTACTTCCTACTTTCTCTTCTATGAAGTGTGGTTGGTCTTATGTTGAGGTCTTTGATCCATTAGGACTTGTACATGGTGATGAATGTGGGTCTATTTGCATTATTCTACATGTGGACATCCATTTGTGCCAGCACCAATTATAGGTGTGCTTAATCATCCAGTCATCTCTTGAGGCCCTTAAATTCATGGTTTTTATTCATGATTTTTTCCTGCCTCTGCCATCACTTACAAAACTGCCACGTGTTGTGTATGTAATCCCACAGTTTCCACTGATTTCTGTATGTTTTTTGGCCACTACGGCCACATAATATTAGACTTTGGACACACGCACTTCAGTGTCAAGTAGGATAATCTTTACTCTTTTTCTCCACTGAAGTCAGTCATATCTGTTGACTTCTCAAGTAAGTTCTCTAATGAGTTTGAAGGAAGTGTCATTGGAAGGATGTCACCCTGGGAGGGTTATGTGTTTATCCTGGGGTGTCTGATTGAGTTCATACAAGCTTCTATGTGTGTGTTGCAAAGATCATAACAGAGACTGGAAACTTGTCCTTTTTTTCCCCCTTATAGGACTTTGGGTGTCCTTAAAGTTACTGCCAGGTGACCTCGCTCAGGTGCAGAAGAACTTTTCACACCTGGTGGACAGATCAACAGCAATAGCTCGGAAAATGGGCTTTCCAGAAATAATTCTGCCAGGTACACACTTTGCTGGAGTCCTGTTTTATCTTTCTTTTCCATGTCAGAAGGAAGGATTAGCTCTGTTCAGACAGTTGAGGCAATCTGGTCCCTAAGAGGACATCATTGAGGGTTCATTGCATCAAGAAACTGGTGACAGAGAGTTGCAGCATCCTAAAACATTATTCAATGAGCAAGACCAAGAAAACACCTTTAAATATCACTCAGTGTTCTCAACTCATTCTGTCCTGTCCTGTTCTGTATACATGCTCCCCAAACTTGACTTCTTTCTCAGGGAGCAAACTGGTGATCCAGTGTCTTCAGTCCGGAAATTAACTGCTTCATTGACAAGGGCTTTTTCTCCTCATGTCATCATCTACTTTGGGCTCAGCGCCATCTCTGTGAGTTGCTGTGCTCTATTCCTGTGTGCTCTTAACTGCTCTGCTTGCCCATTCTGCAATTTCTCCATTCTTGTTCTGCTCTCACCTTTCACCTCATTAGTGACCTGCAGTTGTATTCACTGAGTTTGCTGACTTCACCCATTTAATTCTCTCATCTCCATCATGGTCAGGGGAACCATTCTCTGAGGAACTTGATCAATAATCATATGAACTAATTGGTAGTGATGAGTCTTGTGGACAGCCAGTCATATCACATTTGAAAATTCTAGGAAACCAACTTGCTGTGTACTACCTGAGAACAGATCTTTTGACTGTCAGTGGTAGTTTTTCCACCTTTAGGAATCTAAGGGGCAGTGGTAGTTTGTTTTACACACACTGCTGGAGAATGAAGGGTGTTTTAGTGAATACTTACAGAGTGAATGAATTGGAATTTCTATAAAAGGGAGGTTGTTGTGTCTTCTTTTTTCATAAAAGCAGCTCTGTCCATTGCAAAGCTGTTTTTAAACCTGACTATAAACTCACCAGCATTTGGGGGAAACATTTTGCTTTTTTTCATTATTTAGTTTTGTTTTTGAGACAAGTTCTCACAGTGAGCCCAGGATGACCTGGAACTTGAAGCAATCTTCCTGCCTCAGTCTTTAGTTGCTGGAACTATAGCTGTGCACAAACTACTACCCAGTTGTCTTACAGTTAAAACAAGTAACTATTGACAATATTCTCTTGTAAGTCAACTTTACTGTTAGGCAAGACAGGGATGTAAAAATTGGGAAATGTATTTTTTAGACAAGCTGACTTTATCTTGAAGATATTGGAAGACATTTTATCCGTGGGTTTGACTCAGAACTCCAGGGCTGTAATGGGCTTTAAACTCTGTTTAGGGGAGAGGTTTCCATGCTACTCTGTGGATCAGCTCAGTAAGATCCCCTCAGGGTCTCTATGGTACAGAAGTGCATGGGTTCAAGATGTCACTCAGTGGTGGAACAACACTAGCTTAGTTAGCATAGATAAACCCCTGCATTCCCTTCCTAGCACTGAAGAAAAAGACAGTGGCTAGCTTGATCCATGGTGTATGCCTGCCAGTCATTGACCACTGTGGAGGGTGAGTCAGGAGTTGTGAGTTAGAGATCAGCCTGAGCTGACACTGACTTGTCCTTCCCCTGAGGCCTTTTCTAGGCACCTCCTGTCTTCCTTAGTCATTCTGCAGCTTTGCTTTAGGGCTGTCTTAACAAACACCATTGAAAAGGTCCCGTGACTATGGGGATTTACTCCTCCATGTTTCTGGAGGCTGCCTGTCCAGGAACAAGGCATTTGCAGGGATGCTTTTTTCTAGGCAGGTGCCCGTGGCCATCTCCCTTGCTGTCGGTGTTCTCATCTCCTTTTGTGAGGACACCAGTCATATTAGAAAATGATCCAAGTTCACTTTAATTACCTTTTAAATAAATGGCCTATCTCCAAATACAGGCATTCTGAAAGCTCTGGGCTTCAACATATGAACAAGGCAGGCATAGTTCAGCCCATAATAGGTTAGCTTTCTTTGTCAACCATATTCAGTCCCTGGATGATAGTGTACACTCATTTGACTTATATCTATCAATGTCTTTTGTCCCCATCTTTAGCACCAAGACTTCTTTGGGCTTCAGGCCATCTAACCATCTATTTCCTCCATCCAGGCCCTGGCTTACTCTTTATTACCTCACCCCACCCCAACTAGCTCACTCTTGTCTTTCCTTTTAACACTCACAGTGGGACTGCCTGTCCCTCAGGAACCATGCTCACCTCCAGCTAGCTAAAGAAATAAGAACCCTGTAAGACACTATTAAAAATATGCTCGACAGCCTAGCAAAATATATGCTTTTTACCATATGTGACAATATGTGACAAAGAAATTACTATTGAAAGAATTGGATGCCTGAGGTGGCTTAGTAATTAAAAATTTTTGCTGCACAACACTAATGGCTTATAGAATCCACATACGAAAGCCAGGTGTAATGGCTCACATCTGTTATCTGTTATCCCAGCACTCCCTACAACAAGATGAGAGACAGAATTGCTTGGAAGCTTGGAAGGGCAGGGCAGCAGTAAAAATAACAAGAGAGACACTGCCTGAAAAAGAGCATGAAGGAGGAAAACTGACTCCAGAGAAGTTTCCTCTGACCGCCACACCCATGTTGTGGCATGCACGTGTACATGTATGTGTGTGTACAGTAATTAAAAAAAAAAAAACTTAATCTTACCAAACATGTACATCACAGACGTCTTGATAGGTAGTGAAAGCTGGGATGAGAGAGTAGTAAAAGACTTCCATGGAATAACTAGGTCATTACCACCAGATCATTTCCTATTTACCTTTCGTGTGTTGAATCATGGGATTTTGAAATGTGTTATTCTCAGGAGCACTCACTGGAGCCTTGTCATGTTGCAGGGGATGTTCGAAATGATATTTATGTCACCCTGATCCATGGGGAGTTTGATAAGGGGAAGAAGAAGACACCTAAGAATGTGGAGGTGACCATGTCTGTGTTTGATGAGGAAGGCAGCCTTTTAGAGGTGCGTAGTATCCCCTGCAAATGCCATTGCCATCACACCTACTCTGTAGTGGGAGCCGACTGCTGTTCAGACTTACTGCCTGTGTTCCTCATTCCGGGGTTTAGGTCTTCTTTTCTGGTGTTTTGTTCTTTGATTTGTTCTCACTAGGTAGTTGAAGCTGCCTCAAACATGTGATGCCTCTGCCTCCTGGGTGCTGGGATTGTACACATGCACCAGCACCAGCATGCTCAATGTTTTTTCATTAGGGAAAATATATATAAGACCGAAAATCTAGGATTTTTCAGTGGCCAGTTTTATTCCTGAAACCATTTAGATTTATTTTGATATTTCCCCTGTGCAGAGATTCTGTAGGCCACTTAGCTTTTCTTTGACATTTTTGAGCTATTTAGCTACTCTTAGCTTGAGCACAGTGCCAGAAGTGTCCCAAAGGCCTCAAAAGGCACAGCGCCATTACCTGGGTCAGTAGAGCCAGCAGACATCTACCTGAAGGAGCATCTTGAAGCTAAAAGCAGGCACTCGTGGGTGTAGGCCAGCTAATGGTGATTTCCAGCATTAGTCATTCTAAGAATCTGCACCTGAGCGAGTTCTCTTATGGGGAAATGCAGACGTGAGCTGGGCCTGCCTGACTTCCAGTGCAGAGTTCCTCTGACTCTGGCAGTTTTCTGGCCTTGTAAGCAAGGACATCTAAACTTTAAGGGTTGAGAAGCACTGGGTGGCCACAGGAGGCTTCCGTTGCCCCCACCTAATTACTTTGGTATCTAAAAGTCAAAGTCTAGGCTCCTGAAACTCTATGTGTCCTGGGATGATGTTCCCCAAATATTCAGTCATTGTGCATAATTCAACCATTGTGTTTCTTTAAAGTAGGAAACTACATTCAGTAAAATCGCTGCAATTCATAGCATGCAGTTTTGGGGGCTGAGGATCTGGAGGCAGCAGCGTTAGTTGTTATTATATGGGACAAGTGTATGTGCTGTGTGTTCAGATTCAAGGCTCCAGAGAAGTCTCCCAATGCAATGTGGATGAATATTGCTAGTCTCTTCTCGGATCACTACACCTTTGATTTTGAGTTAATTTTTGACTGTTGGGCATTCAGAAACATTTTCCTATAGCCGTATTTTTCTTGACCTCGTATTGTCTCCTAATTGTGTCTTTCCAACCAAAGAAAGCCATTCATCCTGGTGCTGGGTACGAAGGCGTCTCCGAGTACAAGTCAGTGGTGTATTACCAAGTCAAGCAACCTTGTTGGTATGAGACCGTCAAGGTGAGAACTCTGTTTCTGGCTCCATCAGCTGTGGGCTCTTGTTTAGTTTCCTGTCTGCCTTTTAAATCCCAGATCCATCTTAACCTTACCTGGAATTTCAGATAAGCTGTAGTAAGAGATGAACAATGGGAAGGGGTGTGGGTGGGGGCATAATCAAAATACATCGTATGAAATTCTCAAGGAACTAGCCTTCTAAAAAGCTGACTTGGTGGCTGAGAGTTCTTTAGAGCATCTATTTTTAAGAAGCCCAGCATTCTGAAAGAATATTCTCATTCATAAATGTATAAAGACTGGAATAGAGAAACTGGCAGCTGTAATAAGGCGGTAGGCTGCCAAGATGCTGCAGACAAGCAAAGATTTCTGTACTCTGCCATCAGCTTCCTAATGTGTTGTTCTTGTTGGCCCTTGCTAGCACGTTCTGGGCCTCTTCAGTGTGAGGAGGGTTTTGCGAATTGCAAAGTGCTTTCAGATCCAGCATCTCCTGTGGGCTCACAGTGGCCTTAAAACTAGACAAGTGCTTAGGACATTGCCATGGCTTCTTCCCAAAGAGGTAGCAGGCCCAGGGAAGTGGCTCCTAAGATCTCAGAGCACCTTGGGGTCAACCTAAGACAGGTCACTTTTGAATGCCTGGGCTTCAGCAGCACCCATTGTCCGATTGGCAGGGTTGTATAAGGTTCTAAGCAGAAAATCCACAGGCAGAAATACAGTCCTCATGTCTCAGTTAGGAAGCAGTTGTTTTTCACATTCTTCTGCAGTCCCTGTTTTTTTTATGGTGCTTTTTACATGAATTTATGATTTTTTTAAATCAAGTTCTCACTCTGGAACTCTAGCTATACTAGAAATTGCCATAAAGTCCAGGGTTGCCTTGAATTTACAGAGATCCACCTACTGAGACTAAAGACACATACTGCCACTCCTGGACGTATTGTGCTTTAAAGCCACTTATCTCAGGGTTGTGAACCCTTCAGGGCTTTAGATACTAATGCTGTTACACTGTCTCTTGTGACTTGCTATACTACTATCTATGACAGAAAACTTCTCCACCCTGGCATTTTATCTTAACTTCTCCTGTAGATACTAGTCACCTGGCATCTGCATGGGACTTCCAATCGGAAAGGTACTGTGTAAACCTCAAAATCCAGGCACATAATATGTCCAAACTCCAACAAAACTGTGATAAACAGCAGAATGGTTTCCCTCTGAGATTCTTTTGGCTTGAGAATGGCTGTGTGAATGAAGCCTGCTAGCAAGCCCTGGGTCTCTGAAGGATAAAATAGAGATAACATATAAAAGCCAAATCTAAGTCTCTTTTACTCAGAATCGTTAAGAGGGAGGACTTTGAATATGGTCACCCTGAGCAAAGGGCAAAAGCTTCAAGCAGTAGATATGCTAAGTATCTTGGTTGGAACAATTCAGAATGCTGTACCCTGTAAATGTATATGATCCTGGGTCAGAAACATGCAGTACAGTTGAGAGGATTTGATCCCAAGTAAGCCCTAAAGCCCTAACTTCCAATTCCTCCCTTTTATGCAGGTCTTTATTGCTATAGAGGAGGTCACACGCTGCCACATCAGATTTACTTTCCGACACAGATCATCCCAAGAATGTAAGTGATAGGACGACTGTGACATATTTCCTCCCCCCCCCCCCATTTTAAAACAAGTTGTTTCCTAACATGTTTTGTGAATTTGAAAGAGTGGAAAAATTGGCAATTGGCAATTTTATCTCAGAATTCATATGGTATGGGGAAAATCAAATAGTGTTTTGTTTTTTGTTTTTGTTTATTTCTGAGTGCTGGGGATTGGATCCACAGCCCTGTAGATGATGGGTATGTATCCTACCATGAAGGTACAGTACATCTCTAGCATATACGGTCGTAGCTGCTTTTTTTCAGACAGCATCTCAATATGTAGCCCAGGGTACCTCAAGTTTGTATTCTTCTTGCCTCAGTTTCCCAAGTAGCTGGAGTTATGAGTATGAGTCACCACACCCAGTTTCATTAAAGGGGGTTTGCCATGAATGAGTCTGATTTGAGAGTCCCTCCTCCTACTCTGGAGAGTGTTGGATAAAAAGGCATGACTATAAAAGGAAGGATTTATTGAGATAAACAGATAGGGTGAGCATGCCTTGGCCTTTAGTAGGAACAGGGTATGGATAATTCAGTAGATGGCAGTCTCCATTGTCAGGCAATGTGTGAAATGTCAGTTTGGGAGCAGCCGTGAGAGTGATACAGACAAGCTTACTGGTGACCTGTGTTTATTACCCTGTGGTTGAACATCACACCCAGAGCAAATGTGAGATTAACCGCCACAGCTATCTTCTCTTAGTGCCCACACACATGGCTTAGGCATATATTTCTGTCTTTTCAGCCAGAGATAAATCAGAGCGAGCTTTTGGAGTAGCCTTTGTGAAACTGATGAACACGGATGGCACCACCCTGCAGGATGGGCGGCACGATCTGGTGGTATACAAGGTGATGCTCGTAGAACCGGACTTCAGAAGGGCTCAGTATACACCTCTTCCTTGTGAATATGGGTTTTCAGGCTTGTCTGGGATTTACATGTATAAGCTTCAGAAATCCATTCAAAATTACATGTGTGGGTTCCAGATTACACCTTAGTGGTCTTGCACCTCTTGTGGGAGAGTGAGTTGCGTGACTATGGAGTGTTCCAGGAGCATCTTACTGGAGGGCAGAGGGTGTGCCTTGGTTCTGATTAGTAAAGGGCAGAGCCCTTGATTCTGCTGCCCATCAGCCATGGAGGGCCATGCCTGGCTAGAACCTGGAGGGTATGATAGATGTGGTTTTTATTGCATTGCACCTTAGGCACCATTTCTTTGCTGTCTGGGTTCTGCTATTTTTCCTGTTTTGCGCCCATTCCCTGCTCACTGTTCTGTGCCCTACACCTACCGAGATTTTAGAGTTTAAAGTACATGCCGGGAGATCTCAGTTACCCAGCAATATTTAGCAGATGGTGGCTGACACATAGTAGGCAGCTCATCTGTGTTGTGCCTCACCAATGAACATTTTCTTTCCTTAGCATGTCTTAACAGTTTGAGAATCCACAGGGAGCTGCTTCTTTCTCCATTGGCCCAATGAAGTGCACACATGACTGTTTATAAGTTCTAGAGACTCAAACTCTACCTTATTCTGTAATGCATGTGTTTACTTCTGGCAGAGAATAGGTTCTGATGTCCAGTTCAAAATTTACTGCTTTATTATTCCATGATGAAGTTATTTCTCCTGTAAATTCTGTAGGAGATAATGTCTAAAGTATATGGGATTAAAAATATAATTTGAGAAAGCCACACATCCCCTACTCATGTTGACCGTGTTCTTCTTGGGACAGGTAGGTCTCACTAGCACATGAGAGATGTTGCCCAGGCTCTTGTCTTTCTAACTTGTTTCCCTTGCAGGGTGATAATAAGAAAATGGAAGATGCAAAATACTATCTGACCCTGCCTGGGACCAAAGCAGAGATGGAAGAAAAAGAACTCCAAGCATCCAAAAACCCGTCTGTCTTCACACCCAGTAAAGACAGCACGAAGGACAGTTTTCAGATCGCCACCCTCATTTGCTCCACAAAGCTCACCCAGAATGGTAGGTGTGGGGACGGCCCTGGCCTGGTCCTCTTAGGCTCAATCCTGGGTTAGACTCATGGTGCTGGACCATGTGGCAGCAGCTCTTCTGAAGCAGGATGCTTGGCAGTTGGATTCTGCCCTCTGATCCTCCAGTGATGTTCTACAGCGTTGTTAGTTACTTCTTCAGGTGCTGTGGCAAAATGCTTGACAGGAGCAATTTGAGTAAGGAAAGTACTTACTCAAGTACTTGGCTCATAGTTCAAGGGTACAGCCCACCACAATGGGATGGGGGTGGGCTAGTCGATGCAGTAATACTGCCCACATTTTAAGTGGGACTCCAACCTCCATTAGCACAATCTAGAACTCCCTCACATGTGCTCACAAGTTTGTCTTCTCAGCGGCTCTAGATCCTGTCAAGTTGACAAAGTAATTTGCCAGCAGAAATGTGTTTTCATATCAGAAAAATGTAAGCATATTCATGAATTGGTAGAATTCAGAAATGTCATGTTAACTTCGTTCCAGGCATCAAAGATAATGTTGGGGGTTTGTTTGTTTGTGGTAGTAGATGGTATAGCAAAGGTTAGTAATAAGGGGCAGACTTTGGCAGTATCAGTCTCTTGCCCAAACAGGAATGCCAGAGAGCAGCTTGTTTTTGTTACATTGTTATTTTGATCAGGGTCTCCCTATAGAGCCTAGACTGGCCTAGAATTAGCCGTGATCCTCTTGTCTCAGCCTCCCAAGTGCTGTGCTTATAGGTATGAGCCCCCACACCTGATAGAGTTCCTCTTTCTCCTAGTCTTCCCCCTTCCATTGCTCCAGGAAACCAGGAATTTTCCATGAAACCAGCACCATAGTTTAAACAAGACTCGATTTTGTTTCTCCTCAAACCTCTGGCACAAGTTTTAACCTCTTGTATTTAACGTGGCATTTGATAGCATCAACAGTTACTCATATAACCTGTGTCACATAGAAGAAGCCTTGCTGACCAGCAAGCCCAGAATGTACTGTTGCCCAGGGGTCTTACCTTAGCAGGTTCATATCTATCCCAGGTGGTATGCATAGGATTAGGCCTATGAGCATGAGGCTGATTTGGGTTGGAGCAGGAGAATCAGAGCACTGCCTTAGGAGAGTGAATTGCAGAGGGAAGGCACACTCGGGAACTCAGATCCTGGGCTCCTTAGAAGGAGTCATTATCAAGTTGATTTGGACAAGTCACGGCTGGCTAGCAAATAAAAGTGGTGTTTCAACTTGGGCCTGTGGATGGACTCAACAGAGTGAAGTTTAGAACTAATCTAGTGGGAAGGCGAATCTGCTTAAGAAGGGAAGTGTCCTTAGCTTCACAGAAAACACAAAAAGCTTGTGCCAGTCTCATAGGCCTAACTATGGGAGGAGGAGTGTCAATGTAATGAACTGCTGGTAGACGCTAAAGGTTTAGTAGTCACAGATGTGGGGCTCATGGGGGTGTATGTGTCAATGTAATAAACGGCTGACAGACAGTAAAGGTATAGTAGTCACAGAATCTGAGTGTAACCCATAGACATTGAACTTGGCATTAGTGAGATGTGTGCATCAGCTCTTATCATAAAGGATGTTTTCTGATATTTACAATGTGGACACACTGGAAGCAGCCCAAATAGCTGGTGGTTGGAATCCATTTTAATTTGAGAGTTCAATCGAATAATAAAATATATGTGGCTACTGAGGTCATAGACATGGGAGACCACTTCCTAAATAGAGCACTGAGAGCAACCATTAATAAATGGGACCTCCTGAAACTGAGAAGTTTCTGTAAAGCAAAGAACATGGTCAACAAGACAAAATGACAGCCCACAGAGTGGGAAAAGACCTTCACCAACCCCACATCTGACAGAAGGCTGATCTCCAAATTATACAAAGAACTCAAGAAACTAAACATCCAACTATCAAACAATCTACTTAAAAAATGAGGTACAGACCTAAGCAGAGAATTCTCAACAGAAAAGTCTCAAATGACTGAAAGACGCTTAAAAAAATGCTCAACATCCTTAGTCCATCAGGGAAATGCAAATTAAAACAACTCTCAGATTCCACCTTATACTGATCAGAATGGCTAAGATAAAAAACACCAATGATAGCTTATACTGGAGAGGATGTGGAGTAAGGGGAACATTTCTTCATTGCTGGTGGGAGTGCAGACTTGCACAGAAGCTGTGGAAATCAGTATGGTGATTTCTTAAAAAATTAGGGATCAACCTACCTCAAGGCCCTGCATTACCACTGTTGGGCATATACCCAAAGGAGGCACATTCACATCACAAGGACATTTGCTCAACTATGTTCATAGCAACATTATTTGTAATAGCCAGATCTTAGAAACAACCTAAATGCCCCTCAACTAAAGAATGGATAAAGAAAATGTGGTATATTTACCCAATGAAGTACTACTTGGTGGTTAAAAAATAATGACATCCTAAAATCCTAAAATTTGCAGGCAAATGTACAGAACTAGAAAAAAAAACCTCCTGAATGAGGTAACCCAGAACCAGAAAGACAAATATAGTATATACTCACTCATAAGTGGATACCAGACACAAAGCAAAGATACCCAGCCAACAATCCATAACCGCAGAGAAGCTAGAATCCCCTTCTAGAAACAGATGGAAGCAGATGCAGAAATCCACAACCAACCATTGATCCAAGGTCCTGGAGTACAATTGAAGTGAGGGAGGAGCGATAATATGAACAGAAGAGTCAAGACCATGGTAGGGAAACCCAGACCAGAGCTAGTGAGAGATCACTGACTCCGGTGTGACAAATGGAGAACCTGCATAAGACTGAACTAGAATCCCTTAATATAGGTGACAATGGTTCATCTGGGACAATATATGATGCCACTGGCAGTGGGTCCAATACCTAACATTAATTCAAAAACTGACTTAGTGGAGCCCATTCTACGTGGAGAGATGCCTTGTTCATCCTAGACTCAGGGGTGTGCAGGATGGAGAGGTGCCTTGGTCCTGCCTCAATGAGATGATGGAACAGACTTAGTAGACTTCCTAGGGAAGACTTTACCCTCTCCAAGGAGCAGATGGGAAATGGGGGGGGGTGGGGGGGAGCAGGAGGAGAGGAGGGAGGGGGAACTGGAATTGGAATGTAAAAAATAATAATATAAAAGAAAATAAATGTAAAAGAAAAAAGGGAAAAATAGTGAGTGGCATGGCAAACGTGTTACTCTACATGTGATTCTGATTTTGTTTCAGTGTATGGAAGCTAGTTAGAGCTAGATTGCCTCTGTCAGTCCCAGCTTGCAATGACTTCTGTGACTTGGTTTCCCCATCCTTAAACAAGAGTAACAGATAGTGTATGTTGAATATCCCTTGTCTAGAATGCTTGGGACTAGAAATACTTTGGTTTTAAAAGTTAAAACAGTGGTATACATGGAATATGTTATTCTGGGAAAAGTCTAATCATGAAATTAGTTTGTTTCTGCATTTATTAGCTACCATGTTTAGAGTCAGATCAAGCTGTAGTTAAACCCCACTCCTGCTGCCCCTTGGTAGTAATGTGACCTAAAGCAAGTGATTTAGTATCGCACACCTACAGTATGCATCAAAGTGAACTGATGTGTCTGTGTGTTGTTCCTTCTCTGTGGATCTGCCCAGACATGGAAATCAATTAGACAGGAAATTGGAGACAAGAGTCTAAGTTTACTTTTATAATGATGATGTCATCATTTGAGAAACACAGGTTCCAGTCAGTCATTATTTTATGTTCTTGCACATCAGTAGCTGTCTTTATTCCTTCTCTGAGAGCCTAAAGAGAATCACAAGTTTTTCTCTGATTTTTATGAGAAATAATAAATTGCAATAATACCCAAGGTACTTCCTTAAAATAGCTACGATGAAGAGCAGTTTACTTTTAAAAATCTTTGTGGATATGTTATGCATGTGTTCATATGTGTACAGGCAGGTATGTGCCACATTGCACATGCATAGGTAGGTCAGAGAACACCCTTGGATGTCCTCATCTTCTGTGTTGTTTGAGACAGGGTCTTCTTGTGTTTGCTACTGTGTAAACCAGGCTGTCTCTCTCATTGTAGGAACACTGGGGGCTTCCGATACGCACTAGTGCAGCCAGCCTTATGAGGGTTCTAGAGATCCGAATTCAGGCCTTTATACTTGCATGATAAACACTTTTATCCCCTGAGCCATTTCCCCAGCCTGGCAGCAATGATCTGTTCTGGAAAATTCTATGGCTATGTCTTCTAATGTCTGTGGTTTGTGTTCTTCCCAGTGGACCTGCTTGGCTTATTAAACTGGCGTTCCAACTCTCAGAACATTAAACACAACCTGAAGAAGTTGATGGAAGTGGATGGGGGAGAGATTGTTAAGGTATGCCTGCCTCTGTGTCCGTAGCCGCAAGCATACTCACTGTGTTCCCATTTCAGTTAAGCCAACAGGAAATCTAAAACTCAGTATCTGCACAGCTACGCCAGTGTGCCAATCCTACCAAAATATTCATTCACATCCATTCTGTTAGAACACAGTGACCCCTCACTTTTTCTGTAGCATGTAGCAGGATGAACCCCAAGTAACATCTGTTTCTTGTACCTGCAGTTTTTACAGGATACACTAGACGCACTTTTTAACATAATGATGGAAATGTCAGACAACGAAACGTATGATTTCCTTGTGTTTGATGCGCTGGTAAGTGGTTTAGCATATTAACCAGTGTTTATTCTTTGATAGCTCATTTTTAAAGTACCATGAATATCATCAAGCAAAATTATTTGTATACATCTCTCTGAGAATTTCTGTAGCCTAAGCCCCAAGAAGTACAATTAGCAACCAATGTCTTCTCTTCCAAGCTCTTATTTTCTGTTTGACCTTACCTTTTTTGACTTACTTTCACTTTCTCATTAGGAAAACAATGGGTTAATTACATTAGAGATTGGCAGGCACTTGAACTTCTTTTATCGCTCTCTAGTCAAAGCGCTGGAGAAGCCCTTGATAAAGAAACATTTATGTCCTTGTCTGGCCATGTCAGGGGGCTGCATCCACCAGTTTGAGATGAATCTTAGTGTCCTTATGAATCTTAAGCCTATAACAACAACTGAAATCGGAACAGTGATATGTAACCGTGGGGAGCTGTGAAAGGCGGGGGATGTCTTGGGGACAGGAGGAAGCAGACACACCTAGATCCCACCTCCTTTCCTCTCTGTTAATGGGAGTCTCGGACAGGATTTTACCTGAAGATTGGAGCTGAACAGGATTGCAATTGTGCGATGTTTGTCAGCATGGGGAACTGGTCTTTTTAGCGTCGGGTCAGGGCATCAGAGCTAATATTGGAAGATGGAGCCAGGCAATGCTGTCGTCTTGAACTAAATTGGTTTGTAGGGGAAAGAGACCGACTAGAGACCATGGAGATGGACCCTAGCTGGACAGGGCAGCTGGCTCTGGGCATAGATGGCAATTCCATGTGCCTCTTTTCTGCACATTCACCTTTTGTGCATTCCATAGACACAAGGTGACACATAGGGAAGAAATGGGGACACCAAACTCAGTGGCTCATGAGGCATTCATACTCAGCTTGGGGAAAAATCTCATGGGGAATTGTGTTAGTTTGTAATTCCCACACACTTCTTTCTCTGTCTTCCTCCCTCCCCACTCCTGTTGTTCTTCTGTGCCTTAAGTCACCTGTGCACCCCTTTGTGACATTAGCTGCCCACAGCCACTGGTGATGGCCTGGATCAGTTTACCCATAGCAATATGCTGGACACATATAATCTGTCTGTGTTAAATATAAAGCCTAAGGCTTCAGCTTGAATAGAATGCTGCAAAAATAGTCAAGAAAGAAAAGGCACTAGAGGTTAGAGTCTTGGTGTTGGGCAGAGCATCGGGATTGTACAGCACTGCTGTTAACGCCGCCGCCTTTGGCAGGTTTTCATCATCTCACTGATCGGAGACATCAAGTTTCAGCATTTTAATCCTGTACTGGAAACCTACATATACAAGCACTTCAGTGCCACCCTGGCACACGTGTGAGTACGACTCAGGACTGGTGTGTTGTGGGAGTTCTTCCTGGGGCTGGACAGTTGAGAAACAAGAGGAACCTTCATGCAGTCACTGTGGCAGGAGGGTGGGACTATGTCCTCAGCATCTTCCTGGAAGGAGGCCATGCGAATGATGTGTCAGTGGAATGAGGTGTTGGACTCATTCCTTCCCTTCGGGATAAGAATACCCCAGAGTGGGGGCTAGGAGATGGTAGGGTCAGCAAAGTGCTTGCTGTGCAAAGACAGGGACCTGAGTTTGATCCCTAGGGCTCAACTGAAAAACCCAGCATGGTGATGTGTGCCTCTAATCCCAGTACTGGACATGTGGATACAGGGGGATTCCTGAGCCTCCTTGGCTAGCTAGTTACATTGAATTTGTGAGACATGTGGTTGCTGGGAATTGAACTCAGGACCTCTGGAAGAGCAGCCATCTCTCCAGCTGAATTTATAAGCTCCTAATTAGAGAGAAACTGTCTCAAAAATTAAAATGGAGAATGATTATGGAAAACACCTGATGTAGACCTCTGGCTTTAACACATACCTGCTCACACCTATCTGTATGTACATACACGTGTGCAAATGCATGTATATACACAAAACCAAGAAGACAAGACCCAAGTGCTTACAATGGGGAGATGGAGACAGGCATCAGTTGTCAGTGAGGTGGACATGAGGCTCCAAGGGGGTCCAACAATGAACTAGGCAAGACCAAGCCTGGTAGAAAGGCAGGCCACACCCTCAGCCCTACCCACAGTGCTTTGGGGGAACCCACTGCTTGTAGGATATGGCTTTGTTTTCCTTTTACCCAAGAGACAGTTGTCTTAACCTTTTATGTAGAGTAGCCTCCTTTCAGTATGCAGTTTGTGGCTGGTTGACCAGAGGAACCAACCTACTGTGTTCGATTTGCTTCCCCTGAGGTGCTCAGTTCCCATGTGGCCCGCCAACCCCACCTAGGGAATTCCAGTTATTGTGCTGAGTGATGGGACATACCATGACAGGAATGTAGCTGGGATTAGTCCGCTGTCCTCTGGACAGTGGCTCATGCCATGTGAAGATTGAAGTTTCTGTCCCACCTGGTCCCTCAGCCCTTTAGCCCCAAATAAACACACGGATACTGTATTAATTATTAAACTGTTTGGCTGGTGGCAGGGCTTCTTACTGGCTAGCTCTCTCTTAATGATTAACTCATTTCTATTAATCTACATATTGCCATGGCTGTGCTTACCCGTAATCCTGCATGTTACTCCTTCGGCATCATGGCATCTCTTCCTGGCAGATTCTCTCTGCCTTTCTTTCCCCCAAAGTTTCCTCATCTGGTAGCCCTGCCTGTGTTTCCTGCCTGGCTACTGGCCAATCAGTGTTTTTATTTATCAACCAATAAGAGAAACACACATACTGAAGGACACTCCCCATCACCATGTCACATGGATCACTGCTCTCTGATATGTCAGGCCAGATCATTGTACCCCTGGGTATTTTCTAAACCAACCATTCATGAAGATACAGAATCACAAGTCATAAAAAGGAGATGTTACACAGCATACTCTCCAGCTATCCTTATTATCGGTGAGAGCCTCATGGGTGGAGGAGGCAGCAGACACATCAGCCTTTGTATTTCCACCCAGCACCTTGACTTTCCAAGGGCTCAGCAGCTACAGCTAAGATAGTTATAGATTATAGATCTTGAGTACACTGAGCTGAATGAGACCCTTAAACAAACTTGAATTCTTGATTCTCCTGTTTTTGCTTCCCAATGCTGGGATTATAGATTATTATTTTTTCACCTGTCTCCTAAGGGAATTTTCAGTAGTCAGGGATACAAGACCATAACTCAGTACATAGACAAGTAAGGAGCTCAAGGCAGTCACATTCCTTCCAGAGAGGAGCCAGTTAGCACTCTTGCATGCTGGGTTTATTTGCAGCATTTGATTAATTCTCCATGTTTCCCTTGGATTTGGGGGCGAGTTTAAGGGGGGAAAAAGGGGTGAGGGATTGATTTTAAAACAAAAATAATTGAAATATAGGTGCCCTGAGAAGTAAGAAATTATGTCTCCAAATACAAGCACAGTGTTGTGAACAACATCTGTGGTTGGCTTTTTGCCACCATGTGCGTGTGCACACACATGCATGTACATATACAAATAATGTTGTAAAACTATATAAAATCCCAGAAGATGTTTGTCTGTTGGCGTGTTCAGAACAATAGATGATATAGAGGCAGTGTGAGTCCACTCTTCTTATTAGTGAAGACTTCGCCTGGCACCATGTTTATTTCAGAGGGTTGGGGCAGGCTATCAGTAATTAGCTTAGGCACCTGCAATAGGCAAGCATCATCTGTCCTTCACAAGTCATCAGAAGATGTCTGCTTTAAATGCCAGAAAATTAAAATAATCCCCATAAGGCAAATCCCTAAAGCTCTGTATTCCCTCCCCCCCCCCTTTCATGTATTTGTGTGTGCGGTATGCCTGTGTGTGCGTGTATAGGGGTGTGTGTGTGTGTGTGTGTCCCCTGTGTGTTCATTTGCATTTGAAGGCCCAAGGCTGATGTCAGCAGCCTTGCTGGATAACTTCCCCCAAACTTGTGGATGTAGCTAGTTTAGTTAGATGACTCGCTTCTGGGGCCCCCTGTCTCTGCCTTTGAGCACCTGACTACAGGTGAGCCACTAGACCCACCTGGCATTCATTTGCATTCTGGGGGTCCAAACTCTCATGTTTGCTGCTTGAATAACAAGTGCTTTTGCCACTGAGCCATTCCCTAGATCCATCTCTGTCATCTCCTGATCTTTCTTTCAGTTCAATCATGGAAACTTATGCCTTGAGGAATTAACTACTCCCAAGTTTTCCCAGTATTTCTAAGAAGGAAAGTGTCAAAGCTAGACATATATGAAACAAAACAGCAGTTAGTTTGCCTGTTTAGGGCGTACTTGAGTGGTGTACTGAAAGCTGGGCCTTGGGCTTCCCGGTTTACCACTATCCCTTCCTATGCTGCATACCCTAAGGCTTGAGCACAGTGTTGCCCATGACAATGTTGCTTTCTTACCATTTTTTAGGAAACTGTCCAAGGTACTGAATTTCTATGTGGCTAATGCTGACGACCCTAGCAAGACGGAATTGCTCTTTGCTGCTTTGAAAGCCTTGAAGTACTTGTTTCGATTCATCATCCAGTCGCGCGTACTCTACTTGAGGTAATGGTCCCAGTAACAGGATGTTGCCGGTACTCACCTAGATCCCTTTGTTCCTCTTCTCATTTGTATTCAGCTTTGTGAGTAGTTGATTGGTCATAGGATAACAAAACTTCAGGTCTTTAGAGATGGATTAGGAGAGCACTAGAGAAGGTCCATATGAGGTTGTTCTGCATCCGGGTCTTATGGATGTAAATGGCTTGATACGCTGTTTGCTCTAGAAGTCTTGATTGGTGATGGTGGCTGACTTAGTGTTTTCTTGTTGGTTTTTTTTTTTTTTTTTTTTTTTTCCATTGCTGTGAAGAGACAACATGACCATAGCAACTCTTATAAATAAAAACATTTAACTGAGCTGACTTGCTTACAGTTCAGAGGTTCAGTCCATTATGATCAGGGTGAGGACCATGGCAGTGTGCAGGCAGATGTGATGCTGGAGCTAAGAGCCCTACATTTTGACTCAGAGGCAATAGGAAGTTGGCTGACATACTGGGAGGTATCCTGAGCATATGAAACCATAAAGCCTGCTCCCACAGTGACACACTTCCTCCAACACAGTCACACCTCCTAACAGTGCCACTCCCATTGGGGGTTATGTTCTTTCAGAACACTGCTATGGCTTTTAAAGAGCTAGGTCTTAGGACAAGTATGGTGGAAGCACTGGGAGAATTTGATTAATGAGATAATAAACTCTGGCTTTTTAATGATCAGCCATCTCACTTCCTGTGTAGCAAATGGATTGTGTAAGGCTGAGAATGAAAGTAACTACTAAGAGGCTCCTCATGGCTGCGACACTGAGGCTCTGCCTCCCATGCAAATGGAGTTGGGCTGATTCAGGAAGAAGGGCTGATTGGATGCTGTAGGACTTAATGGGGCAGCAACAGACAGAGAAGGACATGGAGGTGGCCAGTGACTGTACGCTGAAACAAGAACCGTTAAGAACAGAGCAGAAATTAAGTGTGTTCCATTGCTTGATTTTGAGTCACCTTGGAAAGACTCAGAGAACTTTTCTTTTTGTTTATGTGTGTACAAGGTACATGTGTTTGTTCATGGATGATTATGGAGGACATACATATGGAAACCAGAAGACACTGAATGATCCTCTCTATCACTTTCTGCCATATTCCCATTAGACCGGGCCTTATTGAGCATGGAACTCAACAGTTTTTGGCAAGCCTTGGTGGTCCTCCTGACCCAGCCCCAGCCCCAGCCCCAGCCCCAGCCCCCCAGTGGTGTAGTTACAAACTCATGTGGCCAAGCCTGGCTTATTACATGAGTGCTGGGGATCTGAATGAGTGCTCTTACCCACTAAACCATCTCCCCACACCAAGTTCTTTTCTAATTCTTTCAATGAGTGGGTTGAAAACTACCAGGTATCCCCTGTCTTAATAATATGGAGTTCACACTCCTTTCTTACTATAGTCCTTAACCAAGATGTTGAGGACTAAAAGCAGTTACAGGTTTCCAATTTTGGAAGATTTGAAGATATATATATATATATATATATATATATATATATATATATATAAAGTTATCTTAGGGGTAGGACTGGAATCTAAACATAAAGTTCTTTTGTTTCCCATATGCCTCATGTACATAGCCTTAAGGTGGTTTTATCGAATTTCTAGTGTACCTACATTCTGACTGACCCCACATGTGAGATCACACGGGAACTTTACTCGTGACTTTGTGTCAGCATTCATAGAAGTTTTGACTTTTGGAGAGTTTTTAGATTTTCGATTTTTAGGAAGAGATCTGTGTGTTTGGGTAAACGGAGGAGACTAACATAAATATGTATCCATGAGTACACCTGTGCTGGAGTGTGTTCATGTATTCTGATTCTCTTATACCCTCCCTTGGACACTTGGTGGATTTGCCATCAATGAAACTAGCCAGGGACCTTCTAGCATGAACTAAGAGGAAACAATCAGCTTCTGTGCTGATGGTACATATCTGATGAAGACAAGCAGACACTTTAATCAAAGCAAATTCTTGCCAGTGATGTTCAAGGCACCTACAGTAGAGCAGGGCAGCAGCAGCTTTGGAGGTCCAGTGGAGAAAGTAGACGACAGCTGGGGTTTGTAGGCTAGGTTTGGGGGAACTTCCCCACAGTGCTGTGGCCTCAGCTCAGATCATGGCCCGATGGGCATGAGACAGTGGAGAGGGAGGAAAGAGAGGGATGCTGGTAGAGGATGTGCAAGACTGATTTAGATACCCTGGAATCAGCTCTGGAAGCCTATGCCTCCTGTTCTCACTCGCTTGCTGGGGAAGGCAGCCATGCCCGGATCACCTACTATCTCTGCACAGTGACTTTCTGCTATTTTACCTCCTGCCAACAATGCTCCCAAACTGCTAGGGCCAAATGCATCTCCAGGCTCAGCCCCTTCAGACAGCTCCAGCTGGCTGTCCTGGTTAGCCAGCTGTAGAATGCATCGCAGGACTTTACCTACAAACTACCACTTTGTTCTTTTCAGAGTCTTAATGACTTTTGGTCCCTTATAGACAGTTCCTGGGGTGCCCCCATGAACTGTCTCTGTACAATTAGAGATGGTGACCAGCAAGGCACTGACCTCTAGTGTTGTTTTTTGAGACCACAATTCTCCTGTAAAATTTCTTTCTTATTAGATTTTACGGGCAGAGTGAAGATGGAGATGAATTTAACAACTCGATCCGCCAGTTGTTTCTTGCTTTCAACATGCTGATGGACAGACCTCTAGAAGAAGCTGTCAAGATCAAGGTCAGCCTGGTGACCTTGTGGGTGGCCCCTTATGGAGATGTGACATGGTTGGAGGGAAAAGTCAGGTCTGCTCATGGAGAGCTGGAGAATGGACTGAAGTAGAGAAAAAGTGGGTGAGGCTGTGGGCATTAGATCGCTTGCCTGGCATGCAGGAGGTCCTGGGTTCTGGCCACAGCACTGCCAAAAACAAACACACAACAAAAGTAAATATGTCCACCTTTTAACTTTTATATGCATTTGTATCTTCTAATGTCACCTCACCAAAGACAGGCTCCCTCCTTAGATTCCACGTGAGTGGCTGTTATAAATCTTGCTTGGCCCCTTGATTTTAGCAAACCGATCTCCTGCTGTCCCAGGTGGCAGTTTCTCTTCTCTGTCACCCGCCCTCACACACACACACACATACACACCTCCTACCAGAAGCGCAGTCACTACCAGCAGCAGTTTTTCCAAACCGCGAAGCACTAAATCCTTGAGGGCACCAATTTGCATGTTACTATTGCTCCCTTGCTTTCCATGGTGACTTGGTGGGAGAAACTTGAATTACCTCAATAATAATAATAATAATAATAATAATAATAATAATGTAAATACATTGCCTTTTGGTTGTGAAGACCAGGGCCTGGGCCTTCTGCGTTTTCAAAGGAAGCTAGCAGGAGGTCATTCACTAGCTTCTCATGGCAAGGGCACCTGCTTCTGGTTCCCTATCCACATCCTAGGTCCTGCCCTTTCCTCCTGGGCTACAACAGTGTGTTCCGCCTTTGTCTTCTTTGGCACTGACTGACTTTATGCTTCCTCCAGGGGGCAGCTTTGAAATACCTCCCTAGCATAATTAATGACGTCAAACTGGTGTTCGATCCCATGGAGCTCAGGTAAGTAGCAGAACACTGTGTCTTGAAACTAACAGGAGCAGCCCAATGCTGGGCAGAGCCTGGCTGCTACACGTGCTGTGTTAAGGGAATACCTATTTGTGCTCAGTTCTGTGGAAGAGATAGAAGAACACACAAAGCCAGCCCCTGGGAGGGACTTGGTGGGAAAAGGAGCTATGCAAAAAGAAGAAGCCTAGGGATACAAAGTGCAGCCGCCCTTACTTAGGAGATTTCCAGAAAAGGCATTTTGCAGATGCTGAGAGTTGAGGTGGGCCTGGAAGTGATGGTGAGTGTGGGTGTGTGAGACTCTCAGAGGCAAAGTCAGTTCTAAAGCAGAATCCCCTGGGGAACAGGAATGTTGGCCCCAGAGATGCTCTCAAATGAAGTCTTAGGTCATCTGTGAGCTTTATGGGCCCATTTCTGTTCAGCTCTCAGAGTGGAGTATGTGTTAGGATGACTTCAGCTTGGCCAAGTGTACACACTGACCCCACAGCTTCTCTTCCAGCGTGCTTTTCTGCAAGTTCATTCAAAGCATTCCTGACAACCAGCTGGTCCGGCAGAAGCTTAACTGCATGACCAAGATAGTGGAGAGCAGCCTTTTCCAGCAGGCAGGTAAGTCTCCCTCAGAACCTCTATCATTTGGGGAAGAAGATGTCAGACCCCTTCCAATTGACCATATGCGTACCAGAGTGGTTTGCTGTGGTGTTACAGCAAGCATTTCTGTGTCTGGTACTTATTTCTCTGTTCTCTGGTGAGTCTAGCTCAGATTAAATTAGCTTATTTTAACAAGTGACGCATCTGTTGAAATTGATTATGACAGTATGTTTGCAACACATCTCTGTGATATTTCTTACGTTCACAAAAGACCAAAAACCTGAAGTGAGAGAGAGGGAGGGGGAGGGAGAACTGAGATCAACATGTAAAATGATAGGTAGGTAGATAGATAGATAGATAGATAGATAGATAGATAGATAGATAGATACATAGCCGAAAAAAAAAGGCATTAGCAGATAAAGTTATCAATGATGTTTTACAAATGAACTGTTAAGAAGAGCAGGAAAGAGGCCCCACAGCTTCCCCCAGGCCAGGCTGACATCTGTGACTGGCAGTGTTTGCCCGTCTGCATTTTGTTTCCTTGTTTCATTTAATATGAGTTTGGTACCAGCAATACCCTTGGCAGATTGCTAGTTCTATTCTTTTTATATTTAGTTAATTATTTTTGTTATTTTAGAATAGGGTTTCTCTATATAGCCCTGCCTGTCCTAGAATTCACTCTATAGACAAGGCTGGCCTCTAACTCACAGAGATCCACCTGCCTCTGCCTCCCAAGCGCTGCCCCAAGCTGGCCCATTCTGTTGGGTCTTGAGGACCTCTTGGGAAAGCAGTTTAATAGAATGAAGTTGGTTTAATCTTTCTTTTTTAGCCTCCATCCCTCGTGTGTGTGTGTGTGTGTGTGTGTGTGTGTGTGTGTGTGTGTGTGTGTGTGTGTGTGTGTGTAAGTGCCCAAGGAGACCAGTATTGGTGTCTGATCCCCTAGAGCCCTTTAACTGCTGAGCCATCTCTCCAGCCTAGTATCTCTGATGTTGTTACTGTGGGGATTTTTTTTGTTTTGTTGTGTTGTGTTTTCTTTTTTACTGAAACAGTTTTCTCTATGTGGTGCAGGCTAACCTCAAACCCTCACTCTTCCTGTCTACTTCTGGTGTGCTAGGATTGTAAGCACGTATCATCACACCCAGCTGCATAGTTCTTTTCTTTTTATTTTATTCCTTTACATTTCACCTGCTGTTGTTGCTGTTGGTGGTAGTGGTGTGTGTGTTTGTGTGTGTTTGTGTGTGTGTGTGTGTACATGCATGTACATGCACATTGCCACACACACATACATAGAGATCAGAGGAACTTGTTCCAGTCAATTCTCATCTTCCACTGTGCATAGTCTGGGGATCAAATTGAGGAGCCATGTGTCAGTCTCCAATTACATACTTCTAGCAAGGCAGTAGAACCACTGGTGGCAGTCACGGTTATGGTGTCCAGACCACTTGGAGTCGTCCTAATAATGAACCATCACAGTGGAGACTCCAAGAGAATGACGTGTGTGAAATGTGCTAGTGACGTACAAGGGAAGCTCAGTGTCACAGCAATTTGATAATTAATTGTCTCTCTTAAGTGCAAACATTTCTGAGAACATGACCTTCTTTGTTTTTATGTGTTTCCTGTGACGTAGTGCTCGAGTAGGCATTAAAACAAAACAAAAGCAATAAAACAAACTAGAGGAGTTGATGGTGTACAGCATGTGCCTAGCATATGTAAAGCTGTGGCTTCGATCCATAGTACCAGAAATCAAACAAAAAAATTTAAAACAAAGTTAGAGAGAGGGAGTGAGTAGGCCGAGGAGATAGCTAAGAAGTTAGGAGCACTTGCTGCTTTTATGGAGAACTCAGGTTCAATTCCTAGTACTCACATTGCGTCTCACAACCACCTGTAACTCCATCTCTAGGAGATATGATGCATTCTTCTAGCCCCCATGGGCTTCATTTGGCATACATGAACTCAAGCAACCATACCACACACACACACACACACACACACACACACATATGTATATATACACATAATTTTGAATATTAAAAGCTGGAAAAATTGTTACATAATTTACACACTGCTAGGGCTTCAGGGTGTGTGTCAGCCATAGAGGAAGACGTCCTCCTTAATCTCCAACATTGAACAAAGCTCACATCTGCCTGTGGTGGGAGTTTCTTAAAGTGTGAACTCCAAGGTCAAGGTTAAAGCTTCACACCTAAGTCTGTGTGCTCTGCTAGCTAGGCTGGTTGCAGGGTGTTCAGAGAAAAGTATAATTGCAGTGAGAGCTATCGGGTCTGGTGGTAGTTGCGTGTGAGCTGCTGTGTGAGCCGTTTTCTGTTCTTCTCCAGAGTGCAGGGAGGTGCTGCTGCCGCTACTGACAGACCAGCTTAGTGGCCAACTAGACGACCACTCGAGCAAACCCGACCACGAGGCGAGTTCACAGCTTCTAAGCAACATCCTAGAAGTACTGGACAGGAAGGATGTGGTGAGTCCAGGCCTCCTCTATGGCCTGAGCCTTTGCTGGTCCCTTTGTAACCAACAGGAAACTCTGTGGCCTTCCTCATCTCAGGCAGTGTAGAAGCACCAAAGGAGTAGAGCAAGCTGTGTTCTGTTTAGAGTGGTTTAAACATGCTATACCTCACTGGGGATGCTAGAAAATTCCACAGAGTGTGCTCTCTTGAGCATCAGTGGTACAGAAGAAAAAGACTCTCACTCCAGGCATCAGGCTGTGTTCCCCATGATGGGCATTGGGGGCAGGGGTTCCCACCCGGCAGAGACCCACTTGTGATTTTGGGCCTGTAATTCTCAGCAGTATCTTTAGATTCTACTCTACCAATGAACACAAAAGATGCTCACACTTTGTCCCACAGCCACTTGACTAGGTCAACCATGACTCCATGACCCACCTTATCCCAGCTTGTCATTCCTGTAGGTGCTTTTGTGTATTTTGCTATGCCAGCCTTGGCCCCAGAAGTGTGTGAAGATACCATTGTTTTCTCTGATTAAGCCCCAAACTTGTCTTTTCCATATCTTTCATAGTATTGGTTGTACAGTTCATTTGGTCTTTATTCGTGATAGATAATCCTTCCCCTCTTTATCCTTACACATACTTACAGAAACCACATTGTAAAGTGGAAAACATTTTCTTGTAGAGCTGGGTTTGGGAATTGATAGCAGATTAAAAAAAAAAATGCAACTAGTCATGTCATATACATCACATTCTTTAAAAAGTAACTCTTGCCATGATGGCTCATACAAGACCTGCACAGGTTCAAGCCAAACAGGGTCCTGGCACTGAGGGGCAAGTGGACTATGGGCTCCCACCCCTAACCAAAGAGCTGCAATTGATACCACTGGCAAAATGGATGCCCTGAAGCTGAGTGAGAATAGTGTCAACTATGGGAAGGGAAGGATGAGAATATGTGTTTGGCACTATTTTGAGTTTGAACAGTTGAGTCCAATAAGAGCACTGTTGCCTTCCTCCAGTCACAGTGATGAAAACTAAAGGTCAGTGAAGTAAACTAATGGCCCAGAGTCACATATGACTGCTGGGACATTAAGTCCTAGACTAATAATGCCTCGTTTTCTGTAACACACCACAGAGCAGGGAGCCTTAACAGGCATCTAGTTCCTGGAAGTTCTAGAAGCTGAAAGCCTGAGGTCAGGGTGTTAGCATGATTGAACTCCAGTGAGGACACTCTTCAAGGCCTGAGGATGGCCACCCTCCCCGTGTGTGTTCTTGTGGTCTCTACTCCATGAATACGTGGAGCAGCAGGCAGAGAGCAGAAGAGCGAATGCACACCCTCCCCCTTGGCATCTCTTCTAATAAGAGTACTAATCCTGTCAGATCAGTGCCTAACCCTCATGATTTTACCTCCCAGAGGTCCTCTGATATTATAGGGTGTCAGAGCTTTAATATCTGTATTGAGAAGGAGTCACAAAACATTTATTGCACAACAAACCCCTAACCTTGAGTTTCGTTTTTTTGGCGGGTTCTTTCTGTTTGGTGTCTGGGGTTTTTTTTGCCCCTGCCCAGAAGCAGCAAGAGCTCCATGCTTTCCCTTTCACTTCCCATGTGTGTACCTGACTGTTCTGGCTACCTGTCATCTGCTCTGCGTCATTATTAGCTGGGAGTGGTGTCACAGCCGTGTTTGTCCTGCAGGGCCCCACTTCATCACACGTGCAGCTGATCATGGAGAGGCTGCTGAGAAGGATCAACCGGACCGTGATTGGGATGAGCCGACAGTCTCCTCACATTGTGAGTCTCCTGGTAGCCCACAGTGCAGGCACAGGGTCTCATTCCTTTCCACCAGTGGCCCAGCACTGAACCCATGTTGGCTCCCCATAGCATAGTTCTAAGTTCTAAGCATTTCTCAGCTTCTACATGAGCTCTCTGCCCTGGCTTGGGTTGGATTTCCTTCAGGAAAAACCAACCACCAGGCCCTTTTACTTCCAAGGAAAAAGGTAGATGTTGTCAAGAATTTGTGATTGGTGTGTTTTTAGAAAAGTGGGTGCCCTATCCATCATGCCTAAATAGTTGTCAACAAAGGGTTAAATTGAGGCCAGAATGATAATGAAAAGCTAAATGGTGCCATGATTAAAGAAAGGAAAAAAAAGAAAAGCTTATATTGATTGCACTGAAAGCTGAGGTTAGATTTTAATTAGAGGACTGTTCTGTGTGGTCCAGAGAATGATCTATGAGAGCCATGGTTTTGATTTTGAATGGTGGACTTATTAAGAATAAATAGCAAGTAGCAAGTTATGAGAAGCAGCAGACAGAGAGCAAGATATCATCAAATCAAGAATTTATATCCTCCAGCAGAGGCACCTTGAGTGGTCCTATTGAGAGAGCAAAAGTAACATCAAACAGGAGGCTCCCAAGCATCCATCAGCAATTAGCTGGTGAAGTTGAGGCAGTCAGCCTGGAGCTCTCCAAGAGATTGCTTTCTCTCCATGGCTGAGCTTCCAGCTTCACAATGTTGTTTTTTAAATAACATTTAGTGTGTGTGTGTGATACATGTGTCATGATGCACGTTTGGAGAGAACAGCCTTCAGGAGTCCTTCCACTATGTGTGTCCCAGAGATCAGGCTGAGGCCATCAGGTTGGCAGCAAGCACCTTTACCTGCTAAACCATCCAGCCCAAGGGTATAAGGTTTTCAGCATCCTTGACTGTTATGTGTCTTTCCCTGGCACAGAGTTGGGGGCATGGGCAACCTGCCCCAGGCAAAAGGTTTTTGGAGAATACTTGAAACAAACAGGTCAGAGTCTGGGCAGTGTTGTGTGTTCATGGGTACATCTCAGTGTCCAGAATGGTGTCTGGCTAGTCTTATATAATTGTCCCTTTTAGCTGAAGGGACCAGCATTTATTTGAAACCTGCAAGAGTTGGCTGAAAAGCTAATGAACTAACGAGCCCTTTTCTAACTGGGTGATTTAGAAATAAGTGTGTTGGGTGGCCTTTCTGTCAAACGGTAGTAGCACTTTAGATATTTAAAGGACAACTCTCATCCCCTGAGTCTCACAAGCATGAGTGTAAAAATAAGTGAGAGATATATAAATGAACAGTCAAGTGTAAGTAATATAAAAGAATAATTAAAATCATATTTACTCCTGCAGTTGAATATGTGTCTGTGTATGTTAGTGCATGAGTGTGTACATGTTTATATGTGTGTGTCTATATATGTATCTATTCCTAAGTAAGATAGAACCAAGGGAGTTTACAGGTACAATTTTGACTATATGAAAAAAACCCTTACCTATCTGTAAAGAAACTGAAGATTTTTTTAATTAATATAATTTGAAAAGCAAATGAATAGTTTGGAAAAATTCTCTTTCATTTGGTGCTATAAATGTCAAATGAAATGAAAAATTCTGTGTGAAAAATTAAATACTAGAATAGCCTCAGTAAAACATAAATGCATATGTACCTGATCCTATAAGAAAGGGATTCTTGAGTTTTCAAATAGTAGCAAAGAAGGAAAACTAGATTTTTCCTGACAAAAAAATGTAACCGCTATATTCGAAAATAGATTTGTCATACACCAAAGGTGAAAAGTCACTAGTAGACTTATATACAAAGACTGTAAGCCAATAATAAGAAGATAGTTTTAGTTAAATAATTAAAGATATAAACAAATGGGATGAGGCATAGCTCAATTAAGAGAATACCTGCCTGGTATGTACCAGGCTCTTGTTTTGATCCCTCATATGGAATGAACCAAGCATGGCTATATGCACAGCTATATGCACCTGTAAGCCAGCAGCGAGAAGGTGGGGCAGGGAGATCTGTCATTCAGGATCATGCTCCGTTACATAGGGAGTTAATTGGAGGTGAGCCTGGGCTACCAGCAACCCTTTCTATTATTATTATTAATTTATTGGTTTTTTTCAAGGCAGGTTTTCTCTGTGGGACAGTCTTGGCTGTTCTAGAACTCACTTTGTAGACCAGCCTGGTCTCAGACTCACAGAGATCCTCCTGCCTCTGCCTCCCGAGTGCTGGGATTAAAGACCTTCGACACCACCAACCAGGCCTCCTAGTTGAGATCTTAATGCCCCTACACCTTGAGGAATCCAGAAGCCATGGCTGTTGAGGGGAACCCTAGGGTCTCTGGGTTTTCTAACTGAAGCTGAATTGCCAAGCACATGCCTTTAGACCTTTGGAAGTAGTGTTTGCAGTTCCAGGTGTCTTTGTAGAGCTCAATAGGATGTAAAGCCAAAAATCAGTGATGCTCAGAGCCTTTTTGCATCAGTTACCCTCTGGAACCTTGACTCTACTTCTTTCCTTGCAGGGCAGCTTTGTAGCTTGCATGATCGCCATCTTAAGACAGATGGAAGACAGCCACTACAGCCACTACATCAGCACCTTTAAAACCAGACAGGACATCATTGTAAGTTGTCTGCTCTGGGTCTTGGCAACACTAAAGTATTAGTGTGTTTGAGACAATTCTTGTCTAGTAGACCTCAAACTAATGATCCTCCTGCCTCATCTCCTGAGCTCTGCTAGACCCCTCTGAAGATTTCTTACATTAAATGACTGGTAACTGAAGCCGAGCATCGTGAGTTCAAGGCTCCCTTACCAACCACTGTAGTGTGAATGGCTGTCCACAGAGAGCACAAAAAGGAATGGATGCTTAATTCAGCCTAATAGCATTTAAATAAGAGTTCGACAACCATACTAAATGATCATTACATGTGGACCTAGTGTGGCCCTTCTTCTAAAACATTTAGGACATCTTTTTGCTAATGAAAAAGTTTTCATCCCATTTAAAAGGAAGGGTTGATTACTTGTACCATGCGCGAAATCTGCCTGGCTGAGTGTACTGGTCCCTCAGAATGTGGTTGGCCACCATCTCTTTCTGGAGGAAGCAAGCAGGGGTTACCTCTCTGTCCCTCACAGCATTTGGAGATGATCTATTGTTGCTTTTAAGAGAAAAGTTGTTTTCATGGTTTCTGTAAGTATGCATCTAAGGTCTCCAGGGAACTGTTAGTGGAATTAAGCTGTTGGTAAAGACGTTTTCTCATGTGCTAAGCAGTGGGCTAGGCGCGCACGGATTAACAAACAAATGCTCGGTGGTTCCAGTCATCCACATGTAGCACACTGTTCTTTATACTCCAGGTCAGTGGTTCTCATCCTGTGGATCATAACCCCCTTTTTGGGTCACCTATCAGATATCCTGCATATCAGATATTAAGATTCATAACAGTAGCAGAATTACAGTTAAGAAGTAACAATGAAATGATTTTATGGTTGGGGGTCACCACAACACAAGGAACTGTATTAAATGGTCACAGCATTAGGAAGGTTGGAAACCCCTGGTCTGGATTTTTCTGCTTTCCACCCTCGTCATCCTGAGCATGTGTGCCTGGTGCACAAGGCAGATACAGTTTTCCCCTCACATCCTCTATCCTCCTTCCTACGTTGCCCACATGGCATAGACAAAAGAAGAATATGGGGAGAAATTATCATTGTTAGTCCAGCACCAACCTTCATAGTGTTGGTCCACATGGCTTAAGCAGGGAGCTCAAGGAGAGGCAGCATGGTTCAGGACCCAGCTGTGTGGATGTGTCCGCAAGGGAATGCAATCAGAGGAAGGGCGTGTTACAGGCCACTAACGCAGCATGTACTGTCCTTCAGAGCAGATGGTGTAGCACAAAACACTTGTTGAGTTCTTATATGAAATTTGAAACGAGTTACTTGATCTTGCTGAACTACTTACCACATCTGTGAGAGAGATCCTGTGTACATGGTGGGTTAATATGAACATTGATTAAATCCATGCATGGAAATGCCTAGCCTTGTGCTGTTTGTAGTCAAAGCCTATCAAGAACAACTATTTGTAACAATAGTTCCATTCTTTTGGGCTGCATGAACATACCCTAGTGAGTTGTTTTTTTTTTTTTTTTCTTTCTTTTTAATGGAAAGCAGGTGAAGTGGGGATGTTCTGAGTTCACAGACAGATAGTTTGGATCCACAATTCAAGATTATCCTGTCAGCTACATAGCCTGGTTCAATATCAGCCTGGGTGATAAGAGTCTCTGTCTCAAAATTGATGATATACATAAAAATTACCTCATATAGAGGTAGACAGATGATAGAAAGGTAGATGATCGGAAGGTAAGTAGGTAAATAAATGGATAGGTAGATGAGAGAGACATCCTGTCCTTCCTGTGCCATGTTCCTAGCACTATATAATGCCCCCTTTTTCATGGGACTGTATGCATAGATTCTGAAAGGCAAACAACTGGATTTTCTTTTTAGCCATCCCAGTGGAAAAAGTCTAAATTTAACCAAGTAGTAAAAAATGGTTTCAAAACCTCTTAGGTTTTGTTGTTTTTAGCCTATTCTATTTCTGAGTTGCTTTTTGCTCACATCCTCCTCTGGACGAGACTGGCCGTTTCTAACTGCCCTGTGCTCTGTACACTTGTGTAATTCCTTGCTGCAGTCCTCACAGACTACTTTGATGCTGCCTTTTCTGCAAGATTATGGCTGCCCTGTTTGTGTGGCATGTTTCTTCTGACATAACTAGTCAGGAAGAATTAAAGTAATATCTGAAAAACAAAACAAACAAACAAACAAACAAAAAAAATGATGACTTGGACTGGTCCATCAGAGGACCCAGGTTTGATTTCCAGCATCCACACATCCAGCATCCACACAGCTATCTGTCACTCAAGTCTAGGGGATCTGACATGAGCTTTTTGACCTTCATGGACACCAGTTATACATGTGGTATACAAATACTCATGCAGGCTACATGTAAGGATGCATTGAGCACAATAGCTGTATGGGGAAGGCCACAACTATGTGACCATCCACTGATGTCCCCAAATAGGGTCCTTCTGCCCACTTGCTGAAAGAATGACTGTGAGTGAGCCTCTTTTGCAAACCGTTCCTCCGCTGTTCTCCACAGGACTTCCTCATGGAAACCTTCATTATGTTTAAGGATCTGATTGGAAAGAATGTGTATGCCAAAGATTGGATGGTCATGAATATGATGCAGAGCAGGTGAGAGAGCCTGTGGCCATTTGGAGGCATTTCACCTTGGATGGGTTGACCTGCTGTACATACATACATCAAGCGCTGTTGTGCTTCAAACCTGACACCTGTGAGAGGGTCTTCCCCCTTTCCTGACCCTGCTGAGTGTTCTTGGAAAACCCCCTTTCACTAGGCTACCAAGTTCTCCTTGCTTTTTGTCTCTGCCTGCCTGGGTTAGTGTCCACACCATCTTCATGGTGATTCCCACTGGCCATCAGCACTTTCTGCCCTGTCAGCGGCTCCATGCAAATCCCTCATCCTGATGTTCAAGGTCCTGCCTGCCTTTCCAGCCACATTTGCTGTAAGCCTGTGACTTGTGCACTAACCTGACTTCTCCTGGTTCCTGAATGCATCCTCCGTCTCACACCTCCGTTTCTGCCTGCCACGCTTCCTCCACTGTCTGTGGAGGTCAGTCACCATTCCACTCACACGGTTCTGAAACATCCCCTCCACTGGAAACCTCTGTCCCCAGCTGTCACTGCTCTAGAGGTGGTGGGCCCTGGGAGAAAGGAGCCTGTAAATGAGGCAGACAAAGTCTCCTGTCATCCTTCATTCAGAGCCTCAGACAGTTTATACTCTTTGGGTTAAAAAAGGTCACATGGGTGAAGTTCTCATACATTCAAGCTGTGTGCAATCACAAGGACAAGCCACGTGTAGCAAAAACATGTTTTTCCATACAGGCATAGGAAGGGTGGTTTAGACATGTAATTGAATAACAACAGCAAGAAATAATGAGTGATCTGAAGTAAATTGATTCCTATCTGCTACATCTGGGAGGAGCATAGATACACATTCCAGGAACAATTCCATGTTTAAAGAAACTGAGTCACAAGACCCTTGTGTTGTTTTCTTGGAGTGTTTTCAGAATTCTCCTCACACGGCTCCATTTCTGGACCGCATTCCAATACCCAGCCTTTCAGAAATGTATGTTGATCTTTTCTTCCTTCTGGTTTCCTGTATCTCTTTGGAACTCTATCATATAATTCTTTTTCCTGTTCTCTGTTGGAGCACAACTAGATGTCTAAGAAGGGTACCCACTACTGTGCTGTAATCTTCTTAGGCCAGGACTTGGGTTTTGAGTACAACACCTATGGCAGTACCTTAGAATTGCTACCTGACAATAAATGCTTGTCAAATAGACATGAGATGAACTGAGTAGATATAACCGCATCACAGCATATTATGGCTTTAGAATGTTGCTAATGAGCCACACAAGCCAAATCAGGATAAGTATTGTCGACACTCCATGACCCTGATAGAAAGTCCCTTCCCAATTAGATAGCAGATTCAAGGCAAATTTCATGGAATGCTGACCTGTAAAGATAGCAGAGTGTAAACCACCTGCTCTGGTGTGCAGGACCTGGCCTTGCAGTTTCTGCTCCATCCTCAGTTATCTTGTGCTGTATCCCCCAAGCTCTTAAAGGCCTTGAGAGAGACTGGGTTTGTGTGCCTCTTTCTGTAGAGTGTGCTCTGTGGATGGCCTCCAAGGACACTGTTGGGTTATATTGACTTTCCCAGCCAAGCCCAGGAGTATTGGTCTGTGTCCAGAGCAGCTAGGGAAACATCCCCAGAGGCACAGGGTTGCCTTATTCATCTGCTCTTTCCTCCCCAGAGTTTTCCTCCGGGCCATCAATCAGTTTTCTGAAGTTCTCACAAAGAACTTCATGGACCAGGCAAGCTTTGAACTTCAGGTAAGCATCCACCGATCTGGAAGGCCTTTGCATTGCAAGGGGCTGTGCCAGAAAAAAAAAATACATTAAATAAAATAAAATTGGCATTTCAGATTTCATCACTGTCAAAAGGGGTTTTCAGGGGTCTGCCAGGTTCCTAAAGCACACATTCCAAAACGAGAGTTCCCCAAACACAATAAAATGGTTTGGTTTTTGCTACACAAAAGTAACACACATAAGAGGAAATGTGAGCAATACTGTCATAGAAAGTATAGTTACATGGAAACACAAATACAGTGTTCTCCCTGATCTTCAGGAGCAACAGTGGGAGCCTGATTCTTTAGTGCTAAGCCTCTTCTTGTTACTGTGCTCCTATGCATACAGACCTATGGGATGCTTAATTTGTGCATTTGGCACATTGTATGAGATTAACACCAACAATGAACAATGAAAATAGAATAATTACAGCAGAATACTGAAAGTCAGTGTGAGCAAGAGTCAAGTGAAATGCTAATGGTTTGAGACCACAGTAGACCAAAGGTCCTGACACATCAGGAAGCAAAACTATGGCTAAGTGGGCTGCTTCATGGTTAAGATTTTGTGTTGATTATTTCCACACAAGCATGAATGTGCAAATAAGCAGTTTCATGAGCACTATTATGGAATACCTGCAAAACAGGTAGTGGCTGGGTGTGGTGGTGCACACCTTTGACTCCAGTTCTCAGAAGGCAGAGGCATGTGGCTCTCTGTGAGTCCTAGGCCAACATGGTCTTCATAGTGAGTCATGGGATAGCCAGGACTATAATGAGACCCTGTCCGCAGAAATAAAAACAAACCCAGGGATATGGTAGTTTCATCTTCCTTTATTCCTTTATGTAACAAATAGAAAGTATTTGTGTATGCACCTAGCAGTATTCCAGTGCCTGGTGAAGGTACATCAGGTCCCAGGTTTTAAGAGGGTTTAAATTCAAGGAACATTTTCTTGGTCATGTGCTTTTCTTGTGTACATTTTGTTTTTATCTCCACCTTTAAGCTAGAGAGTCATAACCAGACGAGGATATATAATGTATGTTTGTATATATGTATAGTACATATACAAACCAAAATAGACATAAGCCCTGTAACTCTTTAATGATCCATTTGTCTACTTTATTACTTTTTCCACAACCTAAGTTTTTTTCCAATGATGTTAAACATCTATCACAGTATTTTTAATGGTTGAATATGGTTCATTGTACTGTTGATCTGTGATGTAGTAACTAGATTCTTAGGAACATTCGGATTGTTCCTATTTTTGTTACATTGAATAGCTGTGAGGGCCTTCTTTGGCTGAAATGCTTTTAACTAGCCACAGTTACTTTGTCAGAAAGGAAAAAATCAGCTAAGTATTTACTAGTTCAAAAGTCTGGCAGAACTGGAGGGCTTTTGATACATACTGCCAAGCCACCTGCTATAAATAGGTATATTTCTTGGCAGTACTTCTCCTATGCCCCCAGGGTAAAGAAAAATGTAAAGTTTGGATTGGGTTTTTTAAAAGGTTAATATTAAGCCTTAAAACTTTTAGCAGTGAATAATTGAAACCCCAGAAGGAACAAGAAGTCCTGTGGGTTTGATTTGGATTTTTCACAATGTGACTCTCCCACACATGGGTATTTTATCTGGATCCTCACTAGTGTTATTTTATGTTTTGCCCTGCCCATTTGATGCATCCTGCAAAGCTCTGGAACAATTACTTCCATTTGGCTGTAGCTTTTCTCACCCATGAGTCCCTTCAGCTTGAAACTTTCTCAGAAGCCAAGCGCAACAAGATTGTGAAAAAGTAAGTGTCCTTTAAAGATTTTGTGACCGTGGGGGAAGTAATCCGTCTGTCTGTGTTCAACAGTATTAGGTTGTCATAGAAACAGGGACTTGCTCATGCTTTTGATGATGTAGGTTTTATGTGTTATCACTCACTGGACCTGAAATTCCTCCACATTCATGTTGTTTTGTTAATGCCACTCCATCCTCTCCTCTCCTCCCATGCTACTGATGGAGTCTGTGCCTGGAGAGGTGCCCTTGCCTGGGATCTCCTGCCACCTGCTGTCAGTTTACCAAAATTGCAGGCACAGTGTCTCCTTGATCTGTACAAAGAAGAAATAGGAAAACTGAAATATAACCTAAACCTATCCTCTAGATTCATGGTTTAAAATTCAAATGGAATTGTATCCAGTAGTGACAATAAGTTTGGTCACATGTTTTATGGCATTCTCTCAGGTCTTTTTTAGGGTTCCCTGAGAACCTGGAAGCTCAAAGGCTGTCACTGATGAGCAGTCTGAATTTATTACTTAAAGACTGTGAAAATTTTGCTCTGTTTCCACTTGCTATGATATGTTAGAAACTAGGCAAATTATTTAACATTTCCCAGCCTGTGGTTTCTCTCTACAAAAACTGATGACTTGGAGACCCCTTTAAAAAATACAATGTATGGCCTGCTTTGTAGATTTCCCTAATGGGTAAGTAATGAGAGATGCTTATTTTTTAAGGAGAATTCTTTGATCCGTCTCAAGCTTTAAAACATCTTTGGTAGCAATAGGACCTCTTTGAAGACAGATTTTAATTGGGTTAAGCAGCTACAAATGAAGATAATTGGTTACAAATCAGAAACACACATAGAGGGAGGCAAGAAAGAGGGGAGAACAAGACAGAGAGGAGAGAGCCAATGGATGGTGGGGAGCAGGGCGTGGTAGACAAGTCTGTAACCCAACACTCAGAAAGGGTAAACAAAAGACGATCAGAGGTTCAGGGCTGGCCTTGGTAACATCACAAATCCTATGCCTCCTTGGGTACCACGAGGTTGTGTTTAAATAATAATTCTAGTTAGGATTGATTCTGGCTTTTGTCAAAGGAAAGCAGACTGTGGATATAGCCCATGTAAAAATATGTGTGCATATGGGCAGAAATAAAGTTTGAAAAGTAAAGGCAATCATATTCTAGTTATAGAGGCATGATTCAGGGTCTTTCTTCATGCATGTTTCTAATAGAAATCAACCTGCTAATACATAGACATAGATATTGTTTGTTAACTTTAGGTAGCAGATTTTGGTCACATAGGCTTAACTGATACTAATAATGAAATTAAGTTAAACATTTTTATTCAAATGGAATGGTAAGAGGATTTGAAGTAGGATTGAAAAACAAAATTCTGGCTTCTGAAGATATTTCCAATGAAAAACTTGAAGAAAATAATGTTTAGGAGATCCCTATTATGAGGGGAATTATATAGGGCAGGGATTGTAGGAGCAGGTGGCCTATATTAGTTTCCCAGAAGCCCTTGCAAAATCTACCTTTTAAGAGCTTCCCACCACACAAAATCTTGCTATATAGCCCGGACTGGCCTAAAATTCCCCATCTCCCTGCCTCAGTCTCCAGTGGTGAGACTATAGGCACACAGTAGCACAACCACAAAAATAGTTTTTAAACTTTCTCCATGTTACATTGTCCCTGCTGAGAATATAAGGTCGATGAGACCTGTGAAGAGCATTCTGTGAGGATTTACCTTAGCCAAGACATTAGTAAACAGCACAGCCTCTGGTTAGCCATCAGTCACAGAGCCTCATCTATCTCAGACCTCGTTTATATTTTAACTTAGCTGCCTGTCTCTGCTTTGTAGAGACCAGCTGGTTCACAGCATCTTCTCAGTTCACTTTTAGCATTTGTATTTGATTCCTTCCTGCTCCAAAAGCCCCCTGTCCTGCACTGGCTCAGTTTTCTGTTGAAGCTTCTCTGGGTGCTGACCTTATCTCTTCCCGAGCCCGAGCCTTACCTGTGACACAGAGGGATGGGGAACTCTCCTGTTTTTTTGTTCCTTCATTGTGTACTTGCCCTTCCACATCAGCAAACTCTGCATCCATCACTCAGACAGGCCAAAATACTGAGGCGGGAGGGGGTTACCTTACGTAACATACACAGACACGTTTCTTGTCATTATCTCCAGGGAATTCATATAACACATATTTTTATAACGTTTATGTTGCATTGGGTTTTTTTTTTCTTTTTTTATCTTATAGTTGGAGAATCTCTCTCTCTCTCTCTCTCTCACACACACACACACAAACACACACACACACAATGTGTTCTGACCAAATCCACTCCCACTCTCTCCCTTCCAGTTCCTCCCTTGTACCCCTACAATATACTGTCCTACCCAACTCCATGGCGTTTTTCAAAACCTCCAGAGCCCTCTTAGTAGTCTTTGTATGTGATGGGTATAGGGCCCTCTACTGGAAAATGGTCATCATCTCACTAAGGATTAAATCCCTGAAGAAAACTTGACACAATTCCTCATCCAGCAGCCATAACCTTCCACTAGCCATTCAGCTAGGGTTGGGACTTGGTGACGATCCTCTTCTGCTATCTGTGCTGGCATTTGGGCTGGCTTAATCTTGCGTATGTGTCATGGACACAGCTGTAGTTCATGTGTCAGTGGCCTTGCCATATTTGCAAAACACCTTTTCAGTGTAGTTATCCACTGGCTTTTTGTGGTGCTGGGAATCAAACTCAAGGTCTTGCGCAGGGTGAGCAAGTATTTTACCATTAAGCAGCTTCCTCGGTCTTTTCTATTAGATATTGAGTCATCTTAGTGGTCATTTGAAGTGCAGGGAAAGCTGTGTATAGCTTACATGCAAAAATCCCTAAGCCTGTGGTTCTCAGCTTTCACAGTCACATATCAGATATTTTGCATTGTGATTCATAACAGTAGCAAAATTACAGTTATAAGGTAGCAATGAAAATAATTGTATGGTTGGGGGGAGCCACCAACCATATAATGAAACTGTATTAAAGGGTTGCAGCATTGGGAAGGTTGAAAACCACTGCCCTAAGCCATTCTATATAAAGGACTTGAATAGATTCGGGGTTCTGGGGAAATTAGATAGCCCCTGAAATGCCAAGGGATGGCTGAATTGAATGCTACTTGGTTCTACTGCAAATCTTTTCCCCCTCCCCCGATCTTCTTCCTAGATACGGGGACATGAGAAAGGAAATTGGCTTTAGGATCCGGGACATGTGGTATAATCTGGGTGAGTGTCTGACCTTGAACAGGTCCCTCCATGAATTCTTTGCTTTTCATTTCTTGTTCTAAATATTTCTCAGTACAGGTTGCAATAAAAACAAACACCCATAATGAATTCTTATTTTAATGAACATAACCCTGAGATTTGTCTGTATGTATGTACAAAAGTAGACTTGTGGGTGCCGTACTGTCTCGCCTGGGATATTGACAATGAGCCCTCTGTCACCATGCCATCCACACACTATCAGAGAACAGCATTCTGCTGTCATCCCTTGATTGACATGGTGGGTCCACATGAACGTTTTCTTCTCTCGTGGGCCCCATGGAGGAAGATTGTTAAGGTGGGACTTACAGTGGTGCAGTTTTCTAATACCCTCATTCACTCTCATCTCAGGGCCTCACAAAATCAAATTCATCCCATCCATGGTGGGTCCCATTCTGGAAGTCACTCTGACCCCTGAAGTGGAGCTCCGTAAAGCCACAATCCCCATTTTCTTCGACATGATGCAGTGTGAGTTCAATTTGAGCGGCAATGGCAACTTCCACATGGTAAGAAAGAAGCATCACCTCTGGTCTTAGTTTCGTGGAACACTTAACTTTTGATTTATTGTCTCTAAGTGGAGGTGTAGCAGCTTGACTGAAAAATGCATTTTAAAACTTCTTTCTTCATATTTTATTGTGTAAAAGAATTAGATGTATGGTTGGGTCCTCTGGCTCAGAGGCTGGAAGGAGTCTCTGCACTCCATGTCTTTTTTAAGTCCGCAATGTCTCAAGAAGATGAAAAATTGGCCTGGTACATCTTACTCCTGTCTGTTGTGCTACAGCCCAGGGCTGAAGGCGTAACCTATGGGGACTGAAGGAAGCGGTCTGTGGTCCAGCTCCCATCCATCCCTGCTCACCTTTGAGAGCTTTAGTTTGCTGGACCTTTCTCTGGACCTCCCTTTATTTACCATATACTGCATTAGTTAGGGTTCTCAAGAGAAACAGAATCGGTATGCTGGACACAGATTACAATGCACATTTGTTATGTTGGCTTATGCAATACAGCCTGGGTAGGCCAACAACGGCTGTCTGCATACTGGAGAAGCTGAGAGCCCACAGTTGCTCAGCCCATAAGGCTGGATGCCTTAGCAGTCCTGATGAAGAGCTGAAGGCCTGAAAGATTCCTGATGAGCCTCTGGTTTTCAGTACAAGTCAGAAAGCCCAAGAAGCTGCATCCTGTTTACAGCAAAGATGGTTGGTGGCAGCAGTGACAGCAATAGGGTAGATGCACTCACCAGGAGGAGCAACAACAGGCAAAGGGTATATCTTTTATATCTGACTGCCCACTCTTGTTGATAGTCTTCCTCTCTTCTACCTTTACGGACTTATCCAGAGGCTTTCCCCTAGCTGATCCCAGATGAAACCAAGTTAACCAAGTTGACTCAAGCTTCACATTTACAATATCTACAAACCTATTTATATTGAAAGGAAGATTTTCGTGGCTATGACTCTGAGCAAAACCAATCCCATCACCAAGACTCAGACAAGAAACAAAAATAAGATAGATGCCCAGGGTAGTGATGTGTATCTGTAGTCCTACCACTTAGGAGTCTGAGGCAGGAGAATTGCCATGAGTTTCTTGCCAGATAGAACTACGTAACAAAACCATGTGTTGAGTACAAAACGGACAGTGGCTAGAATTGTTTTTATGTGCATAGTAGTAGCATAAAATCATTTTTGAGCTATATTTCCACATGTAACACCAAGGACTAATACATTAACCTGCTTTGGGGTATTTTGATAGTGTGTGGTGCACTGTTTGAATGGGTGAGATGTAGGATACCGCCCTCCCCCCTCCCAAATCTACTTTGGAAGCAATTCAAAATTGGTCCAGCCAGATCCAGAAAGACTGGCCACCATCCACCATGTATTCTTTAGGATCTGGCATTCTCTTGTGGAATTCTGTCTTTCAGTTTGAGAATGAGCTGATCACAAAGCTGGACCAGGAAGTGGAAGGTGGTCGAGGAGATGAACAGTACAAGATTCTTCTGGAAAAACTGTGAGTATCTCAGAGCAGCACCTTAGGTCAGAGGACAGAGCTTCTGCTGCCCATCTAGCAGCCAGTCAGCAGGCTCAGCATCACCCCGTCACCAAGTGGTCCTCCGTGGTATGGATGGAATTATACATGGCTGATAGTGTTTACCCAGTGTGAGTCCATGCTTATGTTTTCCAACCAACCTATCCCCGGAGAGCACAGCAGAGGGCAAGCAGTGGCATCCTGCCCAGTGTCTTAATTATGAACTTGAGCAGAAGTGGGGCACCTCTAATTGTGGCTTCAAAGCAGCCATTTAAAGGAAGTCACAGTTGATTTTTGTACTTAAAAATACCTCACATCCCATCAAGGAACTCTGAGAACAGAGCAGTTGTTTTTCAGCCAGCTTGGTCTGTACTCCATGAAGACATCGTTCCTTCATCTGATCCCACATTGTCCCTTCATCCATTGCCTCCCCTACCCAGCCTCTACATACTCAACGTATGGGTGTGTAGTGTGGCTAAAGTCTTTGACTACTGGGACTACATTATCAGATCTTGTCTTTGGAGTCAGTGAGTCATCTTGACAGATATAATCTCCCCACCCTACCCCTGTATGTAAGAGCAGTGTCTACTTTTTAGTCTTATTGCTAGAATTAAAAAAGGCCATATGTCAACACAGGGTCCCTTGTAGAGTTCACACTTTTAGAAATTTGAATGCAGGTGGGCAACGTGGCTCAACCAATGAAAGAAATTGACAGCCTGAGCTTGAACCTAGAAACCCACATGGTAGGAGGGAATCAAACCCTGAGACGGTTCTCTGACCTCCACACATGTGACATGTGCTGTGACATGCACCTACCCTCACACATGCATACAAATGTTTGTGTGTTTTTTAAAGGTCAACTGCAATTATTATTGTCTAACTGTCCCATTCTGCAGGTCTCTGTGTGCATTGGTTTCTAATGTTCTTTGGACTTTAATAACCAGCCATCTCTGTTGCCTCCTGTGTTTCCTCTGTGTCATTTGATTATTCTTCTGTTCTAGGGAAATATTTTTGGACCAGTCTGAGCATGAATATGGGGACAGCACATGGTAGTAGAGCAATATACGGAAGTCACCTCCATTTTAAAGAACTAGATAGCTCTATTCTGTTCATAGACAGAACAAAGTGATCTTTCCGTCCTTTTCCCATGGGATCTCTTGACCTTCTTACCCTCCTAGCCTATAGATTTTGAGATCCTGGTTTTGTCTAGAAGTTACGCGTAGATAGAAACAGACCCGAGATTTGGGGATAATTGGCTGTGGTGGCCCCTGCCTTTAATCCCAACATCCTGGAGGCAGAGTTGGGAGAGTTTCTGTGAATTCAATGTCAGCCTGGTCTGTGTGGTGAGTTCCAGGATAGCCAAGGCTGCATAGTGTGAAACTGGCTTTATAAAAATAAAATAATAAATCTGAACCATACTTCAGCAGTAGAGCACTTGCCCCCCCACAAACACATATACACACACAGACACACACACACACACACACACACACACACACACACACACACACACACACACACACACAGTATGTAAACAAGATGAAATACTCATTAAAAAAGAAAAATCCCTACAGCTAATCTTCATGGAGAGGTCTTACTTTGTTTCTTTTGTTCTTTCTGGATCATTGGCTCATAAAAGTTTGACTATACTAGTTCCATCCCCCAGAAATACTCCTACAGTCTGGGCTAATTATTTTTCTTTAAGATTTATTTTAAGTAAGTGTGTGTGTGTGTGTGTGTGTGTGTGTGTGTGTGTGTGTGTAGGTATATGTTCATGAGTGCTGATGTCCTTTAAAGAGGGTGTCTATGAGCTGCCCAGCATGGGTGCTAGGGGCCCAAACTCAGCTTCTCTGCAAGAACATGGTAAACTCTTAACCACTGAGCCATCTCTCCAGTCCCAAGCCTGATTCTTTAGACCCATTTCCTCTCTGAACTTTCTTTTAGTTACCCAAGAAGCTCCAAACCTTTGTTCTGTATGGCCCCCAAAGGGGAGGGCTGGATCTAAAGTGTACCCCTGGTCTGTCTGCTTATGGCCATACTTTTCTATCTGAAGATGATTTTATCTGGTGTCACCCATCCAAATGGCTACCAGGTTCTTCAGGCTGCCTGTTTAATGCCAGGCCCTAGAGAGAACAAAGACATAGAACAGATGTTTTTATACAGCTGAGTTAGAATGGGAAAGGGGTGTGAGCATTGTAGGCCAAGGTTCTCATTTCTGAAGCATCCACTAAAGAAACTATTGATGGATTAATGCTCAGAGGATATTGTGGGCTGGGGTTCCAAATGATGTAGGGATTTGACTGGGTCCCCAAGAAACAGCAAAACTTGAGAAAATAGTAGGTCCTATCTGGGCCCTGTTGAAAGTCCTAGGGTACTCTGGGTTCCACAGAGGATGTATATTATAGGTCTATAGCAGTGTTTATCACCCTGGGGGTCACAACCCCTTTTGGAGTTGAATAACCCTTTCACAGGGGTCACCTAAGATTATCGGGAAACACAAATATTTATGGATGATTCATAACAGTAGCAAAATTTCAGTTATAATGTAGCAATGAGAATAATTCTATGGTTGGAGGGTCACTACAACATGAGGAACTGCATTAAATGGTCATAGCATTAGGAAGGTTGAGAACCACTGGTCCAGAACCTGCTGCTAGGATTTGACTGGGACTCACATATGGTGCCAAGAGTAACTGAGTGAACTATGGAAATTATCTCCCCCCATTCCAGACTCTTAGAACACTGCAGGAAGCATAAATACCTCTCCAGCTCCGGGGAAGTCTTTGCCCTCCTGGTAAGCAGCCTCTTAGAGAACTTGCTGGACTACAGGACCATCATTATGCACGATGAGAGCAAGGAGAACCGCATGAGTTGTACAGTAAATGTTCTGGTAAGGAATGGCCTGCTCCCGGGGCTTGTAGTAGGCACAGATAATCCATCCCTGCTGCACCAACTCAGCTCTAAGTTGATAGCATGGATCCCCAGCCTTCCTGGAGCATCTTTATGGAGTCCATGCCCTCCTGAGTCGGACTCATAGACAGTAGGCACAGACCTTCAGGGCATGGAAAGTGCAACCTTGACACTCCAACCCTTCCCACACACCATCTCAACCTGGCTCTTTGTCTTAACTCACACAAGCTTGCTTTACTATTGTGATGTAGCCTGCATAAACCTATGCCAGGAAGTAAGTTAGTCTGTGTCTTTCGTTCTCCTGACAATAAGACCCTAGTCTTCCCCTTTCCTGGGACTATAAACCTCAAGGTTTAGGTTGCTATGCAGTCCTGTACTTAATACAATTCAAGAGTGCCCACCTCCCTGACTCCATGAGAAATAAGCATAGCAGCTGGCTTCAGAATAAGCCAAGCTCAGCTGTTCACACAGAAAATCTCTTGGAATTCTCAAAAGTGTGGTCTTCTTAAAAAAAAAAAATTTATTCTCTCATACAGTATCATACAGTACATCCCAACAGCAGCTTCCCCTCCCTCCACTCCTTCCAGTTCCCTCCACCTCCCCTCATCCCCATATCCACTGAGCCCCTCCACCTCTCACAGAAAAGAGCAGGTCTCCCAGGGATACCAAGTGAACATGGTACAAGACACAATAAGACCAGACACAAACCCTCACCTCAAGGCTGGGTGAGGCAACCCAATAGGAGGCAAAAGAGTCAGAGACATCCCATGCCCACTGTCAGGAGTCCTGCAGAAATACCAAGCCAACACCCGTAACATACCTGCAGAGGACCAAGAACAGACCCATATAGGAGCCCATGATTGGCGCTCCAGTCTATGTGGGCCTGTGGGCTCTGCTCAGTTGATTCTGTGGACCGCCTCTTGGACCCTGATGGAGATCTCCAAGCTGGGCTCTCTCTGTGCCTAAAGTTTGGCTGTGGGTCTCTGCATCTGCTCCCAGAGGCAGCCTCTCTGTTGACAACTGAACTAGGCACTGATCTGTGAGTATAGCAGAACATCATTAGGGGTCATTTCACTGACTTTTCTCTTCCCCAGTCGTGTTTGCTTCTTTCCTGGGTGTCTGGGCTATCCAGCCTCTGGTCCTTGATTATGCAGGCAGTGTCAGGCATGGACTCCCTCTCCTGATAAGGGCTTCGGACCAGTCATTGGTTGGCCACTCCCACACGTTCTGAGCTCCCACTGCTCCAGCACATCTTGCAGGTGGGAGAGCTTGTCGGTCAAAGGTTTTGTGGCTGAATTGGTGCCTCAGTCCCACCAGTGGAGGAGCCTTGCCTGTTTATAGAAGATGGCTAGTTCATCCTGTGTCATCTGTTGCTGTGATCACCCTCATTGAATCCAAGGAGTTTCCACTGTACTAGGTTTCTACATTGCCCCCTAAGTACTGTCCAGTTCCGGCCATCTCTCCCTACCCCCTCACCTTATCCCTCCTGTGCCTATCCCCACCTGTCTCCAGTTCACAGAAAAATCTATTTCCCTTCCTAGGGAGATTTGTGAAGCATGCATGGTCTTAATTTCTCCACTTCTTTGTATCCCGTCACTTCCTGTGCTTGTAGAAGAGATTCTTAAAGGAAATGATGAACTAATAATGAATGCCTCTTTGGAAAAGAGACAATGTTGAAAAGCAGCAGTTGGAGCAGATATTGTTCCATGGCTTAGAGTTTGTGCTTTTTCAAAGACACAAGTTTGGTTCCCATCACCCATGTTAGTTGGTTCACAACTGCCTGAAACTCCAGCTTCAGATGATCTGATGCCCTCTTCTGGCCTCTGAGGGTGACTACACTTGCATGCACATGCACACTCTGAAGTTAAAACTAAAAGCAGCAATTATGCTTTGACTGTATTTTGTGTCGAGTTCATCAACAGCCTTTAATTTATGTTGATATTATGCGACCTTCTTTTTGGCAGAATTTTTATAAAGAAAAGAAGCGAGAGGACATATACATAAGGTAAGTAAAGGAAATAAATGCCTTCGTTTTGCTATTGATATTATGGGTTTGTGGTATATTTTTTAAACCAGAAAATACTGCCCCAACAACACACTTGCTGCCTTGATAGACTCGTACAAATTCAGGATGGGCGCTGTCTGACTCAGAGGCTGAGCTCTCAAGACAGAGTCACAGATAAGTACAGTTTGAGGGAGTGTGTAATAGTCACATCAGCATTTGAAGAGGGACGGGAAGGACTCAAAGGGACAGGAAGGAGAAGTAGCCAACAGTGACATTTAATTTGAAGGCCATGAGTCTCTGATCATGAAACCAATTTGTCCATCAGCAGAATTTCCAAAGCTTTCCCTCACGTCCCAAAGCGGATCAAGACCTAAAAATAAATAAATAAATACAAATAAACTAATAGTAGTAATACATTTAAGAAGACATAATAGAGGGACTAGGAAAACCACAGAGCAGGAAGTGGTAGAGTGGCCTAGAGAAATAGGAGGTGACGAGCCTATTGCTTAAGAGAAGGGAGGTGTTCCTGTTAGAAGCAGAGGTCTGTGTGTAGGCTGGGACCAGGATGGGGAATGCTCTGAGTGCTAGCCCACCCCCCTGGTGACAAAGGGCCTTTTCTCTCCCCTCTTACCAGGTATTTGTACAAGCTTCGAGATCTGCACAGAGACTGTGAGAACTACACAGAAGCTGCCTACACACTCCTCTTACATGCTGAGCTTCTGCAGGTAAATGGGTCCTGTGTGGAAGACCCACGTTGTAAGCCATGCGTTCAGTCCCCATGAACTTTGTGACTTGGGTAGGAAAGGGCCTTATTTGAGGGATATAGTTTATCTAAGAATGTGTTGTGCCTTGGATAGACAGGGACACTTTCAGATCAAGACTGGGAAAATAATCACTTGTCATTTAAAGTGCCTTAGAGAGCAGGGAACAACCTAGAGGCCTCTAGTGATGGACAGTCTAATTAAATACACTTTGATGGTGTGTAAAGAGATTAGTATAACTGTAGAGAGATGATGTAGATGAATGCAACACTTGGAAGAACTACTTTCCTCTTTATCCTCTCTCTCCAAATAAAGTTATAGTGAGGCATAATATAAATGCATCTATTTGTCCTGAATCCCAAACAATTATTTCCAGGCCTGTCCTCCTTTAACTTTGGATTTCTACCTAAGCATTAGTCTTTGAATGGATAATAGTTCAAACTTTTCCTGGCGAAAACACAAACCTTTGTTCCCACCCTTGTTCCTCCCCTTCTCTGTCTGACCACCTCATCTGCCTAGTATCATAGGCTATAACCTCGTAGTCACATTCCAGTCTTCTCTTTTGATCACCGCCTCCTACATTCTCTATAAACAAAATGTGGAGCCCTGCTGTGTAGACCTTATCCTTGGTCTATCTTAAAAAGAAGAAGAAAATGTCCTCCCTGCCATCCTGGTTAGACTCCTAACGTCTCTACCCAAAGCTCTACAGTGTCCCTCACTAGATGTCCTGTCTCCACAGTTCCTTTTCTCCTAGAGTTCCGTCAGATTTGACTTGATTTTAAAATGATGCTCACACATCATTCTCAGCAAATAAACACAGGAGTCTCCTGCCTCCCTGTTTCCCGAGGAAACCCCCTGCCCATGGGTATCACCAGAGAGTGGTCCCCACTAACAAGCCCTATAGGTTTTTTGTTTTGTTTTTGTTTTTTGTTTTTTATGCTGCCCAGAAAGTTAAACCCTCAAGCTGGGCGTGATGGTACATATGCCTATAATTGCAGCACATAGGAAGCAGAGGCAGTCAGGGATAGCGAGTTCAGGGCCAGCCTGCATTTCATAGGGTGAGTCTATCTCAAGAAATGAAAAAGCAAAAGAAAATTTAATTGTTCTATCCTGGTGTAAGGCATGAAGTGTAGATTCAGCTTTTCTTCCCAGATAGCTACTCAGTAGAGATGGTAATTGTTTACTATAATCTGAATTTGATTCACTGGCATAAGATCCCAGCTTTATCTCTGTGGTGGAGGAGGTCTTATTCTACTATCTCCTTGCATGTGGGCCTCCCTCTGCAATGCACTACCCCTACATTGTTTTATGGTTAATTCCTTACAGTGTGTTATTGTCTGGTGTGGTTACTCCCCGTTGCACATGCACACACACACACACACACACACACTGCCCCCAGCCTCCAGTGTTGTCTCCTGCTCCTCTGTATTTTTCCGTCTGGCATTTTGAGTCCTGAAATTTCAAGTGACTTGACCCTCAGGGTATATAGGTGCACTTACCAGGCATGATCAGGTCCCTACTTTCAGGCCCAGGAGGAAGAAGGGAGGAAGAAGGGGAGGGCGAGAACAAAGAGAAGTGGAGAGAAACGGGAAGCGGAGGGAGGGAAGGAACTAACTTTGCAGAGCCTGATAGGATAGACCTGTATGTAATTCCAGCTGATAGGGAGGAGGCTGAGTCTGGAAGGACCCTGCCTTGAATACCAAGCCTGAGTGACAGAGTGAGACCCCTTTATCTCATAATTTTAGAAATGTAAAAAATAAGGCTGGGGTGTAGCTCATACCTAGCATGCGTAAAACCCTGGATTCAATTCACACGGCCACATAAGAAGGGCAGTGGGGTGAGGAGGAGGGATTTAGTAAGAATATACTGTTCATGAAACACTGTTCCCCTCTCAAAGCATAGTTTCCCTTTCTTCAGGGCGTGGTGTGTCTCTGAATGGCACAGACAAGTTCCTTGTGTGTAATTCTTATGTAATCCCAGTGATGTCTGAGTTGTCTGATGGGCTTCGTTTTTGTGTTTGTTTTTTGTGGCGTTTTTTGAGACAGGGTTTCTCTGTGGCTTTGGAAACTGTCCTGGAACTAGCTCTTGTAGACCAGGCTGGCCTCAAACTCACAGAGATCCGCCTGCCTCTGCCTCCCAAGTGCTGGGACTAAAGGTGTACGCCACCACTGCCTGGCAATGGCCTTTGTTTTGATGGGTTTGTTTGCTTCTGCTGTCTTCTGTGTGGCTATTATCTTTGTAGCCAACGTCTATTCTCCAATGTTTTTATTCCTTTGCTTCTTAGTTCTCGGTGTTGTGCCTATGGTTTTGCAGTGGGCTGCCGTATACTAAGGAGAAGGAGAGGTCTGCAGGCAGTGATACTTTTATCTGCTTCCCCCATGGTTATAGACCTAGCGTGTTTCTCTCATCTGATTGTGTTCAAGATGCCTTCCACACAGTAGTGTGCTGCCTTAGTCGGCTCATTCCATTCCCCTCTTCCCGGGGATGCTGCAGGTGCCTGGCCATTTGGCATGACATTTGTTTCCCAGTGAAACTGACATATGGGCATCTGTGTGTATGTAATTTTGTGTTTAGTAAATAACTTAAAACACAATATGGATGAATTGACTACATGCAAACAAGTCACTTCCTGACTTTTTTGGTCTGAAGTTTTGCTTCATTCATCTCCATGTTACCTTTTTTTTTCTTTGTAGTGGTCTGACAAGCCCTGTGTGCCTCATTTGCTGCAGAGGGACAGTTACTATGTTTATACCCAGCAGGAACTTAAAGAGAAACTGTATCAAGAGATCATATCCTATTTTGACAAAGGCAAAGTGAGTGCTGAGTTCCCTGTTTTTTGTTTGTTTTGTTTTTACTACTAGAAAGTGAGGGTGGGGAGGGAGGATTATATTAAATACATTTCTAATGCTAAGTGCTTAGTCAGCACAAAGCACACAGGATAAAGACAAAATCACATAGGCTGGGGAGATGGTTCAGTGCTTGCTATGCAAGAATAAGAACATGCGTTTCTGATCCCCAGGATGTATACTTAAAAACAGGACATGGAGATGAGTGCCTGTAACCCCAGGATTGAGAGGAGGAAATACTAGTTTCCCCTGGTCTTGCTGGCCAGCCAGACTAGACAAATTGGTGAGCTTCAAGTTTAGTGAGAGACCCTATCCCGAAAAATATAAGGTACAAAAGTGATTTCGGAGCTGGGTGTGGTGCTGCACCTTTAATCCTGGCAGCAAGAGGCAGAGGAAGGCCTGCCTGGTCTATAGAGTGAGTTCCTAGACATCTAGGGTTACAGAGGAAACCCTGTCTCAAAAACAAGATAAACAAAAAGTGATTTTGAAGAGATATCTTAACATTTCCCTTTTGCCTCCACACACGTCTATATAGGCCAGTGCATCCACACAACCCTAATACATATGTGCACGCATGCATACACACACGCGCATATGTGCATGCGCGAGCACACACACATACATTCATGTACTCACACAAGGAAAATATAATAACTTCTTTTTTAGTTTTAGAAACTGCACCCACTTATGATGGCAGCCATAGTGTCAGGGGCTCCTGATCATTCACACTTCTAATTAAACTGGCTAGAAATTTTGAGTAGCCCAGGGTAGCCCCCCATAGGGGTAATAACAGAACCAGGAGATACCTGTATCTGATTACTACAGTGTTGTAAAGGGCACAACACCAGGACCAGCCAAATTGTGAAATGCACAAGGTAGGGTCTGGAGGGGTCATAGGGATCCAGTGTCTGCTCCCTCTCTAGCATAGAGAAGTGTCCACTGGATGCAGTATTATACACCTGCAATTCTATTGACTCAGGAGGCTCTGGCGGGAGGATTGCTTGAGCTTAGAAATTAAGACCAGTCTGAGGCATCATAGCAAAAGCAACTTTAAAAAAAAAATTGTACAGAATTTGTCATAACAGGCATGATTAAATTATTAACTATATGATTTAACTCAATCTATAGTTCGCTTGAATCAGGGCTGATAATGTGTGGCTCAGATCTACAATTCTGTGTTGTGTTTTTGAGACAGAGTCTTATTACATTGCCCAGGCTGACCTTGAATTTGTAATCTTCCTGACTTTCTGGATCAGTGGTTCTCAACCTATGGTTTGAGACCCCTTCATAAGGGTCACATGTCAAATATCCTTCATAGCAGATATTTATATTATAGTATCGAAGTTATAGTTATAAAGTAGCGAAGAAAATAATTTTCTGGTTGGGGTCAGCACAACATGAGGAACTGTGTTAAAGGGTGGCAACATCAGGAAGGTTGAGAACCACTGATCTAAAGAGTGCCCTTGGGTTGCTTCATTAACATAAACTCAGAGGCTGGAGCTATCTCTAGTCACCTTTTAGCATTGATTTTTGCAACCTACAGGGATGCACTAGGAATAGTAAAAGTTTCCATTTCTTTGGGTAAGGAGTTGGGACATTGCATACATGGCCTCCTGACCTACTCCTTCTTATTAGTCCCTTGTTGGTCTTTGAATTCTGATTATTTGTTGGAGATAAAACATGCAGATGAAATAATCAGTGAGTATCTTCAATTAGCGCCCACCTAAGAGATGCTCCACAATATCAGAATGGTGAGAAGGCTCCATTTGGGTCTGGGTTGCGCTAGCCTTAGAGGCTGAGATGAGAGGCTGTAACTGGTATTGAAGCCTTGCAATGGAAAAAGTTCACCAAATTCCACGACACATGCCACTTGATCCCTTCCTGTCCCTGCAAATAGCTTGCCCACATGAGTGTGTACACACCTACATACAAACACACATACCCACCCCAGAGCAATTTCACGCTAGGCACCTTTCCTGTCCAGCCACACTCCCATACTCTTGGATCCTAGGAAAGGCTCCTCCTTCCTTTGCATCACCATTGGTACTTTGTTGTTTAAACTCCAAACTGCTTCAATGGAGACATGTGTTCCTGGTGTCCTGGCAGATTGTCCGGAGGAGATGCCTCTTGACAACACACATAAGATACACAGGTTGGGCTTCTCTAATCCAACATGAAAAATGTTCTGAACTCTAAAGCTGGGGAATATCAACATGACCTGAAGAAAGCTTCAGGTTTGAGGGCATTTTGGATTAAGAGACACGTAACCAGTAATGTCTTTGGAAATTATCCCAAGTTTAAAAAGAAAAAGAAAATTTCAAATTGGGAACACTGGTAGCCCCAGAAATTTCAGATAAGAGCTATTCAACCTCCAGTATCCTTACATTAGGAAAGAAAGGGTTAGTTTATTGGGGTGTAGCAAGTCAGGGTCTGTGCTAGATGTTTACTCTGCCTGGCTCCTTCATTCCAGTGATTTCAAGGGAGATAGGGTCTCTGAGGACTGTGACTGTGTGTCTACCACATCCTCACCATGCTTTCCTTCTTCTGAAGATGTGGGAGAAAGCCATCAAACTGAGCAAGGAGTTGGCTGAGACCTACGAGAGCAAAGTATTTGACTACGAGGGCCTGGGCAGCCTCCTGGTAAGTCTGGGCCAGCAGGGCTGCTAAAGTGGACACTTAAAGAACAATCTGGGTCCAGGGTACACTTTTCAGTGGGAAAGTAAAGTTACTTGATTTCAAAATGAAGGATGTGTGATCCTAAAAGCTCTGACTATTGTCCTCCAGGTTGTCTCCCCTGAAGTCCCCTGGGAAGGGAAGGGGAGACACTGAGTCTGGGTAATGATGCCCCATCCTATGGGACATCATAAGTTCATCAAAATCCATCTGTCTTGGGCCAGTGAGATGACTCAGTGGGTAAAGAAAGGCACTTGCTGCTGACCCTGACAACCCAAGTTCAATCCCACGTTCTCTTAGAAGGAGAGAACAGTTGTCCACAGACCATGGCATATGTGTGCTTACACACACATTCATACTAAACAAAACAAAATTTTACAGTGAGAAGACAGCCTAAGGTGGCTGTCACCTGCTCAAAGCAGAAAGTCCCTCAGCATCTCCCGTCCCACACCTGGTTAAGTTCAGATCCTGCCTGTGGATCTCAGTAATTACTTGTAGGGCTCCCAGTCCCATCCTAGGCCCAAGCCTCAAATGCTGGATCCCAGTACTGAGCCACCCGATGGCCTACAAGGTGGTCTCCAAAGACCTTCCATTTGTCTGCTACATGAGCAAACACAGCAAGTGGGCTGACTGTTTTCTTCTTTATTTCTTCCCCTGACAGTTTCCTGGTAACCTCCTGGCGGAATGTGTTGTTTTGTTTTGCAGAAAAAAAGAGCCTCATTTTATGAGAACATCATTAAGGCCATGAGGCCCCAGCCTGAGTACTTTGCTGTGGGATACTATGGACAGGGTTTCCCTTCCTTCCTGCGGGTGAGGAGCCTGGGGGTGGTCCCCAGAGCCATTAGGAGTGGGGTTCAGGAGAGAGAGGAGACTTATCTCTCTTCCAGATGGACAGCAGCAGCTGCTGGCTTACGTTCCTGCTGTGGGAGGTAGGGTCAGGGAGGGAGGCCTCTTCCTGAGTGCTGGCCTCTTCACCCCACACCCCTGACACCACTGGTATTCTGGCAGAGTCTCTGTTCAATGGCTTTTCCAGGTGCAAGGAGAGAAGAGAAAACACCATCAGCCACATCCATGGGCCAAACTTGGAAGAGTGTGGATGGATGTGTTTTGTTACTTATTTTATTTCCAGTCGAGGCTACTTTGAAACCAGATATCCCAAGAACAAGATAACAAACATTTCCCCCAAAGTAAAATCATTTTTGTAGTAATAACAAGCATGAAAGACCCCTTACTTCTTCTCAGAAGTTTATATACTGTCACAGTGACTTTACAGTTTGAGAATGTTGAGCTTCATTTAAATATATATTATCTCTCATACTCTTAATTAAAAAACAGAGAGTGGGAGGAGGGATGTAGCTCAATTGGTTGAGTACTTGCCTAGCATACTAGAAGCACTGGTTTTGATTCCCAGAACCGCATAAACTGGGTCAGGCCAAAGGATCAAGATTCTCCCAAGCTACATAGTGAGTGGGCTACATGAGACCATGCTGCAAAAACAACCAACCAGCGATAACAACAAAAAGTGGGAAAAGAAAGCCACTCACACTCCTAGCAGGACTTAATGAGGAAGCAGTGGCCCCTCGTTTAGTGTCTACTGATTGTCCACTCTGTGCCAGGCACCTGGGAAGAAGCAGAAATGTCCTGAAGTTACTCAGACTTCTCTCTGCCCTCAGGGATTCTACAAGCTAATGGGGGCCAGGTGGGGAGTTAAATGTTAACATGTGCATGTAAAATTTAAATTACACAACCAAGGAAGATGGCCTATGCTGAAAGAGCTTATAACCTAGGGAGTATTTACCCAAGTGAATAGAAATCTAATCATTCCAAAATACTGTAGGAATGTTCATAGCAGCCTTAATCATAGCCACCAAAGTCTACGTCCAACTCCCATGTCCGTCACCTAGGGAAAGAAGGGATAAACTAATATCCACCCAGTAGATGTTGCCCGTTGCCTGTTGGGGATGCAGAGAATGGTCACCCAGAACTTACTTGGTGGATTTAGCTTTGACAGAGGAGCACAATGGGCTTCTCTGTCTTGAGCTCCAGGTACCCCTTCACCCTTCATATCTAATGCCTTCCTTTGGCTTCCCTGGCCTGCAGAACAAAATCTTCATCTACCGGGGAAAGGAGTATGAGAGGCGAGAAGACTTCAGCTTGAGGTTGCTGACCCAGTTCCCCAATGCTGAGAAGATGACCAGTACCACACCACCAGGAGAGGACATCAAGTCATCCCCAAAGCAGTGTATCCTTGCCACAGGGAAAGTGGCCCAGTTGCTCTTTACCCTGGGATGGGCCAGGCCACACCAGATAAACTAAGAGTTACAACTTCTCTGCAGGCAGATGTGCTCTGAGCTCTCAGACACATCCTTCAACCATTCGGTGTAAAACTCTTTGGGGCCGTTAGGGATAACATGGTCAGTAAATGTTGAGTATGAATGAATATACTTCATAGTCAGTGGGGATGCTTAAAGGAGGTTCAGGATTCTGTTGCAAACCTTGAAACCACGCACAGTCATCTAGCTGCATTCTTGATACACTTCCAGCCAAAGGCTCCAAGACACCCTTTGTCTTAGTTTGGGTTTCTATTTCTGTGAAGAGACACCATGGCCATGGAAATTCTTACAAAGGAGAGCATTAAATTGGGGCTAGCTTACAGTTCAGAGGTTTAGTTTATGATTATCATGGCAGGACATGTCAGCATACAGGCAGACATGATACCAGAGAGGGAGCTAAGAGTTTTAAATCTTGATTTGCAGGCAGCAGGAAGTGAACTGACTACCACACTGAGTGTAGCTTGAGCAAAGGAGATCTCAAAGCCCACCTCAACAGAGATACACTTCCTCCAACAAAGCCACACATCCTAATAGTGCTACTCCCTTTGGTAATCATTTTCTTTCAAACCACCACACCCTCCCAGGCCATTCTTTCTACCATTTCTACCATCCCATAGATATCCAAATCTGCAGCTGTTATTATGTATAGGGCATTGATTTTGCATATAGCCTATATATGTTCTCCCAAATTCTCTCTTTCTCTCTCTCTCTCTCTCTCTCTCTCTCTCTCTCTCTCTCTCTCTCTCTCTCTCTCTTTCTGTGTGTGTGTGTGTGTGTGCGTGTGTATGTGTTTAGCTGTGTGCTAGGGATTGGAACACAGACCCTCATGCTTACATAGTAAGCACTTTAGTAACTGTACCATCTCCCCAGCTGCTCCTAGTTGACTTAACAGTCCCTGATAACAGTAAATGCTCTGTAAATATTATCATACTGTATCATTTAAGAAATAGGGACAATGTGGGGGGGGTCTGTACAGGCTGGTAACAGAAAGAAATATTGGAAATCTTTGCTTAGTTATCAGCCTTTGGGTACAGAGCTTGTAGGTCCAGAGGGCAGGCTGTGTCTGCCATGGCAAGGGATGCCAAGGGAACCCTTTCTAACACTGTTCATCCCATCCCAGTAGGAACCCCTACCCTGTGTTGTTTTGGTGGGTCTGACTTTACTTGCGAGCTGTAAGTTCTTCTCTGCTAAAAAAGAATGATCCATCTTGTATGTTGCTGTGTGAAAGATGTATTCGGAACACTCAGTCCCCCTGAAGGGACTCACTCCATGACCAGTAACATCTAAAAGTAGCAGCTCTGGTTCCATGGGCTGTGGAGTCTGGCTCTTTTGGGAGAATGTGTATCCAAAAGAAATCATTTGAAAACATCTCGGATGTTTGCTTTTGCTTGCCTGACACTTGTTTCATGTGACAAGGATGTTTGCCAGGTGTCTGACCACACAGAGTGTGTCCCACATTGTGACAGTGTATATGGGAGCCCATTTCAGTGCAGTACTGGCCCCTGCTGACAGGAGGGGAGAGATGGACACAGGGGCCTCACTGCCTGAGGCCCCTGCAGGGCCAGCCTTTTCCTTAACAAGTGCTCAGACCTGCAGTGCTTCACTGTGAAGCCCGTGATGAGTTTACCGCCCAGCTACAAAGACAAACCGGTTCCAGAGCAGATCTTGAAGTGAGTGGTTCTTTCTTAAAAAGAAAAAAGATCAGGTGTGGCATGACACATGCCTGTCATCATAGCAGTGGAGGGGAAGAGAGTGGCAAGTTCGTGGACCCCCAGACTGATGGCTGGGAAACCAGCATTGTACTGACTCTGACCCCCTGAATATGGCTCTCAGTTAGAAGGCCTGGGCAGTCTGCAGGACCTCTGACATAGGAACCAGGATGTATCCCTGGTGCACAAAAGGACTTTGGGAGCACATTCCCCATGGAGGGATACTTCCTTAACCTAGAGGCAGGAGGGAGGGCCAAACCCTACTCCAAATGATTTGACAGATTTTGATGATCCCTCCTGGAAGGCATCACCCTCCCTATGGAGTGGGGTGGGAATGGGGGTGGGGGGGCATGGGAGGGAGGGAGAGGGAACTGGGATCAATATGTAAAATAAGAAAAAATTATTTATATATATATATATATATATATATATATATATATATACACACACACATACACACACACACATACACACACATACACACACATATATATATAAAATAAAATGGTGAACTGTAAAAATAAACTCTCAAGTATGAAAAATAAGAGGTGGTATGAACCCAGGTATATACCGTCCCAGGAGCTCAATGTGGCCCCTCTGGCCATAGATGTAAACCTCGGGGTCAGGAGTGTCACATGTGTGATTGCCAGCTGGTTCTGTGAGATCCAGTGCAGTTGCTCTGTCCTTTCCCAGCTACTACAGAGCCAATGAGGTGCAGCAGTTCAGATATTCCCGGCCGTTCCGGAAAGGAGAAAAGGACCCAGAAAATGAGTTTGCGGTGAGTTCCCTTGGTTTGTCTTTTCCGGTGTGGGTAGGAGTGAGAATTAGACATGAGCATTTGGAGGCCAGAAGTCAGCCTTGAGTATCATACCTCATGGGCTTCTCTACTTGTTATTTGGGAGTGCAGCTTACCAGCCTAGCTTGGCTGGACAGCCAGTGAAGCCCTGGGAATCTTCCTCCATCTCTGCTCCCCAGCAGCAGGACTATAAGTGTGTACCAGTGCCCCTGGCTTTGTACATAGTGCTGGAGATCAGTCTCTGGTCTTTTGGCTTGCTCAGCGAGCACTTCCCTACCTGAGCTATCTCTCCAGCTCATTTGCTTCTAGTGAGGTGCAGTGTCTTCCCCCTCATCAGCATGCGCATGCACGCACTCACCCACCCACACACACACACACACACACACACACACACACACACACACACACACACACACGAGCAGATAGAAGCTTCCCCTGTAGGAGAACATTAACTACTAATTACTGACAAAGCAAGGTGTCATCTCAGTGAAGGCCTGGAGACTGAAGCTCTCAGATCTGGGCTCTGCTTCTAGTCCTGTTGCTGATAGGACCTTAGGCAAGGCACACCCAAGCCTCCCGGACCTCAAATTTCCTTCTTGAGAGTGAAAGACTGACCCTGTGCAGACTCAAAGTCCGCAGTCCTTGAGTTTTATGAAGAGTTGGGTTCCATTTCCTAATAGACAGTGTGAGAACGGGATTCTCACAACTGAGCCAGAGATTTGGGGTCCGGGTGTGACCCAGAAGCTGACTACCATTTCATTTTGTTTTCTTTCTTGTACCAGACCATGTGGATTGAAAGGACCACATACACGACAGCCTATACCTTCCCTGGGATCCTCAAGTGGTTTGAAGTCAAACAGATTTCAACAGTGAGTCAGTCATTCGGATTCTCCAGCAGGGCATGTGTGGTGGGAGCCTTTCTGTCTGCAAAAATAATAACAGCTTTTGTTCAGCTCCACAGCAGTCTGCACCAGCTTGACTTGCCTCCTCTGGCCAACTTTGTTTTTTAAAGGGAAAATAAGAAGCACACTTGCAGAATGAGGTCACTCTGTAAAACTGATGTTACAACACCAACCCGAAAGGTCACACTCAAGAGAATGACTCTTTCATGGCCCAAGGGGCATTGTCCCCTGCACCCCCCCTCCCATAATGCTGCCAGTGCTCAGAAACATTGCTGGCGTGCCTCTGGGGAGTTGCCTGTCTGCCACATTATTTTCCCCAAAGCCCCTTTCATTCTCAGCTCATTGTGTCACTCTTACTGCAGCTCCTGCCCCATACTCCCCAGAGTTGCCATTGAGCCTTTATAATACTTACTTGATCGTCTTCTCTATCCCCCGTACTCATCCCGTACTGCTTGGTACTACTAAAACGGTCTCCTATTGCCAGAGAGCCTTGGTCTTTTCAGCCGGTGTTCCTCATTACCTCAGAGTGTGGATTCCACTGAGCAAACCCAACTATTTCATGTGTCTTGTGTTCAGGCCCGCCTGTGGCTTCCTAGCACCTGCCCTACAGAGCCCATTCTCATTTCTATCCACTGGCATTTTTCTCTATCCATCTCCATCTACTTCCATCCACTCCCACCCTTTTGTACTCATCTCCTTTCATGTGTGTCTGCCTCGTGGCTGTCTCCCCCTTCTGTTCACCTTTGTCCATCTCCTTCTCCCTCTGTCCACCTTCATCCATGTCTTTCCACCTCCATCTGTCTCCTATCTCTGAGAAAATCTGTTGGAACTTAGACTTTGGTGTTCTATAAGTAATTAATGACATTGGGTCATTTAGGGGAGATAGGCTCCAATGTCCTCTTGCCACTGCTCAGTGTTATTTCCCATCAAGTTAAGTGTGGGACCCACCTTCTCTGTGCAGCCAACTCTGGAACACCCAACCACGGGTGGACACCCTTTGTGGTATCTGTGCTCTTATCGTTCTGAGCATGTTTCTGACCCACCATATTTGAACATCTTAAGTGCCTACTAAAACTATATACCCCCACCAGCTTTGAATTACAGTGGACTCTCAGAATGTGTAGTTGCACTCATTCTCAGTGACTCAACCATGGGTTTCCTAGCTGTGGATTGTGTACTGTGTGCCACACCTGCTTCTATTCTAAAAATATAGACTCTTCCCTTGCCTTATTCCCTAGATAATGTATAATATCTACCACTATAGGTCTAGGTGCTACCAGTCATCCAGAGATGATTTAAAATATGTGAAAAGCCAGATGTGGTGGTGCAACCCTTTAATCCCAGCACCTGAGAGGCAGAGACAAGAGGATCTCTGTGAGTTCAAGGCCAGCCTGATCTACATAGTGAGTTATAGGACAACCAGGGATACATAGAGAGATACTGTCCCCAACAAATTAATTAAGTATATGGAAAAATATGTATAGGTTATATATACATACTACATCACTTTGCATCCTCAAAAATTTTGGTGCCTTCAAAAGTCAAGAACCAGTTCCCCTACATATTTCTGAGCTGGCTGCGTATTTTCATCCCTTTTGTAACTGGTGCACAGTATGGCACTTAGCATGAAGTAGGTATTTGAGAAATAATTCCTGGGCTGATCATGTACAGTCAATGTTAGGCACTAATTTAGCACACACAGACACTGATTTTCATACCCAGTGGAGAGGAGAGGAAGAAAAGAGATATTCTTGGGACCAGGCATTTCTTGGAGCTGGGCATGGTGGCACATGCCTATGCCAACTTTCAGGAGAGAGAATCAAGAAGACCAGTGCTAGCTGGAGGCTAGTCTGGTCCTCATAATGGGTTAAAGATCATCCTGGACATGTAGCAAGACCCTGTCTCAATACAACAAAGAAAGGAAAGAGTAGAAGAAAAGGGAAAGGAAGAGAAAAATATTTCCTGGCCAGTATTATCTAAAATTGGATGTATTCCTCGGTGCTAGTGAGAAATCATCATTATTTAAATGTACTATGCTTTCTGGGTAGTAATGTTAGGAACAAATTCTGGGATTGGAGGTCATGTGGCCAATAGTGGGGAAGATGAAGGGGCCACCTTTTTGGGAAATACAATTTTGAGGACATTTTTGGAAGAGGAATCTATCCCTGTGATTGTTTTTTCATCCAAACCTCAGCCTCATTTCTCAGTCATCCTGGTCTTTCTGACTTCCATTAACCACAGACTCTATTGTAAGGTGATGAGGCATGGAGCAGACTCTACCCTAAGGTGATGAGGCATGGGACAGACCCTACCCTAAGGTCATAAGATTTGGGGACAGACCCTACCCTAAGGTGATGAGGCATGGGACAGACCCTACCCTAAGGTCATAAGATTTGGGGACAGACCCTACCCTAAGGTGATGAGGCATGGGGCAGACCCTACCCTAAGGTGATGAGGCATGGGGCAGACTCTACCCTAAGGTGATGAGGCATGGGGCAGACCCTACCCTAAGGTGATGAGGTTTGGGGCAGATTCCACCCTAAGGTGATGAGGCATGGGGCAGACCCCACCCTAAGGTCATGAGACATGGGACAGATCCTACCCTAAGGTCATAAGGTATGGGGCAGACCCTACCCTAAGGTGAGGAGGCATGGGTCTGCATAGAGGGATTTCAAAATCACTTGCTTTTTCTTACCAAGGAGGCACCTGAATTTTCCAAGGGACATTTTCCATTTTCAGTGGCACAGGAGAGTCTCAGATCCACTAGGCAGCAACTGTCTCAGAGCCCCTGAGGTGGATTTGCCTGAGAGACCGTCACCTTACAGCTCTAGATTTTTTTCTTTTTGCCTCACACTTTGTGTAGATATTTTGCTCTGAGAAACAGTCATTTCCACAACCCACACTTGCAGCATTCCACTTCCTGAGATTTTCCATAGCTGAATTTGTAATTGACCAACAGAAAAGCTGGGGGGGGGGCCTGATAAACAGAATCTTAACAATATTACGCTCCTGGGGATTGTGGACAATTTCTCTCCTGAGAAGAGTGATCAAGTCTCAGTTTTTGCAGTGTTCCTCACGATGGGTTCTTCTCCCATGTGCTGTGTTCCTCAGGAAGAAATCAGCCCACTGGAGAATGCCATAGAAACCATGGAGCTGACCAATGAGAGAGTCAGCAACTGTGTCCAGCAGCATGCCTGGGATCACTCCCTTTCTGTGCACCCACTCTCTATGCTGCTCAGTGGCATTGTGGACCCAGCTGTCATGGGGGGATTTTCCAACTATGAGAAGGTAAGTCCAGCTCCTGGCTCTCATAAGATGTACGGGCCTCCCTCTGCATTATGTGCCACTCCCCTCTTTGAATGGGCACGTGGAAATACGCAAGGGTTGTCTCTGGCCTCACTTTGTCCTGTGAAGCCTCCACGAAAGAGTGCCGGGCCCTGGTGCCTCATTCTGTTCCATGGGAGGAAGGCTCAGGGTGGTCCCAGAGCCCAGGGTGCACTTCCACTGAAGCCGCTTCTAGGGAGAGCAGAGCTCTATGTAGAATGGTTTTCCAGGACTCTCCAGTCTGACTTGAGCCAAGTTGTACAGACAGAGGACAATTTCAACTTGTATTACTTACTTCTCTGGTGCTGGGATAAAACGCTGACCAAAAGCAACTTAAGGAAGAAAGCGTTTATTTGGCTCCAGAAGCATCGAGTCCATCATGGCAGGAAGGGATGGCCTGTTGTGGTGGCAAGAGCCGGAAGCTAGCTGATCACATTCACATCCACAGAAAATAGAGGGAACAGGAAGTGGAGTGAGACTAAACTCTCAAATCTCATCCCAGGGATAGATAGACTTCCTCCAGCAAGGCTCCGCTTCCTGTAGATCCTATAACCTCCCCTGGGAGCACCAGCAGCTGGGGGCTACGTGTTCAAATACACATGCCTATTGCTGACATTGCTTGTTCAAACTGCCAACATAGCTTACATATAGGTTTACTAACTGGATATTAACATCTGTTACTCTGAAATGACATACGAGCCATCCTGACCATGTATAATCTGCTAGATAGGGTTTGCTAGAGATCCTGAAGGTCCTGTGAGAGACAGGACTCATAGCTGCTTTGGTACATGCTCAGTGGCTGAATATTTTGGGAGTCTTTCTTGAATATAAACTTACATGTGGCCAAGAAACCCCTCCGAGGAGGCCCAAGATGGGATGGTACTCTCATTTCCATTTGTACTCTGTCCCAGAGGAGGGTGACATGTCACCCCTGTGACCTCATTCTGGCTTTCTACTGGCCTCTGTATGCTCTTGGACACAGGTGTCCCCTTTCTGAGCTGTAGGTACCTGCACAGTGAGGAAGCTTCCCAACTTAGAGGATGGGCTTGGGAATAAGGGAGCCATTCCATATGTAGATAGGAATTTATTTAGTACACATTTTTGAATTATTCACTGTGCAATAAAGGCTGTCCTGTGAAAGGGATGAGTTGTCAGTTAGACATCCTGGTTATCACTACATGAGAGGCTCTCTCCCTTTTGAAGCTGCCCGCCTCTCTACTGGCAGCAGGAATGTCCTAAGTAATGTTTGCATGTACTCTGCTTTCAGGCTTTTTTTACAGAAAAGTACTTACAAGAACACCCTGAGGACCAGGAGAAGGTGGAGCTGCTCAAGCGGCTGATTGCCTTACAGGTATGCAGCCGGGGAGGCACGCAGCTGGCCAGCTGTGCACAGTACTCCATGGGTGTCCACTGCACTCAGCCCTAAGACAGGCTTCAGGGCTTACGTGTAGTTACCAGCCACTTTCTGGCCTTCCCTTCTCTCTCAGTCTCTGTCCCTCTCTGTCTCTGTCTCTCTTTCCCTCTGTGCGTGTGTGCGTGAGAGAGAGAGAGAGAGGAGAGAGAGAGAGACTTGGTTGTGGCAGTACCCTCTTGTAGTGTTGAGGAAGTGAAGCTGGCAGATTTCATGGATTTACTGACCAGCCATCCTAGCCTAGTTGGTTAAATTCCAGGCCAGTAAGAGACCCTTTCTTTAAAAAGCAAAACAAGGTGAATAACATCTAGGAATGACAGCAGGGGTTGTCCCATGGCCTCCCCATGTACAAACACGCATTTACACACACACATGCACAGAGAGAGAGAGAGATTCTGTAATCTGATTTCTTGCTGGCACATATGGCTGTCGTTTTTGGTTTTTTGTTTGTTTGTTTGTTTTTGTTTTTTTCTTACCATTTTAATAAAGACTACTGGACAAACAGCCATCACACTCAGTCTAAGATCAATGCCTACCCCAGTGCTCAGTTGTATTCGCATTGCCAGTTGGCTTCTCTTGAGTCTTTGCATCTTCTCTGTTCCTTTGACACAGTCCCCAAGGCTAGACTAAAAAGTGGCGTTTCCATTAGATAATGCTGTCAGTTAGCCTCGATGACTCCATCCCATCTTGCCCAAACTTCCAAGTCCGAACTCCCCTTCTTCCCGCACCATGTCTCTCATTCCCCTTGTGCCCTTTCTTCAGATACCTCTGCTCACAGAAGGGATCCGCATCCATGGGGAGAAGCTGACAGAGCAACTTAAGCCGCTGCATGACCGGCTGTCTTCATGCTTCCGCGAGCTGAAGGAGAAAGTAGAGAAGCTATATGGGGTCATAACGCTGGTAAGCTTTGTCTAAATGGCCTTCAAGCTTCCCCTGGTCCCTCACATCATTGCTCAGGGTTCCAATGCCAAATGAGTCATACCAGCATAGGTATGATAGTACCTATGATGATAGGTAAAGGGGCAGACAGGAGAGAGCCTGTTCCACCTTGAGTCATTCAACCATCCTTGGGCTGGATAGTGTTGACTAACCGTCAGGATGGAGATCTTAATGAAACACAGATAACTGAAGTCTGAGTTCATGGATGGGATAAGGCCCACGTTTACAAGTTTAACAAATGACCAGCTGACACTGTGTATCAAGGTGGCTGGACTGGGCAGGCACTTTGAGAACACTCGGGGGCATGTCACTCTCATTGTTCCACACATAGACCATTCCTTCTGTCCTGCCTAATTTTTTATAGCTTTTCCAATTACTTTTTTCTGTTTTGGTAAAAGTTTGGTTGTCAGATCTTGAGGAAGTGTTGTAAGCTGTATTTTACAATGTGCACACCTGACTAATTTATTTCTCTGCCATCCTTGACACTTCATGAGGCTGCATGATAGTGGATTTCCTCCCCACCTTCCCCAGGAGCTGAGGGGGAACGTGCTGCTATTCTGTCACACACAATTGATGGTGTGATGGTTCTGGTTCATTGCTGTGATCTTTCGTCCTTGAGTTCACCTTTTTCTCTCTTGTTTTGAACCCCCAACTTTTAAGTTCTTTCCTCAAATCAAAGCTCTGCACCTCTCCCCCTAGGGTCCCCCCCCCAGAGGACCTTTCCCAAAGCCTCTTTACCTCTTCCACTCACCAACGACCCAGTCCTGCTAGGTGTGGTGATGCGTGTCTGTAGTCTCAGTACTCAGGAGGCTGAGGCAGAAGGATGGCTAGGAGTTCAAGGCTGGGCTAAGTTGATCCCCGCCCCCCCCAGCCAAAGTGCCCAGTGCCCAGTTTAGTTTTCTTCCTGGCACTTTCCCTCCGCCTACTGCAATCTCTAGGTATGTGTGTGTCTTTTGTGCCCACATTCCTGGACCACAAAGACTGAGCCTCCCTTTAACCTACTATCCTCTGTCATTGTTAGAACCCAGCCAATGTTGCAAAGCACATTTAGTAGGATGTCACGTGGTGGCAGTGGTGGTGAGTCCCTGGCGATAATTGTGAAAGTGTAGCGTCCTGGGCTTCCTGAGACTCACTCACCCTGCTCAGCTTAGTTCTGTGACTGCCCCCTCCACCACCACCTTAGACTTTGCTCCTCAGTCAACATTCCATATGTTCAGAAGACCAACAGGGCAGCTGCCCCAGAGCATGCAGGATGCATCGCAGGCTGCTAACCTTGAGGAGTTACATGTTTTTCAGCCATCCAGCTTGACAGAGAGGAAGCCAAGCCGTGCAGGCTCGATGGTACTGCCCTACATCCTGTCCTCCACATTGCGAAGGCTGTCTGTCACCTCTGTGGCCTCTTCAGTGGTCTCCACTTCCTCCAACTCTTCTGACAATGCACCCTCCAGGCCAGGATCTGATGGGTAAGGCTGATCTTTGCACTTAAGGGCATATAGGACAGCACCTGTGACATTAGCTTTGGGCACCAAGGTGAGACTCAGTGTTACTAAAAATAGAAAATGAGAAATTAATACTTCACCACCTACTAAACATAGTTGCCTTCTAGGCACAGCTTAATTTCTCCTCACGTGTATCATTTTGGAAGCAATTTCAAACTTAATTTGCTTTATCAATTAATCACAGAATAATATAATACAAAATTCCAAAGGTAGAAAATGATACAACACACACACGCACACACACACAAAACAAAACTCTTCATGCATGTATTTAACAGTTTATTAGAAGCATTAGCAGACAGTTTCGCGTGCACGTGCGTGCGTGCGTGCGTGCGTGCGTGCGTGTGTGTGTGTGTGTGTGTGTGTGTGTGTGTGTGTGTGTGTGTACCACAAGCACATGTAGGTGTTCTTGTGCAATCATATATAGAGACCAGAGATTGGCATCAGGGTACCTTTCTCAGTTGTTCTCTACGTGATCCTGTGAGGCAGGCTCTCTCTCTAAGCCTGGAAATTACCCTGAGTCTAGACTGGCTGGCCCGTGAGCCCAGAATCCCCATCTTTGCCTACAGTGCTGGAGCAGGTGCATGTGCTTTGCCCATCTGTTCTTACACAAGTGCTGGGGATTGGCCTCCAGGTCCTCACACTTGCACAGATACTTCACTCCTTGATATCTTCCCAGCCTCCTCCAAATCTACTCTCCGTCCCTGGCTCCTAACTACTGGTACCACCTCAGAACTGATGTGAGCTTTAGGTTCCTACAAGCCCTCAGCTCTTTATAGGAAGTCAAGCAGCTAAATGCATGCTCCTCTCCATGCTTTTTTATATGGCATCCTCTTAATATGGCTCTTTGCATTTGCTGTGCCTTGAAAAAGATTGTCTCAGATGCAGTGCGCCTCCTTTGGCTGTAGATATCCTAGTGTATATGAGTTCCATAGCACCCTCCACCGGCGGCCAACCAATGGAGAGCTGGCTGGATTCAGTTCAGTAGTTTTTCAACTGAAAGTGCAATTTTAAGGTTAAATATTGAGTGTCACTCCTTTTTATGTATCTGCAATTAATACAGTTTTTTTTTTTGTCAGTTTAAAACAAAAAGTGATTAAGGGTTTGCTTTGCGAGGGTGAAAAAGATTAAACTATCTTATGAAAATTACAGAATCAAAGTACAGAAGTTTGTTCAGCAAATGAATTAATGAATGAATAAGAAATGCAAGATAAGTAAATAGTTCAGATGAAAACTATAACAACTGGAAAATACCCTGAGAAAAGATTTAGGTGTGTGTATCATTAGATAGGTAGGTAGGTATATAGGCAGGTAGGCAGACAGACAGATAGTTAGATATTGTTGCTATATGATAAAAGGATAGATTGATAGATTGATTGATAGATTGATAGACAGAACTTTTAAAAGGAGAAATTAACTGGAAATGAGATAAAGAACATTCAGCCAAGTGTTGTGGCTCATGCCTGTAATCCCAGTACTCAAAAGGTTAAGACAGGGATGGAAGTTTTGTGACTTTTGACCTTCCTGGCTGATAGGTCCATCCTGGAACCACTGTTTGAACGCAGAGCTTCATCGGGTGCCAGAGTTGAAGATCTGCCACCCAGAGAAGACAGCGAGAACCGGATTAGCAAGTTCAAGAGAAAAGACTGGAGTCTGAGCAAGTCACAAGTCATTGCAGAGAAAGCGCCAGAACCTGACATGATGGTAAAAAACAAAGAAAGAACAAGTGAAAGCTAATACTGGTGGGGTACCACTGATGGGGTACCAACTGGCGGAGTACCACTGGCGGGGTATCGCTGGTGGGTACCATTGGTGGGTACCACTGCCTGCCCCTCAGTCAGCATATCTTCATTTACTGCATAGCACTGAGTCACAGATAGAAGCCTGAAGCCTGGCTGCAGCTAGTCTCAGGACACAACAGCCTGTGGTGGTGTCAAATCACAGATGGCAGGAAGAAAAGTGTATACAGAGAGTTTCAAGTCTCCAAGTCAATACTGGCACAAGATCTCATACCCACAGTGTAAACACGTGGGTTGCACTTGGAATTGCAGCTCTTGCCAGTGTTCTACAAGTTGGTGCAAACATGTTCATTTCACTTTTTAACTTTAAAGAAGACCCTTTTGTCTCCCATAAGCCATGTCAAGTTAAGTGTTTGCCAGACCAACTTTCCCTATGTTGCTTATTTCCAACATAGATAGTACAATGTATGGTCAGAATCAAGCCAGTGGCCAGACCAAACGTTATCTGTATTTTGATGCCATTCTCAGTAAGTATCTATGCCAAGCGCCTGCCATATAACAATACAGTGGCCTTAGAAGTGACAATTGGAGATGGCAGAGGGAATGGGTCAGTAGGTAAAGGACTTGCCATACCAAATGTGAGGATTAGGTGGGAATCGCCTGCATGCAATTTCAGTGCATGGCTAGCTTAGCCCTCACATGCAGGTGCCCACACACTACACTTGGGAACAGAAAGAAAAATGGCCCTTGGAATTAAGCCCTTGGTTAGTTTCTGTCCAGCATTTAAGGTTTCTTAGGGTGTTACTGAGGTCTGCCACGACCACTATGAAGTTTTAATGTTTGGGGTTTCCCTCTTTGTTTCCAGAGCCCAGGCAGAAAAACACAAAGGCCAAAGAGTCTCCAGCTCATGGACAGCCGGCTGACACCATTCCACAGTTCTTCCCCTGTGCAGTCTACAGTTTTGAGCCCACCTCCACTCACTCCCAAAGCTACAAGGACCCTAAGTGAGTTTTTCTGTGTCTCCTAGATCCATTCGACTAGGAAATGGAATTTGGCTATGAATCTGAGCAACTCTTAATCACACCGGCCATGGCCACAGATTGTAAGAGGCAAAGTTGATTCTGTTCAGTGGTCATTAGAATCATCAAAGGGCTAGCATTTGGGGCTGAGCTTGTTTCAACTGCAAGCCTGGGGGTCTGTCTGTCCTTTTCCAACCAAAAAAAAACCCCAAAAAACAAAACATAAAAAAAAAAAAAACAGACCCATCCTGTATGCCACTGTTAACCTGGAGCCGAGCATATGCAGCACTCCAGACAAACTCAGAGGTTCCCATAGTGCAGAGGGAGGTCATGTCCACCATTGCCAGTTCACCTGTACAGCCAGGTGAAGCTTTCCCTAAATACTTAGAGTGCATTGGAGAATGGTTTCCTAAAGCTAGAAACTGTTCTTCTCCTAAGCTTAGTGGGTGGTGGTGGTGCATGCCTTCAAGGCCAGCCTGGTTTCCAGAGTAAATTCCAGGACAGCCAGAACTGCTACACAGAGAAACCCTGTCTTGAAAAACAAAACAAACAAACAAAACAGAGTGAACATGGGAATCTATGCTTCAGAATTCTGTGTGATGCTATCCGGTGAATTAAAGAGCAACTTGGTTGGGCAGGATGGAGGTCTTCTCTGATGTCTCCATAGAAACCTCAGATACGGCGACAGCAAATTGTATGAGGCTGGTATAGGTGCTGTGGTGGCAAACATTATTTTTGTGAAGAATCTGAATTAATCCTTCAGTCCATCTCCTTTGTGTCATTTCCAGGCTCCCCATCTTTGCAGACAGAGGCACTGACTGCTTCTGTCCCTCCTCCACCTCCCCCGAAAAGCAAGCCCTATGAGAGCAGCCAGAGGAACTCAGCTGAGGTAAGAACCTGCAGGTTGTCGTTGGTGTGTTCACCAAGCCCCACCCCTGGGAAGACAACACTGGATTGTCCACACCGTGTAAAGGAGAGGCTTTCCCCACACCGCAAGGCTACACGCCATAGTCAGTGCTTGGCTCACTCCTGAAGCCTCAGGAGATGAGAAGGGAAATATGCCAGAAGCCTGCTTCATTTGGTCATGTGACTGAAGGACGCATGCTCTCCACTTCCCCCACGGTGATAAGATGAGTGAGTTCAAGTTCACACCAGTGTCACTTCTGAATGGCTGTTCTTCTGCAGTAGACTCAGAAGGGTCCCATTCCTTCTTTCAGTAAATATTGCTAAGTGCTTTTTAAGTATTTGTCAGGTACCCAAGTGTTGGTGATGCAACCACGAGTGTGTGTGTGTGTGTGTGTGTGTGTGTGTGTGTGTGTGTGTGTGTTCAGCTCAAGAGAACAAGGACTATAGCTGGAGTTTCTGTTTTGCCTGGTCCCTCAGCTGATTATCCCCCCCCCCCTCCAATAAGCACACAGAGATATATTATTAAACTATTGGCCAATGGCTCAGGCTTCTTACTGGCTAGCTCTCTCGCAATTATTAACCCATTTCTATTAAACTATGTATTGCCATGAGGCTGTAGCTTACCCATAATCCAGCATTTTACTCCTCCAGCAGCTACATGGCTTTTCTCTTAAGGCTTCCCCTCTAGCATTCTCCTCATCGGGTAGCCCCACCTACACTTCCCACCTGGCTATTGGCCAATCAGTGTTTTATTCATCAACCAATAAGAGAAACATGTACAGAAGGATGTTCCCCATCAAAGGACCAATGAGTAATTCCCTTTTTGTCTTGCCTAGACAATATACATCTCATCAACTTGACAATAAAACGAGTGTGTGGAATGGGAAGAGGGATGGATTGGAAATAAGAAAAAGGGACTGTTTGTAATTCCCTGTGTCTTCTCCCCAGGTTGCACCCCCCCTGCCTGTCCGGAGAGAAGCCAAAGCCCCACCCCCACCCCCTCCGAAGGCTCGAAAGTCAGGCATCCTGTCTTCTGAGCCGGGCTCTCAGTGAAGGTGTCAGCCTGGCTCTGCACCTCCGAGTGCCTTGGACCACTGTTGCCTGAGAATGGCCCCTAGAAAGGGTGGCCTGTCATGCAGTGCACCCTGCCTGCACTGCTTCCTGCACTGAGATGATTGCCCAGCTCAGAACTGTTTGTCCATCTGAAGGCCGTGCCATATCCCCTTTAGCCCACGGAGCTCCCAGAACTGGCCATCTGTAGGCATGAACAAGCAAGTGCTCTCCTTTTCCCGTGGTGGCATGTTGGCTTCAAGCATTGACTTGCTGGATCTTTAGCTGCCGCGGCAAGCTCTTCTGCAGTGACCCAGTGACAGTGCAGTGGAGAACAGCCCCCGCAGCCGAGTCCTGTGTGGATTTCTCAGTCTGCTTCGGAACTGCTGTGTTAAGACTTCCTTCCTTCTCTCCTGTCTGCATCCCTACCCTGCCTAACCTTTCCCGAGAGCCAGACACCAAGTACACTTCAGGAGCTGCCATGGCTTCTTTCCCTAATGTCTACTGTCGCCTTTGTGGATGGCTTCTCCAAGATTCCGTGGACTCACATTCTGGCACTCTCCTGATGAATGGCCCCCACCATGCAGCAGTCACGTGCTGTTCCTTTGAAACTCTTTGGCACTCTGTTTCTCATCCCCTTCTCTCCGAGCTCACATCCTGTGCTCTGAGGGACCTACCAGCTACATTTCCAGACCCTGTTGGTCCCTGCCTGCTACTTGATTTTACCCTGGAGAATACAGTGCAATATTCCCTTTGATTATTTATTCCTCTTGATCATAGAATTAATCTGGTTTCTTGCTAATGGTACTAATGTCCATATTCCTTTCAGAAGGAAAATTTAGGGTGACTTTGGTTGCCCAAATATTATGTTCACATAAATACATAAATGACCACAAGATCCACGAGATGTAGATATTTTGAGTTAGACGGGTTTTAAAACACACACACACACACACACCTACACACCTCATTTTGTAGGTAAGGAAATCATGGCTACCCACAGAAAGTGGACTACAGGCTTTTTCTAACAGTTCAGCTTGCTCACATAGGATGTACCCAAGATAACACATAGGTCCCAAAGACATCTCTAACAAGGTTCTGATGGTCTAGCTTCAGCTAGAATTGTATCTGAAAAGCCCAGATAGTTCTATCATAATTGGGTGTTGATGGCAAAACTTAAGGCTTTTGTGTGGCTTGGGGCTCCTGCTGGGCATTCTAGAAACTATCAGTGACCTTGCCCTCAATCTAGTCTTCCAAGTCCAAGTATGCCAAGGAATTTCAGCTGTGAGAGTCTGCACCTGCCTACCAGCTGCTTTGTTTGCACAGCTCCTTTCCCTACCACCTTTGTTAAGAACGGTGCACCTGGTTCATCACAGAGATCAAGGAAGCAAAGGCCAGGGGCATGCCTGCCACAACACTGGAGAAGTTAATGTGCCTATCCTAGAAGTACCATGCCAATCTCTATTCTTTATTTCCATCGAACAGCACCTGTGCGTGATTGTGGAAAACACACAGGCACTGGGACTTTAAACTGATTTGATCTGAAATCCCAGGTGTCACTTCATGTTTGAAATTCTGAGTGTTCGCTTTCTCACTTTTGAAGTGGAGACATTACCTCCCACACAGGTGCTTATGGGGTGCCATTAAGGTGGGTTGGGGCCGTGCAGTCAGCAACTTTCTTTTCCTCTTCTAGACCTGGGTAAGATTTGATAATGTTCATTTTTTCTTCAGGCTATTTGAGATCTTACTTAAAAGATGGCAGCCTTGGGAACCATTTGTGTGGAAGGGCTAATAAGAGTTAAAGATTGTTTTAAGTGAGAAGATCCAAGCCTGCAAAGAAGCAGGAAGGCACCAGAAGGGTGATAGAGGGCATCCATGGAGCTTGGGAAGAGCCCTAGCAGACTGACTAGAAAGGATTTAAAGATGCCGATATACTCTTCAGGCTGCCATGGAAACAGAATCTGGGGAAGAGAGCAAACCCCCACCCATTCTTGCAAATTAGTAGACATGAGTCCTGAGTTTGGTCTCTGGGCAGAGCTGGACCTGTTGGTGCCCAGAGAAGCCCTACCTCCTCTTTTTAGTAAGGCATTTTCCCCATGATTCCCTTTCCACATTAATAAAAATAATAGCTTTTAGCTGCCTTGACGCACAGGACTCTGGGTGATGTTGTAGGTACCAATGTACAGGGCACTGGGAGATTGACTTCTTTGGGAAGCTGTCTTGGGGTTTCTATTGCTACGATTAGCTTGTATCAAGTTGACATAAAACTAGCCAGCCCAGGAGCTATGAGTGAAGAAGGGGTTAATTTGATTAAAAGAAAAATCATTATCTGTCCTAAAGTTGAAGACTGCAATGATGTTTAATATAGAAGGGACAGGAAGCAGTAGGCAGGACCAGTTTTTACCGCCCTTACTAAGATCTCTGAGGTATGGAACGGTGCTGAAATCAGCCCTGAGGTTGTCAGTCTTTATGAATGATGTTGATTGATGGCTTGTGAGTTTGAGGTATTGTTACATCGCTCTTTTTCATTCCCTCTCTGCCATGGTGACTTGTCTTGCTTTGAGATTTTTTTTTTTTTTTTTTAAGAAAGTACACCCTTGCTGAAGGCCAGACATAGTGCTAGTCCCTTGGTGCACTCAGTGGAAACAGCCTGCTGTGCAAGTTACTCCATTGTGCTACTGGATCAGAAAGTCGATGCTATATGGAAAGAAAAGCCCTACAAAAGGGCTGCTTGGCAGTGGGTGGCCTCCTCCCTCCACCTCCATCCCTTGCTTGACTCCAGCCAGGGACACCATTGTGCACTTAGCCACACTGCAGACCCCTTGGATTAAACAAGGTGTCTCACAAGAGCTCAGATGGGATGATGATCACCCTTGTCACTGATTTGCAAGCTGAGTCCTTTTCCTTCCAGTTGTGTCCAGATTGAGGGGCACATTTTCATTTTGCAACTTATATACAGTGAGTACACAAATCCCAGGAGTGCTGACAGAGACATCATTAGATAGCTAAGACACCCGTGTGACCTTTTCCCAGACACACATGGCTCCCGTATCCCAGAAGGAGCCCGCTTGCCAATGGCACAATTCTGTGAGACGTAATTGGGAGGTCCTTCCATGTTTGTACCTTCACGCTCACACTCCTCAGGTATAATGAAATGGAGATAAGACCCTCCCCATCAACACAAGACAGCAGAGATGATGTACTGTATTGCAAGTCCATATTGTTGTCTGTTTTATGTTGGAGACTGCATGGACTTGGTCAGTTTGCTTCTACCCTGGCCTTCATGATTCTAAGGAACAATGAAGTGAGACTACTGTCCAGTGGCCTTTGCTGTATGAACTGGAATCCACATTTTTTTTTACCCTCTACTAGTGCTTTGAGCCTCCCTGGCCTGGCTATTATGAGCAAAAGATTTGTGAATATTAATGAGCCTAGCATCTAATTTTTTTTTTTTTTAGATATTGGTACAAATTGCCCTAACTCTGTGGTAGCCTGTGGATAATAGTCTTCAGAGTCACCAAGCTGGCCTGCTGTGCCTAGACCTCCAGTGCCTTGCTAAGAGTCATACTTCCTTTGTGTGCTTTGGAAAGTGGACAACTACTGCTTTCTTAGACACGAATTGTTCCTCTCTGTTATTTAGAATTCAATTGGAAGTGTTGAAGATGGAGCTCGCTTGCTTAGCCTGTGCGAGGTCCTGGGTCCTAGTCTCAGTACAGCAGAGGAAATAAAAATTGGAAAAAGTGAAGCTTCTCTCTGGGTGGGTCTAGAGTCAAACCATTCGTTGTTATCTATGGGAGGAATTGTTTTCCTCCTGGGGCATTAACTTCTAGCTGACTCTTGAGACCCAGCCCATATAAATGCCCTAGCTCATCTCTCAGACACCTCTTAGGGGTTGCTCACCCAGAGTCCTGTCAAGATTCCTTCACCATGATTTTATAAATAATTGGATTTCATACATGAACAGTTAAGGAGATGTGTGTTGAAGAGTTTTGTTCATATTTGCTGTTATTTATTTTGTAAATTAAAAATGGAAATGTATTTTGAAGTTTACTATGTGTTTAGCTTGTTATTGTTTTAGATTATTAAAATAAGATCATGGACTTAATGGTTTTTCCCTAGTGACAGCTCCTTCAAGACACTTCACCTTCAGGGCCCCTCTGACCCATTTCTACAGATTACTGTAGAAATGCATACCATAGGATCCTGGTGTCTGTCTTACATAGAATTAATAAAATCTGCAATCTTTTCTTTTTGCCTTGCTCACCCATGCCTTTGTTGTTTGAGCTGAGCTGAAGGTTTTCTGAAGGGAAGTTATTCCATGTGTGCAGGTTTTGTGTGTTCTTCATCGGTAAATAGGCACAGATAAGTGGATAAATAGATAAAGAGCATCTAGGCTGGCCCAATTAATCTACTACTTTTAACAACTAGAAATGTCCTGTTATCTATGTGTCAAAGAATTACCCTATGTGTTTATTAAAATTATAGGTGGCATTTGTCCCTAGGCATGAGTGAATGTCAGGCTTGGTGCATTCTGGACATACAGGCACATACACACATATAAGTTCATAATTGTAATATGCATATAAGGTATGTATGTGTAAATATATATTCAAGGTACACTGAGAAGTAAAGTCTTCAGATAGAGGGAAAGCTCTGACATTTAGTAAAGGTAATGTTTTTATATTCACTACCCTTGATCTTTTGGGCCATCTGTGGATTAGGTGGACCCAATCGGCTTGCAAACTGCCATGTGTCATCCCAAGTCTATAACAGCAAAAGCAGCTGAATGAACACCTTTTAATCCCATTCAAGAGAACTCATGGCTCAAGAAAATAAATTCCCCAGAGATGGTGCTTGATAGTAGAAACCCAATGTTCCAAGTATAATGTACAGAAAGGTCTGTTGCTTTTTTTTAAAAAAAAAAAAAAAATAGGTTCATTAATAGCAAGTTCAAGGCCCATTTGAGCAACATCAGATTGTCTAAAACAAAACATTAATGAAAGATGGTAGGCTTCCACCTGTCGCAGTATTTTTAAAAAATAGTCGAATTTACAATATTCCATGGGCATTTGCTGAAATTTGAGTTTTTCCAGTGGTTCCACAGCCACCTGGAAGTTGTGGGGATATGTGAGAATTGTGTCATCACATCTAGGACCTCATGACATGGCCACAGAAGAACCAAGTTCATTATGAACCCCAGCTTCCTGTTTCAGGTCCTACAACCCAACACTCCCAAGTCTCATCTTCATTGACTGATCTTTGCTGTGTAGTTCAGGGGGTGCTAAGCACAGATCCAGCAGAACTGAGTGAGCCCCCAAACCCTGAGCTTTGGCTTCCTCACTTGAACAGGAAGACAGCCGGGGCTCCTTCTTGTCTTGCTTGAAGATATTTGTGCATGTCTATCTCACATGAAGCCAGACTCTGTCATTGTGGAGGATGAAAGGTAGACCAAGAGACAAGAGAACACCAGGTTCTGTCTGCGTCAGACTGTTGACACTTCTGTTTCTTAAGTTCTCAGAAAGGAAAACAATGTTTGCCACTGGTCCCTGCTATGAAGGTGGTGTGTGTCCTAAAGAGTCACATTCTGGAAGCCTGTTCCATAGTTGTCAAAGCTTTATGAAGAGGTGGGCCTTTGGGTCATGGTGAAAGCATCCTCAGAATGACCTAATGCCTGTCTCATGAAAATGGGTCAGGTCCTGTGAGATTAAATCAATTACTGTGAGAGTAGATGGCTATAAAGTGAGACCAGTGTTTGGCGTCCTCTGTGAACATCCCATACCACTGTGATTGTATGTGATTCCATGACATGGTACTGTCAGATTATGATCTGACATAGCAGATAATGGCCTCCCAAGTTTGGACAATTTGGCCTCCAAAACTTTGAGCCAAAAACAAACAAGTAAATAAAAAACACCTTTCCTTATGAAGTACCTAGCCTCAGGGGTTTAGCTACAGCAATAGAAAACTGAAATAGTTCTGAATGAACCTCATACCACCTGGCAAGACAATATGGTACCAGAAGGAGCACAGGACCAGGAGTCCAGAAGGCTCTGCCTCTCCTCTGCTTCAATGGGATTCTAGCTGACTTTGAGAGGTAGAGGGGGGACAGTTCTTTCCCAGTAGCAGGAGATGCAGTTATGATCCTATAGAAGCCAGGTGAACTAGTTTCCTCTGGCCTCAGCCAGTATATGACCTTTGTCTTCTCTTTGTGAATGCAGGGTGATGTGAGCCATGGATTATGTCTCTTGGTCAACAAGACACTTAATCATTGTGGTTTCTTTTCCATCTACCACATTTCCTCATCTAAAGAGCTGCACCCACCCACCCCACCTTGTCACCTGTGGCAGGCAAGGGAGTTGACCCTCCCCCTTACCAGCTGCAGCACTCAGGAAAGCAGGCCCCTTCTTCTGTTGGGCAGCACTATAGAGCTGACCATATTGGTGGGTGCAGGTGAACCTGCTGAGAATACGAGCATGGGAGAGTTGGCCCTGAGGCCATAGGAGCTGGAGAGCTGTCCCTGCTCCTCACCAGCTGCAGAACTCAGCAACAGTGGCCACTGAAGCTCCCCTGGGCAACTCGGTAGAGTTGGCTCTGATGATGCAGCTGTGGGAAAGCATACTCTAGGCATGAAGGCAGAACTGGTACACCCCTTTCTCATCGCTGTAAGGGGTGAACTGGCCAGGGCTATGCTGGAGAGCTCATGGTGGTGGTGGTGGTGAGGGGTGCTGGAGGGCTGACCAACCATGCAACTTCTTAGGCCTAAAACCAGGGTTATGAGAGATCATCCCCTCTGTGATCTGTGGGAGCACATGAAGGGGCCCATCCTGCAGACTCAAAGCTGCAGGATCTCCACAACACACGACAACAGGATATCCAAGAGGAGTCCCAGTGAGGGCCCAGCATCAATAGTGTAGCAGAAACCATAGGCCTCGAACCAGACCAATGGCTGTTTGCAATGAATACTTGTAAGTAAAGATATATGGATGAAAGGATAATTTACTGCGAGACTCACTGTGTCACACTACAGCTTTGATGACAAGATTTTTTCCTTTTTCTCTCTTAAATTCTATTTTATTAGGGGGAGGTTGCAAGGGCAGATACAGAAGGGACAGGAAATGAATGGGATATAGATTCATGATGTGAAAGACACAAGGAATAAATAATGTTTTTTTTTTTTTTTTTTTTAAGCGTCCTGAGCTTGGCATCAGAGACACATCACATCACATCACATGTATGGGACTTGATCCACACCTTTATTATGAAACCCATGCTGCTGGGCATAGAAATACTGAAACCCACACATTACAGATCTTTAACAGGTCACAGATTTCAGTGTTCACGTTATACTTTGGTGTTGTGGATCCTTCGGGGCTAGTGCATTTACATCTTCTTCTGCCTGGTTTCCTCTTCAATCAGACTTTCCTGAAAAACACATAACATGCATATCTATGTTGAATTGACTAGTTGAATTACATTCTTTCTGACATTCAGATCTAAGAACAGGTGCATTTGTTATTCACTCAAAAGTGCTAGAAACATGGCAGACAGCATCTTGTAGAGCTGTGGACATCCTAACTAACATCTGCATCAATAGCTAAAAGGATGGCCTGGAGAGGAAGGATTGGGTCGTCCTTCATGATGTCATGCCTAGGGAATTTCAACTGGTTATTTTGATTGGGCTAGAGGAAAGATTAGAACAAGAAAGGAAATAGAGATGTCTGCCCACCTCCACCTTTGTCCACTGGGTGTGGAACTTGAAGGCAATGGAGAAAACTTTTATGAGCCTTACGTTCCTGCAGGATTTACTGAGGATTTCCCTGCTCCTCTGAGTAACCGGCAGTTGGCCATATGCTTTCTGACTGCTGCGGGTCAATGGGAAAGCAGCTCAGAGAACGCTGACCCTCCTTCTAGATTCACTTTCCCCATTCAGGTTGTTCATGCTTCCATTCTCATGAACAGCCGATATTACAGCCAGAGCGGCAACACAGCCCTGTAACTTAGCTTCTCCGGAGGCTGAAAGGAACCACCAAATTCAATTAATTTCAATTAATTTGGGCTGACCACAAATCTAAAGCCAGCCTGAGAAAGTTAGTGAGATTCTGTCTCACACTAAAAAGATTTTTTTTTTTTTTTTTAAAGTAGGATGAGGGCTAAGGAGATAATCCAGTGGCACAGTGCTGATCAGCATATGATGTTACCTGGGGTCAATCCCAGTACCAAAAGAGGAGAGAGGGGAGAGAGAATGAGAATGGTGGCATTTAGGCCTAAGAATACTACAAGCCGAGTCTGTGACTCTGAGTTACAAGTTTTTTAAGTTTTTAATATTGTGACCCAAACTGGGGGAGGGGAGTGCCCTAAAGCCTTGTTCTTGGTTTCTACAGTTCCCAGGGTCCTAGAAGCAGTGGCTGAATCGAGGGAGGGTAGGTTCAGCTGAGGGATGAGTGGCGAGGGGGTTGAATAGTCTTTGAAAACCGGAGCATTATAGTGGGAAGAAATTTGCCAGTCATTCCAAAGGCTGAATCTGGGATTGCTATATAAAGGGTATATAGACACATTTAAATCAATTTCAGAAAAAAAAAAGTAGTTTCCGAACGTGAGTGCTATCTATGTAGAGTGGACACAGGCTGTAAGCTGTCCAGGGTCCTGCTGCAGGAGTAACTCAGGTGGCTCCGAGGTGGTGCTAGGTCACCATACCCAAACTCCTTTCTGACTCTAGCTCTATGCGGTGATCACTGTAACTCACCAGAGCCCCTCGAAGATCCCTGAGGGGCGAACGGGGCCAGTGGACAGTGCATTCGAAGTGCTGGGGTTCTGCCAGCTGGTCCACATCTTTGCCCATCTGGAGATAAAGAAGGAGATTCTCAAAGATGAAGATAAATAAACAAAACAAAGCTTTCCATTTCCACCAAGAGGGAGGACTTGGGGTTATGATGCTGAGCGAGAGGCCTGGGGAATTGTGGGTCTGGGGAATTTAAGGGTGAATTTTTGAAGGCTGAGCTGGAGTTCAGGAGGTGATGGGGATGTAAGAAGAGATTGTGTTCTCTCAGACAAGAGTGAAGTGCTCTGAGCCCCATGAACAGACCGGACACAAAGCACATGAGCTTTACAGTCTGATTGGGCTGGGTTTCTGTTTGTTATGCTATTTTTGTTGCTGCTGCTCTCTCATTTTATTTCAAACAGAGTTTCACTCTGTATTCCAGACTGCTCCCAGACTCACTGTATATTCTGGTCTAGCCTTGAACTAGCTTAAACTGGTGTGCTTTGTATCAAACTGACAAGGGGTAGAGTTGTGATGGTTGTTTCTAATAGTCAATTTGACAGAACGTGAATCACCTGGGAAGAGGCTTTGTAGATCAGACTGGCTGTGGGCACGCCTAGGTGGAATATCTTGAAGGTTCATAGATGTGGGAAGATGAAGCCCACTGTGGGGAGCATCATTCTCTGGCTTTGGGTCCTGGAAAGTAAGTGCAGTGCTAGGCATGCATACATTCATTCCATCTGTTCTTGACTATGGATGTAACTAGCTGTTTTGAGTTCCTGCCCTCACTTCCCTGATGGGAGATGTCATTATGTATATATGTTTCTCATACTGGTTAATGGATGAAGCACTGTTGGCCAATAGGAAAGAAGATAGGAGGGACTAGGAAATAGGAAGGAGGAGTCAAGATGGAGACTGACAAAGGCAAGATGTCTCTGTCATTTGTAGAGTTTATATACTATCCTTCTGTGGTCTTTGAAGGAGTTGAAGACAGATAGTTATGGTTATAGTTTTCCTTAGTTAAGCTTAAAGATAAGTTACATATAGGACTTTAGACTCACAAATATAGGATAGATGATAAAATAGTTTATTTTAATCTTGCTAAATGTTAATGGACTAAATATTGTTAACTGTGATTCTTATTTGATAACTGTTGTGTTATATATTTTGCTATGTTAAGGTTAAAAACCTTTCTTTTGTTTTAGACAGAAAAGAGGAGATGATGGGAGATGTCATTATGTATATATGTTTCTCATACTGGTTAATGAATAAAGCACTGTTGGCCAATAGGAAAGCAAGACAGGAGGGACTAGGAGACAAGGAGGAAAGAGGAAGTAGTAAGGAGAGCCAAGATGGAGAGTCGGAAGAAAGCAGTATGCTGGCCGGCTCCCTGGTAAGAGAAATACATAGATAAGCAGAAATGGGTTAATACTTAAGACAGAACTAGCCGATAAGAAACAAGTAACCGGGCCAACAGCATTGTATCAAATACAGAGTCTCTGTGTGTTAATTGGGGCTGGCGCGGCTGCGGGACAAGACCGGCAGCGGGAGGAAAAACCTGTACTCCTTACACTTCCCCACAATGATGAACTCTCTGGAGCTGTAAGGCCACATAAACCATGTGCCCCTAAATTACGTTTGGTCAGAGTGTTTTATCACAACAGAAATGAAACTGGAACATGCTTCCTTTTTAGCCTCCAAAGGACTGTAACTCCAAGGTGTGAGCACCACACCCAGAGAGGTTGATTTCTAGTTTTTACTACATCCTAGTTCCACGAATTTGCTTCAAAAATAATCCACAGAGCAGAGGCTTCCGACTCTGGGGCTTCGCTGTGTCTTCAAAACCAGACAATACCTTGGTTTTAAGTTTCTCTATTATGATTCTTCTCAGCTCTGAGTTACAGTTTGAACTAATTATTCAGCTAATGTAAATGGCTTCTCTTATGTAACCCTGCCCATCCTTAATAAGTGAATTTTTAACACAAAACAAGTGTCCTACATTAATGTTGGTGCTAGCGCTGCAACCTTATCTGGAAGAAATTAAAGCTAGTACATTTTCCACTTTACAATCTCAAATTTGATAATTCATGGGACTAAACATTCTCCAGGTTCTTTACTTAAATGTCTCTATCAGTGGCAAGAAGATACAGATATTTACTGGTGAAGTCATATATGAGTATTTGTTTAATACAGATATGTGAGAGCACGGTGCCTTGTCATGAACTTGGGTGTTCCACTCTCTTCACATCTGCCCTGCTGTTTATTTCCTTAGTCTCTGTCAAAAGTGCACGGAGGAATGTGGCTTCCACTCCATGAAGTCTTGTGTCTATCAGTGTCTAGGGTAAGCTCAGAGCCGTGCCACTGGGGCTTGCACTGCACGGCTCCCACACTTAGAAGTGAGTCAGTGTGGGGAGACTTACCTCTTGGAAAGAATCACCCAAGTGTTCAGCGTTTCTCTTTCCTCCGGGGCGCAATCCATAGGACCAGTGCTGGCTGGAGCAGCCTTCCAAACACAGGCTCAGCAGAAGAACAGCAGCTGTAAGTTTGCGGATCATCTCCACTCTAAGAGACATCAAGACACCATCATGACAGACCCAGACGGAAGGAGAACACAGAGTGCTTAGCAAAGAGACAAGCCCCTGGGCCACTGACCCTACAGAAGCTGCAGAGGGAGTCATGCAGCTGCTACGCATTTCATGGAGACAATGAAACACAGGGGCACCGGCCTGTCCTGAGCTTGTCCTTGGGGACAAACACCTGAACTTGATTCTGGCATCTTTGGCATTTTTGTGGTAATGTAGTCCCTTTTTAGTTTTGTTTTGTTTGGTTACCTGAAACCCATAATTGATCCCTTACCAAATTCACTTTGCCTGTAACCCTCCCTGTTACCGAGCAGTTCTCTATCATTCGTGAGGTTAGAACTGGGCCATCTGCGCTGAAAAAGCTCCTCCTAGATGACTCTGGTTAATAAGAGGTTGCTTGACTTTAAATGGCTACTCTGTGGCATTGCTGACATCTAGCCTTTAAGGCATTACAGCTAGCTGGACCAAGAACTTTAAGACCAAGAACTAATCTAGCTGGAGACCCCTCTTGCCAAGTAAGTCTAGGGTAAGTCTAGGGTTAGTTGATAAAAAATATGCCTTTAAGTTAAATTCATCTGATGGGGATGAAGCCAAATTCGGTGTCCAACACTGGGCCATGCTGGCCTCCTCCGAGGTTGGATCTCCCAGAAAAGCTGGTGGTTGATAAGGTCAGTCAATGAAGGGCAAGGCTTCCCTTGGGTACCAACACATCTAGACTTGACCCTTGAGTGCAAAATAGCCTTTAGACATACAAAACACACAACATTAAAAATAGTGCTAACAGTACAAAAAATTTTACCTGTTGGGAAGTGAAAGCCAAAGGGATACCAAACTTCCTTTGGCGGGTTGAGTGCTGAGATGTTCTGCTTTCCTGGCTTCCTTTTTATAAGAATCTTTTTTCTGGGACACAGAAATCATCCCAGCTGGTAAGTGACAAGGTGTAGCACAACACAGATAATAGTTTTAATAATAATGTTTAAATCCCCACAAAAAGCCTTTTAATGGCAAATGTAATTGGGACACCTGCTGGTCTGTTACATTTTCTTAAACCTGGTCATTAAAATCTTAGCTAAAACTTTCACAGCAGAAATCACCATTCTAAGGGATTAAGGAAGCTGGCAACCCTATGAGAGTTCAAGGAAAATCAGTGTCTTGGGTGAATAAATTTACACACACACACACACAACTCTCACAGGGAAGTTAAGCAACAAATACAGAAAGTTGAGACAGAGTGTGTTGGAGCCAGTCTAAGCATTTGGGTCTCCGTAAAAGGGAAAATTTAAATCAGATAATCATAGTGTTATTCCCCAGCTAAAAAAAATCTAATTTAGGGCTGGTGAGATGGCTCAGTGGGTAGAGGTTGCTATCAATTCTGATGATATGAGTTCCATCCCAGGGTCCCACAAGGTGGAATAAGAGGACTAATTCTCTCAAGGTGTCCTCTGACCTCTACACACATGCTGACATGCTGTGTGGCACACACACACACACACACACACACACACACAAAGGGATAAAACTTCCTATTTTTACCTATCTATAACCCATGAAAGTCAGTCCTCTGCTTCTTGCCTGTTAATGACTCTTTGCATCTAGTCAGCATTCAACACACATGGATTTCACTGAGTTGCTAAATGAATAAAGGGCCTTTTAAGCAGGTTTGGCAGACCCCGCCTCGATTTCAGCTTCCAAGGTTATTTTAACTCATAAAGAATGAAAACCTCTATGTACAAGACATTGTAAAATCTGTTACACTACCTAAGCTGCAAAATGCTTTAAAAATAACATGGTATTTGATCATTACACAGTTGAGATTGGCAACATCACTGGTAGGATGCTAACCCCAGCAGTCATTGCCCAGTATTCTCTGAAATAATTCCATTTGCAAGGGTTTCTAGTAACAAGTAATAATAGCAGGCCTAGGTAAAAGCCATTGGCTTCTCAGGTGTTACCTGCCCATCCTTATGACTGGGTACAGAAGAGTGACTTCAGTGACTATCACTTCATTTAGGTTCCTTCACTAACTTGCTACTCTGACACAAAGTATGGAACATGACTCATCTCACTGGACTATGCAAGTGACGTGATTTTTCAATAGGAATTCCTGAAGTTTAAACAATTTTACTTCAAACTGTCCATTGTATTTTGTGTATTAGAGATGTGTTTCTGAGTGTTACCCAAAGGGGGGTAGAGGGAGCTGGCATTTGGCTGGACCTAACAGAGTGATAAAGACGTGGGAGCCCTGTTGTCAGCGAACCTCAATGTGGCTATATTGATTTTTAAAAATTTCAACAATATTTATGAAGACGGAAACACAGATGGAAAATATCAGATATGCCCTGGCCTAAGTACACTTAGTCTTGTCTCAGGTCACACAGAGCCTAAAGACAAAAACCAAATCTGTCCTACTTTCTACAGTACCAAATAAGCCATTAAAGCCATTATGCGATCTGTGAGGTTTTGAGATGTAGAGATAGACTTTTAGATCTCTCAGGAGTGCATGCTTAAGCCAATTTACCTAAGATCTGAAATTGATCAGCTGGGTTTAAGTAATTGGACTTTATAATTGTCACAATTTTCTTTTCTAAATCCAAAAGAACGTTTTATAGGAGAAAACTACTTCATTTTGAACAAATAGCTCAAAATGATCACAATGATTCTGTACCTTCCTGAATGACAGGTGAACAACCTCCTTTTTGCCCTAATGTAAAATCTCAGCAGGAGGCCTGTGGGGCTAACTGTAGCTCACACCACTAAGCCAGGCACTGAAAGGTCTGAGAATGAAGCCTTGGGGAACATGCTTTATCCTGAAATAATGTAACCATTTTTCTTTGTAGTTTGATGCTTTTCATTTTAAAGATACTACTTCCTTGGGTAATTTAATATAATTCTAGAGTTTTTTTCATGTATAAAACATGATTTAAAGCTGACCTGGGGGCTGGCTTATGACATAAATAGCATTCATAAAATGAAGTGGATAAAATAGGTCTTGATTACTAAAGAAAGCCATCCTATTAATGACTTTATGGCATTTCTCATTCAAAATCCCTTCAAAGGGTTGCTGAGGAACTTGGCCATATCAGAGACTAACACATAATGCCTTAGATAGTTACTTGAGTGGAGAACTGAGTGCTATCAATGGAAGCCATCTAACTGATGTAGGCTGAGAACCTTTCTACAGCCCTCTCACAAGGCTCTATATGAACCCGTACCCACATGACCACCACCAGGGATAATGTAAGTTTTACTATTTGGAACTCCTCCCTTTCTTAGAAATCTCTCTCCTAGACATCAGGAAAACCATATTTCTTGCCCAGCAAATGAACAGTGATACTTATGAGCTAGAGAGTGACACGAATCACTGGCTGTCTTCCTCAGTGGAGAACCAAAAGTGCTGTGGCCTGGTAGTCTCTGAAAAGGGGATCATGAAACCACGCCCAAGACTTGAATCTGCTCTACTGGCTTTTCCAATAAAACGAACCCATTAAGAGCACCGTGCAGCTCGCTCCTGCATGCACCATCATGAAAAACTGTGGGAAATGTAGGAAGGGTTGACTTTCGAAATCAAGAGCAGAAGCAGCCTGTCAGCATTCCACACCGTTTATTAATGCGGTTTACATCAGATCTGAAACCCGCAGTTCCCAAGCACAGCCTGTTTCCATCTTCCAGCTCCCTCTGCAGTCTCAGGTCCGTCTGCAGAGGACCATTCAGTGAACGGACACAGTCTATAATTATTGAAAATAGAGTGCAGTGAAATGAGTTAAATATAATTTAGGCACATATTGATTATGAAAATAGGTATCTCTCAATACAATACTTCTCTGTCTTGGTAAAAATAATAACGCAAAGAAAATAATTCATTTTCAAAGTTGCTCTCCTGTCCCTGTAAAGGAGCACTCTCCTCCCATTGTGCACGTGAGCCCTTTACTGTGAAGGAAAGCTTTGCATATGTAGGTAGAAGAATAAGCTACAGAATAATGAAAATGTTCCACTCTCCTGGAGGAGGCAAGGTCACCTGTGATGATTCACTACCTCACACAGACCAGTCTGTCGGATGTAGAACCCATTTGGACACAGCTTATATCCCTGCTCTTAGAAAACACGTAAGGACACTGGGACACCCCACTAAGAAGGCCCTGCTGCTGCTGCTGTTGTGCAGATAATAACTCAAGGAAACTGGACTAAAATTTCATTCAAGAAACAAGACAACAGAAAATATTTTTTTAAATTAAGAGCCACAGTTACTAACTGATATTGCAGCTTATACTATCCAAATGCTTTTTATTCATCATCTTTTTTTGGTGGCTATAATTAAACCATCAGTTTAGAATTCCTTGGTCCCCACTGTAGGGATTTAGCTATAATTATCTAAAGTTATCTTCTTATAGGCCACTCTGCAGGATTTATTCATACTTTTAGTTCCAACTGCACTGGATTTAGATGAAATATTTTAAGCTGGTCTTGTATAAACTACTTGGCATTACATGAACTGTGCTGAGGATACAGGTTGGTATTTTGGTTCTGAAGCATCTTCTTATGCTTGTGATACCTGAGCACAAGAACTGGACTATGAATGGACAGAGCAGCCTAATCTGGTGCTGAATGGAACTCGCCCATAACAAAGCTGAGGCACGCTCACTGGACAGCTGCAGCGACTGGTGGACCCTTCCTTCTCCTGCAGAGCCATATACAAGGTCTTTCCTTCCATCCTGCCTCAAATTGGGAGAACAGAATAGGACTCAAATTTAGCTACTCATTTTTTTTCTTAAAAAGTAAACATTATAGAAAGGAATCTGAAAAGAGCCATAGGGAGTCTTACCCTCACCATACTCACATGGTGATAAGGATTTGAAGAGGGAAGGCATCACTAAAGCTATTTATAAACCTCAACAATTCTTCAATTTTCAAGACGTCTAACAATTTAAACATCCTTACTGCATCTAGATGTTTAATAAATATATTTGCATATATTGTGCTTTTCATAAATTAAAATTCTCAAATGCATTGTAAACCAAGATGGTACTTCCACACAGTGCCTATATAAAAGCAAATATAATAGATACTTCTCCTGGTCAGAAACCAGACAAATGCCCCAACTCCACTCAAAATGCAGCAGCATGATCTACTTTCCCTACATCTATAAACAGAGTGTTCTTCTGTTATAGTCACAATGTGGGGGACAGTCAATAGTTTCCCCTTATGCACCTCTGGGAACAAGCGTTTGCCTCTAATTCCCATACAGTGTTATCTCCTCTAGACAATTCGATGGATGGAGAAATAAAATAAGGACGCGTTTTCATCAGGGACATCTTCCTCCAGCTCTTGCCATTCTCATCTGACACTCTGAGACATATGTAATGGTGTCAGCATCTCTTCAAATATGGCACCCTTCACGTTGGAACCTCTCAGGTTGGCTTCCTGGAGGTCACACCCAGACAAATCACAGTTCTGTAAGACAAAACAAGATTTTTGGAGCTCAAGTGATTTAGGATCAGACTTGGTTCCCCATAAAATGAGCTCTCAGCATGGCACAATAGTTCCAATTGTTCCTACTTTTGAAATACTTCTACTAATACACTGTGGTGTTGTGAATGACCCCCACAGGCTCACATATTTCAGTGCTCAATCACCAGGGAGTAGAGCTGTTTGAAAGGATTAGGAGGACTGGAAGGTGTGACCTCGTTGGAGGAAGTATGTGACTAGGGGTGGATTCTGAAATCTGAAAAGCCCATGCCAGGTATGCTCTCACTCCAACCTCCCTCTGCTTATAGGATCAGGATGTAGCTCTCAGTGACTTCTCCAGCACCATGTCTGCCTGCCACCATGCTCCCTGCCATGATAATGGACTAAGCCTCTGAAAGCATAAGCAAGCACCCAGTTAAATACTTTTCCCAGTATTCATGGCAGCTCACAATGATCTGGAACTCAAGGTCAAGGGATTCACTGAATGCCCTCCTCTGACCTCCATGGGCACCAGGCATGCATATGGCATATGTAGTAAGCAAAGCACTTATAAACATAAATAGAAATAATTGAAAGGACTATATTAATGGTGCAAAGTCAGTTCCTTTTGCCTTTAAAGGGGTTTGCTGCTCTAATCCTAAGAACTATCAAGAAATCAAGGTGAAAAAAACAAA